ATTTGTACTCAAAGTTACGTTTTCAATTTTTGCAATAATTCATGCATTGTTTTCATTCACTGTTTCATGGTTCTCCTTTTTTGAAATTAGTATTTATCTTTTACTAAAACGTTGGAATTTTCATCCTTGAGATTTTGTTCTTTGAATTTGAAATAAGAATTTCATCATTAATCCTGATCACTTCAGAAAGACATCGATCGGATGTTTCACCAAATGACTGGTGAAAAAATGATAACATCAGTCATCAAAAGAACTGATCAGAAATTTATGATAACCTTTTTGGAAATGAGATGATAAGATAATATTTCTTACCGAAAAAAAGGAGACAGACAATTGAACTCAAAAAGTACAAATAGGATGATGGAGAGACTGGAATTGAAAGGTAAGGTTGTGGAAGAGGCAAGAGCAAGAAAGGACATGCAAGGTCATCTTACATCTCTAATAACGATCGTCGATTCCTCAAAAATGATTTCTGTCGCTGATAATATCATCAAATCAAACGACATAACTTGCTCCCAATTATGATAATTACTAATGCGATCTTCTTCTTCCTTCATCTTTATAACATATCATGTGGCCACATTAACATCCCAGTAATTATCCACTTTTAATAACTAATACCAAGTCTTTCTATCATTATCATTACTATCATTATCATCATCATTATTATCATTATCATTATCATCATCATTATCATTATCATTATCATCATCATCATTATTATTATCATTATCATCATCATTATCATTATCATTATCATCATCATCATCATCATTCAAGTTCTTCCGTTACTTAGTATTTTCCCGAAATTGGATCTCTTGTAGTAGTGTCTACTGATACTCATATCTTTTCATAACATTTTCACAAGTGCTAGATTGATAAATTTCGAATATTTGAGAGCTATGAATTTGCTCGATAAGAAAGTGTATGACTTCGCTTTCAAGATGTAAACAAGTTTATGGAAAAGTACATTTTATATGCAGGGAAATTCTTAAAATATTTCATTAGCAGTTGAGCATGTTTTTATTGTATTTTATTAGCAATTCAGCTACATTTCAGCTCAATATCAGTAGTATCATAATAATTCATGAATTAAACAGTAGAGTCGTCTGCTTTGTAGCAATGTTTAATGGTTTTAACAAACAACAATTTATGTCATCTTAGATTTAAATGCAGATTGAATTATGCAACTTTGAATTAGCTTTATAATTTGCTGTTACAAAAAAAAAAAACAAAAAACTTTTCAAATTTAGCAAAAATTTAGTAAAAATTTAAATTCAATTCAGTGTGCCCATCGTTGCCGCTATAGCTTTTTCTTTGTCACATTGACAAAACATCATTGTAACTATGGAAAGATCTAAGAAATCTTTTAAAAAATTTTGTATCTGATATTTGCAGCATATATCATCACCCCATACCTATTAAGTTCCTTTCGAATTGCTCTCCAGACTTGCACTTCTGCATGCATGTTGCAGTTTGAACAGATAAACGACACACGAAATAACTAAGCACTTATATCTTAATATGTATTTTAATGATGATTTGAAAGAAATAATTTAGTAATTATCTTCAAACATAAGCAGGAGATTAGTTTGGGATATCATTTCTGAGAACATTTTTGTAATTAGCTTTTTTTCCAGAAATTATTTCAAAAATATTCAATTAGTTACTGCAGATTTCGGGATTGTTGAAGAAATGTCAAATTGCTGGAAAAAAAAAAATCTATACTTTTTGTTTTTAATACATTCACCTTTCACATTATTCACCGTCCCAAACTATTGGCTGTTTGAAAGATAAAATTAAAAAAAAAAAGATTGTTGTTATTGCAGAATGCAACAATTTTAATATTCCACTAGCTGAATATTTCATTACAAGTTAAATTCCTGAAATTGACAAAATTTGGTAAATTGTTTGAGTGAAATTTTACAATAGAAGATGAAGAAAGAAAATACTTAAAAAAGAATCGTAAGAAATGAATGAAAGTAAATTCTAACCATCAATACAGAAAGAAGTTTAGCTGAACCAATGATGTGAATGTGATAGTAACAGAAATTACAGGGATTCGATTCCCAATTAAACAGTAAAGTTATTTTCACGAAGTAATAAATTCACAATTATTGCACAGCTCTTACAATTGGCGGAGAGTAAAATGAAGTGAACAAAAATGTTGACAGTAACTTTCACTGAGAAATGGAAGAGAACGATTAATGTGATTAACAATGTCTCAGTTTAAATTCAATGTTCCCCCTCTCCCCCTATTATGTGGAATTGATGGTGCCATGAAGAATTCAAAAGATAACATCGAAATACATGGATAACTTTTAATGTCAAAATGTCATGAAGGAAATGTAATCTCAGTAGACATTAATTAATTAGTGTTAAGCGCATAAATCACATTAATTCCAAAAAAAAAAAAAAAAAAGTTGAAAAGAAATATGTTGATTAACTGATAAAGAATTGTGACACATTCATTCAATATTCACTCATAATAACTCGTTTGTTTCATCTCTTTCCTTCCTTATCTTCATCCCTAAAAAGAAAAAATTATAAGAATTACGGACAATTTAAATGCCTCAGCAATTTAAAAGAAACGGATAAATTCGTTGTCACATAGTTTGAAACAAATTCATTTTCCTTCACACACATATTTTCAGCTCTTAAACTTTCCCATCATTTTATTTCACTGAGAAACGTATTTCTAGTTTTGATCTCTTTTCATTTGAAAAAAAAAAAGTATAAAAAGATTGTTTGTTACAATTTGCTTAACTTCCATTACGGATTAGCAGTGAAGAAATATTTGAGAAGAGGGCGCCAATGTCATTGTCTTGTACTTCTTTGAATAATGGGTTAGAGGGACACGACAAACACAACAGATGGCGTAATCATGATCTAGAGAGAGAGAGAGAGAGAGAGAGAGAGAGAGAGAGAGAGAGAGAGAGAGAGAGAGAGAGAGAGAGAGAGAGAGAGAGAGAGAGAGAGAGGGAGAGAGTTATGAGTTCATTGGAATGCTGCTGTCCCCATGTAACCTTTGCTCTCAGTTGAATTGGTGACGTTAATAGCAACACTAACGAGCTGTTGCTTTCTTTTTTTTTGTCTTGAACTATTTGCACAACATGTGAATTTCAATTTGAAATTTTGTGTTTTCCCAACAACACTCATCAGCTAGCCATCTATAAATTGTAATTTGTGGTCAGATTTAGATCAGAAAAATGCTTAGTTAGATCAGTGTTGCAATCATTAACTTATGTTTTTTATTATCTTTGAAGGATTCAATTTTTATCAGTTTTTAAGAGCTACTCTGAATTAATTTAAAACTATTTTACTTTTTTTTTTCTTTTTTTACCAAGTTCAGCTTTTCAACTAATCTATTACTTGCAGAAACTTCTGCTTCCGCTTTTCTCTATTTCTTTCTATCGGTTTCGAAATATTAAAACATGTGCTTTTATGAGGTATGGAGCACAATGGGACATTTTTGAGGACGGACAATGCCATCAGATTGGGTCAGTTGCATCATCATTCTTTACTCATTTAATATTGTCATGGCCACAGGATAATTTATGTGCTGGGAATCAGAGTACGAAATACTTCCGCGAAAATAAAGAATGCAAAACGAGAACTATAATAGAACAACCAGTTTATTTTCCTTTCCATCACCCTGTTTCTTATCGTCTCCAAACATTTACATTTACTTCCTTTTCGTATTCATTGTTCTTCAATCGATCACTGATTTATTGATTAGCAATGAAAACTGCAGAGAAGAATTTGAGACGATTTAGCTTCTTCTTTTCCGGATATAGTTCATGCCGTTCATTTATCCTCTCATTTTGTCATTTATCATCAGTACCAATTCTAATATGGACTGACTGACTGACTAAGCGACCCATCAATCTGTCCAACAATCCTTTGTTATGAGCATGTGTCAAATTCTCGTCAAACTTTTTCTAAATTTAAATATTTATCCATCCATTTCTCTAGTGACTTCATTAGTTCTCTCGCCTATTATTAACCTACCTGTGCTTCATTTCCAGAAAAAATTTCATCAAAGGAGGCTTGAAAATAAGACAAGTGGTGAATAATCAAAGGAGGAATAAAATCGGAGATGCGTGAAATCGATCTATTCAATTTAGTTAGCCATAGGTTGATCTACCGCTAAAAAATCATAAGCACTTGCAAATTTTACTTCAATCGTAAACCAAACATCAACCAAAATTTGCTGTCACTAAATGACATTCGTTCCTTTACATTTGCTGTACTTCTGTGCGTCATTTTCCGGGACAAAGGTGCAGAATTGAACAGTTCTTCCCTTTCTTCACTTCATTCCCTATGATTCAGTGTTTAAATTTCATCTGTTTTTATTCATCCATTTCAGGGAAATGTAGCAAATCACTCAAATTATAATCTTCCTGCGATACTTCCAGCATAATCAAGAGACAGTTTCATCAACTGTTACATCCCAAAAGCCTTTTTTTTGCAAGGCAATACTTCTTTTAGCACAACTACTCACTCACTTTGACAGAATAACACATCAGCCTTTGATGATGTAATTGTATAGCAGAATCGTCTCGGAAATCTTATCACCTTCCAGAAGCAAATTTTCGTGAATCGAAAACTAGCAAACGAGACAGATAAGAAGAAAGATGGACATGGAATACCTTGACGTAACATTGATTTACAATTTCGCCCATACAACAACTATCCATTCTCTGCAGAAATTCATGCAAAGCTTGCAATGTAACAATGCAGTACTGCCCCGGATGACCTCAGATCATGACTTATGACCCAGATGGATTGTACTTGCAGAATGACCTTGCTTGCGGATGAAGTTGGGGTTACCAATCCACATTGATTATTCATTTGTTGCAGAAATTACTTTAGCCTATGTATTAGTCCGATGTCCAATAGGACTGTCCAGGAACGTCTTTAGCTGTTATGCAGAATTCCAATACATGAATGAATGAGAGTTGAACGGAGAGGAAGTAGATATCGCCGGATGAAGACGCATGGCATATGCGTATCCGTATCCGGAATATCAGGAAAGGATAGACGACGATTCATACTGTGGAACGCGAAGGACGCATGTCGGAACGGAGGCGGGGCAGTCTGGTAGTAAGTGCATTGCGCTGCACACATCCTATACACGTGCTCGACGAGCTCCACCGGACACATCGCATCTCATTTTGGCACCATTCCATTCCACACACTGGCATTTCTCTGCGATGCACTGTTTTATCAGACGTCGCGGAGTGTCATACGAAATAGAGACCATGTCTGCACGTATGACGCACGTAAGTCGACTCGCAAACAGAAGTGCACGCAACTTCTGCATGTTCATATGTCCCCTGGGCTAGTTTTCGGAATAAAATTTCTCAAATTGCCAATTACAGGAAACTTGGCCGGATGCCAGGGCGGGAGAGCTGGACAATGTCTGGAATGTATGTGTCTGCTTGTCTCTGTACCAGAAGGATTAGATAGGGCGGAAAAATGTGAGGCGGAGGCTATGCAGAGTACAGACAGACGGGCAGACATTGGGAAGGGACGGGGGCGGGAGCGGGGAAAGCGAACGGAGTGTCTGTGTGGGACGCTCTCTGGAATGATGCTTCAGCCCGTTCAGATATGTCTGTCGTCCCGCTCGCTCGTTACTCCTTCTACTCCCTCCCGTGCTAACCTTATTGTTCTCGCTCGTATGCATCTCAACCAATTCCCCGCCCCGCCTAAATATGTGGCACGTCACGTCATTGCTGTTGCTGCTACTGCTGTATGCTGAGTGTATCGTCATTTCGTCAGGCAAAGAATTCCTCGTTCCCTATTTTGCGTCTCCAACTGTACCTGTATTTGCCTAGCCAGGAACCCTTCCTTCACCTTTACCCAGAATTTACTGAGTACTGCTCTCTCCACTCATATCTTTCAATAGTTCCCCAACTTTTCCACGTTTCCTAGCTTATCATTACTTCTCAATGGGTAGTATTCATACCAACTACATAATATTATCGCATGGGCAGGTTTCTAGAAATTTATTTTCGTATTTTACAAAATGCTTCCGGAGTTTCTCTGATGGTGGATAGCTGTTCAAGCTGGCATTTCTTTGCTTAATTTCAGTTTCTCTGTGTCAGCTTATTGTTGAGGGAATATTTATCTGTGCAAAGTAAAACTAAAAAAAGTGCAACTTGTTCATTTATATAGGACGGAAGGGATGATTTAAGCAGATAGAGTTGAATACTACTGTGATTTTGTTCAGTGATGAAAAGTGCAACTCGTTCATTTATATAGTTGTGTGTATGGAATGCTACGGCACTACAGGAAATGCTTAATCTCTCATCGTACAACATATGAATGTTGCGACAATGTGGTATTTCCTGATAATTCCTAATTGACATCTCATATTCTTGCAATATACCCGGAAATAAAGTGGAGACAGATAAGCGTAGTGGTGTTAAGCATGTCAGCTTCACAGACATATATCTTTCTGAACATCTCATTTCGGAATGTTTTTTTCTTCCCGACCTTTTCTAATAATTGCAGCATTTGCTACAATTACTAGAAAGGACTGTATGTAAATTTCCTATTCAATTCGCTCTCTCCGTCACTTATTAATAGGGAAGAATTCAAGGAGATGTGAGTGTATCGTTAGCTTCTTTCGCTCCTTCACACTTTAAGAAGTTCCAGAGGTCCGGGACAAGACAATAGCCTCCGTCCCACAGTAACTTCCGGCGAGAGAAAAAAGAAGGGCGGAAATGAGTATGAACTGCCTGTAAGGTGGTTGCTTCTTTATGCTCCTTAGGCTATGAACAGAAACCGCCTGACACCATCCCTCCCTCGCAAGCTTCCGTCTGCTCGCCTCCTGTTTTCTGTGGAAATACAACGCAAACTGGAGAGGAGGATAGGAGGCCTTGTTATGTTTCCGTACGGGGACAGCAGGAGCAGTGCGGCAGTAGCAATCCCGGGTCCTCCTACAATAGAGGTGCATAGGGCTTGCAGTCAGGAGTTGTTCTTCTGCATTCCTCCCATTTCCTCTCTTTCTCTCCCACTGTTAAAAGTCTGGCTAGAACATTCCTAAAGGTTTTCTCGGGAAAAGGAAGTTTTGGGTAGATGCCAAGGGCTTTTCTTTCCACTTGTCTGTCTAGTAGAGAAGAAGAAAAAGAGCTGTAAGTACTGAGCACTGTCAAGTTATGTCCCATTTCGTACTCCCACTTCTCCCTCCGTCCGTTTCTGTTCGCCCCCGCTGAACTCATTATTGTTTGGGAGATTGATGTGTATGGATAGATATTATTAAGCAGATTTCTTATCCTTTCCACTTATTGATTATCACAAATACTGTTCATCATCTATTCATAAGTCTGTGTCATCCGCCTGTACTTTTCTCTCATTAGCGCTAATAAACTTTGTCTTTATACTGATAATCATACCGTTCCTTTGTAGTGAAGATAGACCTTTGATTTGGTTGTGATGCTTCCTCTTGTGCAGATTTTATGCCAGAAGGAATATATTTCTTCACTAATATATTTATAAAGTCAATTGCCGCTATAAGGAGGTTAATTACAAGTATTTCTTTTGGTCAATAGCAATTTGATATATTTAGTGACAAGAGGAAGTTACCTGCTAGTGTTACTTTCCTTGTTCTTAATTTCCTTCTATTTGCACGCAACTTTCTTTCTGTAAAACTACCGATACGTCTCATGTTACGTAATTAAATGATGAAACATATGTATGTCGACATTTTCAGATTATTAATTTATACTTTCATTTTTTGGGAGTGTAACATATTTGCAACTTAACATATTCGATACTTAGTAACTAAGCACGTTCAATTGAAATGTTGAAAAACGCTCGTAAATTAGTGCTTGACAATCGCGGTTCAACCACCACACCATCTTCATCGTCATGTGTTGATTTCAGACAAGGTATGTATTGCTACTTATGAATATCTTAGGTATATCTTACGTGTTATGTATTTATATATATATATATATATATATATATATAATACGGCGCGCTCATCAAGGAATGTTCCCGTCCGACTGGCCTAATTGCACTCAGTTGTTAATATGAGAAAAACAACTGTATGCAAGAACTGGATTAGATGGTAAGTGATCTGCAATTGACTGGTTTGCAGTATGATACAAGATGTTTCGTAAGTGGAGATTAGGATGCAAGCTATCATCAAGAATAGCTTGCACGTTTTTTTTGACTTTGTGAGTCTCTTGCAGAGATCGGAAAGTGTCACTGTTTTCAAGGACATGATTATGCAAGCTTCAAAAAGCAGTACAAACTTGGACCAGAATTAGGACGCGGTGGCTTTGGGACTGTGTATTCTGGGTTTCGTGTAATTGATGGTTTGCCAGTGGCAGTGAAGTACGTATCAAGAAATAACGTAACCGGTTGGCAAAAGGTAGAAGTTTATGCATGCCTTTTTTTTTTTTTGGAACAACCTAAGAAGGGTACTTTTTCTAACCATTTTCAGTCGATGTTAAGGATGATTTGGGTTATTTTTGTGTGAAAAAAAAAAGCTCTCTTACTAATGCATTTTACACTTTTTAGATTCCTAGCACCGATATGAAGTTACCTATGGAGATAGTCCTTCTAATGAAATGTACAAAAATACTGGGCGTAATTCAAATGTATGATTGGTTTGAGCGACCAGATGGATTCCTGATTGTGATGGAGCGACCGTCGCCGTGTCAGGACTTGTTTGATTATATATCAGAGCACGGCGCATTAGATGAAAGAATTGCACGTAGTTTTTTCAAACAGGTGATTCATATAGTTTATATTTTGGATTATTGTCACTTTTTTAGCAAATGAAATTTGCTTTGTTTGAAGGTTGTGGATACTGTGAAAGCTTGTGAGGATGCGAATGTTGTCCATCGAGATATTAAAGATGAAAATTTGATTGTGAATTTAAAAACTGGACATTTGAAGTTGGTTGACTTCGGTTCTGGTGCATTTTACAAAACAAAGGATCAAAAATTTACCGATTTTGAAGGTAACTTTCTTTTCCACTTATTTAATCAACTGGATTAATGTTATATGCTTGGCATATATTCGGAATTTACATTTGCAGGGACACGTGTGTATAGTCCGCCGGAATGGATTCTTCGTTCCGAGTATGATAGTTGCAAGGCAACTGTATGGTCACTAGGAATTTTGTTGTACGATATGGTTTGCGGAGATATTCCATTCCATCGTGACGAAGACATTGTTTGCCGAGGACCATTAGTTTGGCGACGACATGTTTCAAAATGTTCGTTTTTTTGTTAATACATTCTGGAAATTCTTATAGCATTTTTGATAATATCGGTGTAGTCGAATAAGAAGCGAAATATGTCAAGGAGTTCAATTTTAGGTTGTAAGAATCTGATTATGGAATGTTTAAAGTATGATGCGGACGAACGTTGTGATTTGGAATATATACGGCATCATCCCTGGTTGTCCGAAGGTGACACATCTCTTCCACTGTCTATATCGGAATTGAATTCAGGTCGCTATAAGTTAGGCAGCGTACCAGCAAAATTGGTGACACATGCAGAGCAACATCCAGCTTTGCGTTACGCTATACCAAATGCTGCTGCGAGTGAATCGCATTTAAGCGCTTTCATGTATTTTTCGTCGCAGAACGGTTCTGCAATTATTGCCAAAACATCGTCAATATCTATGGGAGGCCATAACCGGCACCATTCTCCTGGGTTCCGATCTTTTATTGATAGTTATTCCGGAAATCTATCATTGTCATCAAGTTGTTCAAGTATAAGCTCAGGATATTGTACCACTTCCTCGCCACCAACAGGTTCGCTAATGTTGGGCAGTTATTGAGTTTCCTGTTTTATTGATATCAACAGAGAATTCTATTCTTCTGTATCTTTTTTCTATATATAAAAGAGAAATATTCACTTTCATTTTGGCACATTATGTCCTATATGTTATCATTCTGAATTATATTTATTGACTTAGTTCAATTTTTATTCATATGTTTTGTTATGCTTGTATCTGTATATGTTATTTCTTGGATGCTACAACTATTGTTTTGTACAAATCATTATATACTTCTATCTCAATACTAGTAATACTCGCTATTCATTAAGTGTTTTCACGAGAAAGTGATCAGTATTGCCGCCTACTCTTCGGAAAAAATTTTTAATAACTGGAAATCCCTGAGTGGTGACTGTTCTAAAGGAGGAAATAAGATGAATGATTACAGAAATTATTCAGTGATTGGATTTGCGTCAGAATCCTGGTAGGTTGGTTTGTGTGAAGCTTGTTAAGTGTTAGCACTGATATTAATACAAAAAGGCAAGTTTGTGATTTCGAGATGTTTTGCATATTTCTCACTTTTACACCGTTTGCATGCAGTGAAAAATGGAAAATGAATAAACAATGAAAAAGTTATCAGCTTGTTGAGCACACGAAATTAAACGAGATTAGAAAAACTCGGACTATAGGCAAGGGATTTGTCCTATCTCAAGATCGGTAGAAATGTTTGCATTCTATTGAAAATGGTGTGTTGTGCACACAATTTATGTTGAGAGGCGTAACGTTCAATGAGGAATTAATTACAAGTGAAGGGTGGTTGTGTCGATTGGGATTAAACATGTATCAGTAAAATACATTAAAAGGCTGAGGGATCAACGAGATTTAGTTCTGGTTAAATGGTACAGGAATGGTTTAGTTTGGGAAATAAAATCTATCACACAGTATATGATGTTACACCTGGAGTGTTGCACCTTGAAAGATCTAGGTTGCATGCTTATGCTTTCTTTAACTTGTTGACGTATCGCAAAAGAGTAGAGCAACACAAAGTATAGTTTCAAAAAACATGGAGCAATTTCAAGAAGACACTATTGTATAACTGTCAATCAGAACAGATGGCTTGATCTGCCTTCCATCTAATAGTACTTTCAGAAAAGTCTGGTGAGTTCATTTCAAAGAGTCCATAAAACAGTTTTGACTGACATACAAACGAAGGAATAATTCTAATACCAAGATAGTATTTTGCTAAGTGAATTGATAATTTAAAAAAAAATAGTGTGTGCTGGAAATACAGCAAAAAAAATCAACATTGCCAGAAATTGTACGACTTTGATATAACGATAGGTTTCGTGGAACATTGTTCTGGGACTGCTTATATAGAAACTGCAAGACGGATCTTCAATTACGAATAATAGTAGAGAGAATAAAGTATTCCAAACAAGCAACAGTATTTATTTTCCCTGCTTGTTATTAATTAATCATCGGTAGCAAGTATGGCAGTCTCGTTGTTATCGTTGCTGTCGTTAGTATTAAGTAGTGTCATACTAATACAAAATGGTTGCAATTAATAGCGAATGATAAAGTATACTGACATCGTGTTCACCGAAAATGATTTTCTACAACTGAAATAACTATGTGCTATGATGGCCATTCGAATGTCCCGCAAAATTAGTTGTGACCACAACAACGAGCGGAGTGATGTGCGACATGCTTATTTCGAGAGTAATTGCAGTGTGTTAGGACCTTCTCGAAGAAATGTCAACAACAACTTCTGATTCCAAATGAATTTACTTCTGCAAGTTATAGTCCCGATGATAGAACTCTCTTCGGTTTCAATTACTCTGATTTCTGTGCATTTCTATTACCAACAGTATTCATATAATTAGCATAATCCCAATCTATCTGTTGGTTTTAAATTATTAGCTATTAGATGACGACATAGCCACAACAAGTGTCCGTCTTACGGTATCATTCAATTAATAATATCCTTTATTCTCTCATATTAACTAGCCATAATACAAAATTGCTTTTCTCTGTTTAAAAAATTCAAACAAATCCGTAAAATTCTAAAAAATTCAATCTTTGGTGTCAAAATAAGCGGTTGCTGTTGTGTTGTTTCGCTCCTTCCCACATTTTCTTTCCGATTTATATTTTCCTCTCCACAGATTTTCTGTTCGTACAGTTGAAAACAGTTGAGAAATAATATGATAAAAGCGCATACCATTAGAAATAAGATAATGGAAATAGCAACATAAATCCATCTGCAATACACTTTTCAGAGTTAGTCGATTCTTTCGAAATTTATTGAACCTCAAGTTTCATCGAATAATAAATTCAGATTTTTGTTTTACTTCAAATAGAAAGGAAAGAGGCATTCTAGATATTCGGAATTTCTTAAATTTTCTATTCAATCCGACTCGTTAGACGGATTCATTTGCTTCGATAGAAACAAAAATTCAATCATACCGTATTGCGATTATTATGCTATCCTGAATGGAAGTGCACCGTGCGTGCATGGAAGCTAAGATAGGTTCTACTGATTCCGGTTGAGCTTTCGTCTTCTTCATTTCAATCGCTGTATCTTCGATAATGATGCTCTGTGCTGTTATTTGTCTCTAGAAGCGCAAAAGGACAAAGACAATACATGGATGGACAACACGTTCGTTACATTTCCGCTCACTTACATTCGAACTTTTCGTAACGCAAAAGTCGTCTTACTGAATAACTCAATGTGATGTGATTAGTCAAACATTTTTGAACAGTTCTGCAGAATGGGAGTAGTCGATTTGTTGTTAGATTAGAAAGTCTTCAAGATTTTCATGATTTCAATCAACTGATGCAAATTCTAAATGTTCAAAACTATACTCACTTTTAAATGGTCGATAATTTTTCGGTAATGACATCGGTGCTGTTTGAAGCTTTCATCTTACATCGATAGGCATTCACATTCCATCTTCTATTATTCACTACATCAAATTATCATTACTTAAACTGCTGATTAAATGTTATCAGTCAGTGCACTTATTTCACTGCACAAAGGAACTGCTCGAACTAATCGACAGCTTCACTCCATTAATTCAACCTTACCAATGAATGTCCCACAGGTAAATCGGAGACCGCTTGAGTCAACAATTTGCACTGCGTCCTGGTCGTGAAAGTGCGGTGCTAGAGATGCGGGTGTATTGGTTTTGTCGACAGGTGTAGTTGTGTTGTGAGGTGCAGATTTTCTGTGTGGTTACTTATAAAATAGGAAGAATGTGTGTTTGTATAAAATAGAATCTATATGAAATAGAAAGAAGTTGTAAGTATGTGTTGGCCAATAATTCAGTTTCGAACGGAGACAGTTTTGAACGCATATCTCTGATAGTTATTATAGGAGCATATGAGAGTGATCGGGAATTTTTCGGTTGCAACCGGTTATTGCAGTCAAAAATTCAAAAGAACTGATATTCAAAATCTAATCCATTTGTTGTGAATTTATATTTGCATTGAACACTTCTATTTGAGGATATCATTTGGAAAGTTGATGATATATATATGTTTCCTCTGTATTCAGATTTCATCAATTTGAACCGTTTGGGATAGATCTTTGCAGAGGAAAATCATCCTGAAAGACTGGTATATGTTGAAATTTCATTTCTGGTCACGCCGCTTTGTTGCGGCAATATCGGCGGTACCTTCCTCAATCAGTTTACATTATATTCGATTTTTGAATGCTTTCATTCGGACTGGTTTAGGAGCAGTAAGCAAATTTGCTGGATTTGTTTTGTCTTTTTGCTCATGCTTTCGTATTTTCGTAAGCCATTAAAATCGTCAAAGAAATAAGCATGGAATGAACAGTCTGGCAATTAATACTGACACTTTTAAATGTTAAGATTAGGTTTAGACTCACTTAATCATTACAGTATTGATTAGTAATATTTTAGGGTTTGTACTGTCTCGTTCATTTCTTATTGGTAATAATTGTTGGATGCGAATATCTCATCCTGTTCCCATACGAACAACAAGTACGGCCATCATTTCGCATCCCCCTCTATTATGCTGTCGGTGCATATCTAATTGTTTGCATTCTCTTTCATTATCAAAAAGCTTGCTCAGTGGACCCTGGGCGACCAGAATGTGTTAGTTATTTGTCGTTTCCAGAACAAACTTTCTAAATATTCCTCGGTATTTTATGGATTAAAATATAGTTGTATTCTCCTTTTTTCTAAATTAGTAATTACAACATTTACAGTCTAATGCGGAACCGTTGTGCATTTCTTGTGGATACCATAAACCGGAAGGAACACACCATTGTTCACTGTGTGGTCGTTGTGTGTTGTATATGGATCATCATTGTGTATGGATCAATCAATGTGTGGGCCTTAATAATCATCGCTATTTCTTACAATTCGTTATCTATGTGTGGTTTTCGCAGTGTTTCATACTCACTGTAAATTATGCGGCGTTTTGGGAACACTTCTATTCTGTTAATGTTTGTTTCTTGCATTCTACAGTTCTATGTTTTCAACCTGGTATTTCAAAAAATTATTCAAAGTAGCAAATAACAGAGTTATAGCATCTCATCATGGCTTAACTGATTGCTACGCATCGTATATTGCGAACTTTTTCCAACTCCCGAAAAAGTCCGCTATTTGTATATGTATAGTTATCCCTGTTATTTATGGTAACTTTCTATTTTCACCATTTTCATATGAATTATGGGTTCATGCTCAAAATAGTATGTTTTCTTGGGAAGACGCACATATATATATGTAGCGTGCTGAAGTGCAATTTGTACAGAGGAAGTTTTATTTATTCCAGAAGATTTCGACGTCATTAACCGTTGTCCTCATTAACCTGCCGTATCTTTGTTAGCATCTTGAACAGCGATGGAACCTGACGTTTAACATTGAGATGGTCTGGAAGAAGTAAACTTACTGTTTGGACTTGGAAACTGTTTTAAGCAAATATTGGGCTTTGCAGCGCTTATCAGCTGTGCCATATTGTGCTCAGCATTTATCACTGGCGCCGTGGCGTGGTCTACTTTGTTCACTAATACCAAATCTTCTGATCAGTTATATTTGTTTTGTTTATGGATTGGCAGCGCTTTTATCCATCATTCTTGGAATGTTCGCAGCATGGAACATGTATTTAATCTCAATTGGCGAAACATTCATCGATTACTTGGCTGGTTTTCATACACTTAATGCCATTTCTTAAATGATAAATTTCATATTAGGTTTAAACAGTGTGTGAATTTATTAAAAATTTCAGTAGTGGTTTTAGAGCAATATTTGAGCATAAAATAACTTTACCGATATGGGGACTTTGTTCCGAAACTTTCGTGTTTAAAAAATTTTTCCCGAACTTCGGTCAATTTATGCACCATTATCTGGTTACTGATATATATCTTTGCATATTACAAATGAAGCTGTTCAATCTTAACAATATCACATTTATGCTATTTTTTATCACTTACATGATATATATCTTTCCATACTTAGGTGTGCTTAACCACTATCAGTTAACATAGTTATTTAATCCAGATAAGGTTAATTAACTCTTTTTTTTTTCCTTTTCATTTGTACTTGAGAGAACTATACAATTTGTGAAACGTGGTGGATGCAAGAGGTGGAAAAAATCTATAAGTTGGAATTCTTTAAAACAACGTTAGATTGATGTACGCTTCAATTTGAAGTGTATTCGTTGTTCTCCTATTAACGAGTTGAACACCGAGGGCACTTAAAGGTTCAAGGCAAAAAAGTCGTAAGCTATTACGTTCCACTTCATTTATGATGAGCGGTTAGTTCGCTTCAGTGCGAACTTTTAAAAGAACTTGCATGCATTGCAATCGTTTTCAAACTTCTTTTGCTTTTTTTCTCTCCGAAGTCTTAACTGTTTAGCAACATCGTGATTACCGACGGAAACAGCACAGATGGCGTTCACCAAACGATCTCGGATTCGTGGAGAACTGGCGTTGTTTCTTGGGACTGAAGCAGGGTCGCAGTTTCATACGGCACATTCTGTTGCCGTCCTCTCATTATCCCATTGACAGACGTCTCATATGTAAAAATGATGTTCTCCCTTTCGTCGTATAAATGAATCGTTAGTTTATCATTCTATGTTTTATTTTATAGTGTTATTTTATGCTTTTTAAGTGAAGTTTCATTTATCCATTTGCTTGAAAATTTCGCTTTACTATGGCAGTATCCATTGATTTTTGCTTATTCCACTATTAATTCCCTTAATTCCGTTTCAAGTGTTAGATTGGTATACTTTTGCATACTGGCTGTTAACTTGGCCTGATATGAAAACAAGTTCTCATTATGTTTGAATATGTTTGAATTTTACGCCATGTGATTCTCTTTGCTTCAGTATTGTAGGCGGTCCAATCCACGATAATTTGCTATTTTTGAGGCTACAAGATAAATATTGAAGAATGATGGAGAGTTTGAGAAGGGATCAGATATTGATAAGACAGCATACTTTGCCCATTTTAGTGATCATGAACCTGACAGATAGTAGTAGCCGCTTTAAATATGAAATAACAAGGAAACAAAAATGATAAATATTTTGTACAAAAGAGGCACTAAATGTATAACTTCATAACTAATTTCTGTTAATTGTTGACATTTCATTTTTGTTCCAGAATTCGTCAAGGCTAATGGCGGATGTATGATCTAGAACAGATACGCGTGGACGTTCAAACAGTTCACCGCGTCGTATTTTGAGTAGTGCTTCTTCCCTCGTTGTGCTGCCCATTGTATTTTCCCGTAAGCCAAATGGTAGGTTTTGTTTGCTTCGACTAGGTACCGAGAGGCGTTCTTCACTCGTTTGACGGGCATTAAAACATGGCTCAATTGTCAGAACTGTTGGTTCAATTCGTTGCAGGTTCAGTTGCTGTGCCGAGTGCGAGTTTTGATTCGGAGTATTTTGTTCTATTGTTTGTCTGTAATTATGTTACTGTTAATTTTTTTATATTAGATTTTGCCTTTACTTATGTAAATTGCTACTAAATAGTTTGTTTTAAGTTTTGCTTATTTCCATTCTTGACCTGCTGTATGTTTATTTTCAATATGAATTGTTCGTTTTGAATCTGATGGTGTGAGAATACAATCTGTTTACAGCGAAAAAGATAAATATTCCAATAATTTTCTGACAGCTAACCTTGATGAACCTCCATCTAAGACTGCATTGAAAGCATTTTCAGTTACTGTAGTCACTCTTGCATCACTATTAGCACCATCAATTCTTTGGACCTCGGAGCTTTCGATATGTGATACTGTAGTGGATGTTGCAGCTCTCTGCACATCGATTCCCGCAACCAGGCGCTGGTTTACATCGGAACTTCCAATACGTGACAGTGCATGTTGCTTTCTACACTTCCGATAACATAAATAAAGTAGGATAAGCATCAACAGAATAAGCAGAATAATAAACAACCAGACAGTGAAACGGATTGGAGACTTTGCGACGCTGCTACGCATCATTTCTTCTTGTGGAAGATACGGTATCGTGTTACCATCTGAAAATATTTCCTTTGGATCAGTTTGTCCTTGGATCGTTTACTATTGAACAGTGCCAAGTGTCAAATATTACCTTGATGACGCTTGCATATATATTCATGGCGATTTCTGCAGTCATCCATAGCCAAAATATATCCATTCCTATTTCGCCAGTCTATATAGGCACAGTTTTGTCCAGGGGAACTTCCAGTGAGTTTCGGTAAGCTGAAACAATGAGATAATTGTATAATATGTACTGCAGGTTTTTGTTCTGCATTTTTCTATTCTGTAACATTAAAGCAAAATGCTCATCATAGTTAGTAGCTCGATAAAGTAATTTCTGTTTGATACAGTATGATAGATTAATATTGATTTTGCCTAAATTTATCACTTAATTTCAGTGCAGTATTTTACTGCTGGTTGTGATATGTACAGCTCTTTCCATTAAATGCATTTTGACTCGTTGATGTCTCCAAACATCTATTTGTATGACAGGTTGATGTCTACAACTGCTAATATTAGAATAGTACCGGATGTACTGCAGTTAAAAATTTTTTGTTTTGTTTTCAATGTTGGATAAATGACCATCTACGAACTCTTCTAGCCAAGGTCCGGAGTTTGGATCCACGGGCATAAATTTTCCTTCACTGCTATCTTCCATGTAACCAATCCATGGTAGTGTTTTGCTTTTTTTGTAAATTGCTGAAATATGTCAATTTCACCTTTCAGGCTAATGAACTTAGGTAATTTATTCCTGGTCCATTTAGTAGAAATACGGAACTAGGCATCTGGTTACCTGCAACAAAAGAATACTCGATGGCAGAAGTCAACGTGAGTAGGTTGCTGCGTACCAAATTACATTCCTTCTGCGCTTCTAACCACGTTAAACCGTGAACTGGCCTCTTTAATGTATAACAGTAACCTACCGAACTGAAAATCCAGCTCGGTGGACATCCTGGTATATCTGAAAGTTAGACGGAAGATATCATTTCTGTTAGTTTTCCTATAGTCTGAGGACTAGTTTTGTCAGCTCTATATGTGTACAGGATAATAGATATTTCAAAATATCTTCACGTAGTACGACCATTCTTGGTAATTTGCCGTTATCTTTATAGAATCACAAATTTAGATAGAAGTAATGGCATTTGTTAATTTTCTCAGGGGAATTTGACAATTTGGCAGAGGAATTATACATGAAGAATGCAGAAATTGATATTCATTGAAAATCATGGATGATAAGGAACTTACGATTTTTGCACAATGTTCCATCAACTTTCGCTAAATGCTAGATAATTTTTCAGACATAATTATAACGTTAAAATAGACCCTTTTTTTTATTGTTTTTGTTTGTGGGTAAGGTTATAAATAGCAATGTAACCTTATACGACAAACATACCACAAACATTTCGTAGTTTAAAAAAAAAAAAAAAACAAAATACCAAATTCAATGAAGGACATATTAATGCCTTTCCCTTGAAATGCTTCATCGCTATGAAAATACACATAAAGTGAATCGGTAGTACTAATAACCGCATTCGGATGCTTATCACCACACCAACGTACTACTTCTGGTGATTTAGATGTATCACCTGAAAAGAGAGGGCAATCAACATTTTCTTTGTTTGTCATTGAAACTTTACGGTTCTATTAAAAAAAAAAAAAAGGCTTGCCATCATGAATGGAGCAATAGTCATCACATTCTGAGAACAAGGCATCGTCAATGTCGGAATCATGGACAGTTAGCATTATTCTTTTCCTGCTACTGCTACCCATCAGGATCCAGCTGCATCTCATGTTATTTGCATAGCGACCGGTTTCATATCCAATTGTGTGAAAATAGACTTGCTGAGCATTAGACTTCGCTTGTAGTATTATCGGCTCTGCTACAGTAATATTAACATTCGGAAGATGAAACTTGAAAAGTCGCATGCAAAAGAAGGAAACTAAAGTTATTCGGAAAATTGAGTCCAAAAGGATAGAAAATAAAATAAGGAACGACTAAGGGACGACTAAAATGCTAATCGAAATCTTATGAACAAACAGTAAAATGATATTGGCCACATATTTCAGGGTACCACATCAACTGGTCATTAAACAGTCAAAATTTCATTATTAAGATTATATTATTGTTACTGCTCCCTATCATACTATCAATTTCTCGCTTTTCAAAGACGATTTTAACAAAAAAGACAAAATAGAAAATAAATATTACCAGGACATGCCTGTGCATGCACAGCCATTGTATCGTCGAAATTTCGTATTACAATGTAAAAAACCATATTAAGAATAAAACAATTCTTTCCAAGATAGACGGACCGTAATGCTAATTTGGAATAATGAAAGAGAAGTAGCAATGAAAAGTGTTGGATATATTCAATTAGCCTGGTAATGAACGACATCAAGAAGCCTACCATGCACATTGTGATCAGTGCAGCTTGGTAACAATTTGAGTAATACGAAATGGTATGAATTATAGCTGGAAAAAAGAATTTCCACCTTCCAATCGCACCGAACCACATTGATCACGAGTGAACCACCGATGACTGAGGATAGGTTGATGATGATGATGGTGGTGGTGGTGGTAGTGAATTTACTCCAAAAAGCTCAGCCAGTAATCACTTTATTACTACTCAAGCTTCCTAATCCTGTTGAAAATGCGTCCTTTTGCATCCATAGCAACCACACCAACAGTTTAGTTTATCAGTTAACCAAAGGCAATTATGTAGCATCGACATCAGCTCCTCAATATTTCGTCGTGAGCATATTTGGAAGTAGTGAATGGGGCAGTCTACTCCATTATTTGCAGTCCGAAAAGAAAAGTAAGTCATCCTATCAAAATTTGCGCATGTGCAAAATAGACTGCATTCAAATGTGAAATGACTGCATCTTTCATCTTTCTCTTCCCATCTTATTATCCTGAAGAAAAATGAAAAGATCATTTCTTCGTGCCACATATTTGTAGCTAACCACTTGCCATTTGCATAATATTCAGAAGTCTGATTCTAACATTCAGCATCTTTCGAAGCACCCGTTGCTGCTATGCAGCTTCTGATTTAAGACCAATCAGAAGCCAATTTTCATCACTTTCTATTGCGTGTTTGCATCTGTCCAAGCATGTACAGTACTTGCCAAATATCAACTTCCGGTCATCGCAGGACAACAAGAATTGACTGATTTGTTGAACTTCGTTTTATATTATCCTGAAGAAAAATGAAACTAACTTGTGCCTTTTTCTGGACAGTATATATCTATCAAATAAGGTGCATCATTTTCTTCACAATGTCAAGTTCAGCTAAACTAGTACTGTCGAAAAAACCAAATTATAATATGACAAAAATAATTTTGTATCACACCTATAAAATTAAAGGTTGTCTTATTTGAATATTCCTTAGACAAATATAAACTTGTTTTAATTTTCTATCTCATATGAGCAATCATTTAGTCAACACTTATATTCTTGCACTTGTAACTAATCTTATCTTAATTGTCTAAAATGTTACAGTTTCATCCTATCAGATCGTAGATAACATCTCTGCGAAATTATCAGCATTATCAATATAAATTAATAATACTTTGTTTAATATATTTTAGAAATAAAAATTTATTTCAACAAACTCCATTACACAACACATTCGTCTGTACAAACTCTTCCAAACTGCAACCAAGAAAACTACCTAGCAAGTAAATCCTAGCAAGTTCACGAAAGTACTACTCTAACGAGGTATACGATTCGTCTCTTTAAATGGAAATTTGGAACCTATTCCATGCTTCTTGCTTGCAGTTTGCAGTTCTCAATTTTTGGTCGCTGAAACGTATTTCAAAGTATTATGTAACTTGTGATCTCTCCCCTACTTCTTCCTGATGTGAGAACAAGTAATAGAAGGAAGAAGAAAAAAAAAAAATATAATAGTGTACCACAAAATAGCCTCTCCAGTGTACCACGAATAGTGGACAAAAAAGTGTTCAGAACAAAGAGGCAATAAAATTGATATCAATATTCCTGATGGAACACTTCAAACAGGAATAAGAATAAAATAAGAATAGACAGCCCAAATTCCGGATGGAACAAAGCTACTGGAGATTACGGGAAATGTGTATGGAGAGAAGAGTGAACATACATGTAAAACTTATGGCAAACAACGTAAGTACGTGTATTCTGAACGTAGGGTAACGTAATAGTATGCTAAGTACAATGTTATGTTGATTCATTGAATGGTAAATTGCATTTGTCCATCCCATCTATCTGTCTTGAAAATTATGCATAATTCTGTTCCAAATCTTACCAAGTGCAAGAGTTGCATGCATTTTAGCATGTATTCACAGCATTCACTTCACAAAATTGGACCGAACGTGAACAGCTACTGATAAAATCCTTCCGTGAATTTCACGATAACAAAACTTACACCAACTGATAATAGATGTCAACACTGGGACATAAGTTTCACATGATGCTGCACTCGGTTTACTGCGCCTCAATTTTATCGGAAGGACTGGGGTTAGATTAGTTCCTCTCATCGTTGGGGTTACTTCCTACCTTTTCGTCGCTGTTCTTATCATCCGTATCTATTTGTTCCTCTTGTTTAAATTCAAACTTTAAAAATGTCAATTCTCTGTTTTTTTTTTTACCACAAGTACTCTACTTGCATGCAGAAATTAAACGCACTTTTTGCATCAGAGGTTTTTGTACGAAAACTTTGTTTTCTTCTATGTTTCTTTTCGTTCACAATTAAGAGTGGCTGAGTTTTTTTTTTTTTTTTTTTTCAAAATTTTATGCTTATATGAATTGTTTGTCTTCCATTCATTATGATGTTGCATTTCAGAATAATAAAATCGATGCAAGTGAAATTGATATGAAATATTGGTGTCAACTTTTACTTTTCGCAGCGTCCTGTATGCTGGTTTTTTTTTTTTGATTTTACTGTCATAGAAGTTGAAATTTCCTTTCGAACAGAGAAATTCTTGTCTCCATTTCAAACGAAGAAAACTCATATATATTGTAGGCAGAAGGGGAAGAGGTTCAATGTACCATTCATGGATTAGCGAAAGGTGAACATGGTGGTAAGGTTAGGTGTTGATATTGGATGTTTTAACTAGGAATATGACTGGAGAGAAATTCATTCAGTGAAAATCAGTTGTGGTGAACGACTATCGGATCAGATCTATCTAGATTTGATTGGTGGAAGATACAGTTGCTTTCGATTGTTGAATGGAACACATGAAATTGGGTGTGGTTGTAAGTACTTGTATTGTTTAAAAGGAGATAGGCGTTGCAAGAAATGATCAGAGTAATTACTTATGGAGCTCTGTATTTGGTACCATTTCAGCTGCAGAGGAAGGAAACGAAGGTGTTGTCGTTTATGCAAATAATGCTGATGAGTTAATCAATCTTATAGCAAGTCTTGATTCTGAAGATCGCATTATCACAGCTTTCGATATATTTCTTTTAAATGAGTAAGTTTCAGGCTGTATTTTTTAGTTTCTGTTTTTTTTTACGAATAAATACTTTTAAATAGGATACATACTGTTGCTGCTGCAGGGAAATAATCAGAGTATTGAAGGACGATAAAGTACGTGGTGTGCTTCTTTTACGCAATGAATCTTCTATCAGCGACATGAAACGACTTGATGTCGGATTTTCGGAAGATGCCGTTTGCCCTAACGAACAATTTGGTACAACTTTTTGTTGTTTCGTATTTCCCGCCGCCAGGTCTATAATTTATGGTCAGATGAAGTAACAACTGAGTAATAGTTAAGTTCTTGATAATTTTTCTATAGAACTGAATGAGCTCCACATTTTTCAGATATTAGTGGGAAATGTGAAAATCGTTGGAATGAACACGGTGCACTGTTGCCGGAAGGCTTTCGATTCATCAATTGGAAGAAACCAATTTTTGTTATTGAAAATTACACTGAAATTGACATCATCAGAAATTTCGTCAGTCGGTTTGCTATGCTGTATATTTACCATTTCTTCTGAAAACAGCTAAAATATGATTGAGTCATACGTTCATAGATCTCATGAATTTCAATATCTCTTCTACATCAGTCAACCAAAAAGTATTTATTGCAGTGTTATGAAGCATTCAACAAGAGGAATTTGAGAGAAGATGTACTTTGTTCAGCTCGCATGAAGCATTTCATGCGAGCAGCGGGAAATGCTCAAATATGTCTCCAACGCCAAAGGCTGTTTTACGGCTTTTCAGATTCATTGTTAGTATTCGGAAAAGTATTTTGATTTTGTTGCTTGGGCTTATACATTTCGCATTACTTGGTTTCAGGATCTCTTTATGTGACCCATTGGCAGACAAAAATTTGTTTGCAACAATTCCAGCACTTACGAAAAAGTTCAAGCCGAAAATCTTGATTCTCTCCGCCAGAGTATACTTTCTCATATTTGTTTTCTTTCATTTTATTTGATGAATCTCAAAAGATGGGATGACTACAGAGGCAGTGTTTGACGATGTTGTAGATGGATTCCTTCAGTTCGTTCACAGAAGCAGCTGTTGGTGAGGTGTCTGTTCTCACATCACTCGTTAGTCTTCTAGCGGTTGCTAAAACGATTGCAAATCATTCCACTGAATTTGAAGCTGTAGCACAACGCAATGGGAGGGCCGTCATGTTTGCATTTTTTCACGGAGTATGTTCTTGAATTTATAACTAGGAATGCTTCATTACTATTTTTTGAATTTAACTAGTATAATATGAGTTATGGTCATGTTAGTGTAACTAAAATTCTGCCATTTGTTAGTATAGTCATACCAGTATATTTTTGTCATAGAATGCAAGAGATTTTAATGCAAATAAATGATTTCAGGAATCGCTGGGTTATATCGGAAGTAGTGCCACAGTAAATGACATCATAAAAGGCGAATTTCCTCTAGATATCCGGTTAACAGATATCGATAGCTTTATTGAGGTGACTATAAAGATTGTGAACATGACAGCAGAACTGTTTTAATAAGGTTGACTAACAGACCATTATTATACATGCACAGCAAATTCAACAAGCAGTAATAGGTCAAAAAAATCTAGCATTAAAGTTTACCTTACATTGTATTACTTTCACTTGTGATTATTTTGCAGGTGCAGCAGCTTGATGGTTCAGAACCAGTGTTTTCTGCTCACATCGATTCAAAGGCTTACGATACTCCTGAAAACAAACTGAAAGTGTGTGGAACAGCAAATTCTTAGAGAAATATGTTTTATTCCCATCTCTGATGGGGCTAAAATCCATTTTTTCATGCTATTTTACATCCAGTGAGTAGGATCCGATTAGGTTGTCCTAAGTTAAGCGATGACTTTGTGGTATATATTTTTTTAAATGTTAGTTGGGTTGCGTAATTATGAGAATTATGTAGTCCTTCATTTTCATTTTGTTAGATGGATGTTACTCTAATCATTTCAGGTGCAAACTTTGCTAGACGCAGCTAAATCGTCCTTTAAGCAAAGTAAAATAAATATCGAGAGGAGGACTGGATTACCACCCTCTTCTTATCAATCATTTTTGAAGGGAAAACGTGACATAGCTGGTTTTGTTCTTCGGCCGTTTAGTCAACAATATATTTATAAGTTAGTAGGAATTGTTCAGCTGTGATAGCCTAATAAAAATGTGCACTTGCGAAAAATAAAAATTATTTATTAATATAGTTAGTAACTTATATTGTCGATCTAAAACTGAATAAAAAAAAAAAAAAAAAAAAAAAAAACTAACATACTATCAGTAATCGTTATTTTCAGCCGGTTAAATTCATTGGAGGATCAAAATGTGTTCAAAAATGGAATTACCAAACTACAAACTCAAGTTGTTGCTGCTGCGAGTGTTGTTATGGGGGCTGTAGCACGATTTCTCACTGGTGGTAATGAAACTGAACCTGATTTATTCAATCAATATGATATAGATGAACTATATGTAAGCAAAGATTACTTATCAGATTTATTCAATTTCTTCTATATAGCACATCATAGCACTTTTAACGAATATTTTATTATAGGTAGCTGTTCTTCTGAATTGTTTCTTGAAATATTCTGATTGGCATACATGTAACTTTTTCAAAAGTATCACGAAAGGCGACAGTCGGTTTGAACATCATTGTTAGTTCAAGCCAATCTTTTTTTGTAGTTTTTGCTTCCATTATGACTTCATCTTTTATATAATAGTTGTTTACAGATGTAAACTGAGTTGGAAAATTACCATTTTGTTGGCTTGGCTAAATTCTCCAATCTTTTTGAATTTCATTTGCAAACTTTACAGCGAAAGAAACGTATATATCGGTAGGAAGGGACAATTACTCATTAATTCGCACTCTGATGACTATGTTAATTGTTAATGTTCTTGGATCCAAGAATGCTGTTAATGTTCCCAGTCGCGCTCAATGTGAGGATTTAAATAAACACGACAAGGTTAGCAGAATGATTGTGTTATACAATTATTATTATTATTTTTTTTTCGTAACTCCTTACAAATTAAAAGACTGTGCTTATGTTCACTTACCAATTTACAGTTTTTTTTTTTTTTTTTTTTGAGAAACACTCAAATGAAGCGTTTAATATGAAATGTAAATAATGGGATATTATGTTGTAACATACGAACATCATTTGAACTTCACAGCTGTAGGCACAAAATTATTATAAGGCATAACTGGTGAACAAACATTTTTTGCATCCAGATCTATCCATTCATTATTCCTCTCCTCATTTACAAAATTATGACAAAAATTTATTGGAGGCAGTTGACTCTTTTTGAGCAGTTTTTTTTTCTCTCTCTGTTGCAGATTTATCATTACACTTGGCAGTATGATCCAGAAGATGAAAAATTTACATGCTATCGTAATTTGCTATATACAACAGCTGCGGAATCTCCAGCCTTCAAATTAGACGGTATATTTCTTATAAAATTTTTCTATCTCGATAAGACATAAGTTTCTGCAGATAGGTTTTCATCTCTAGTTTATTTCATGCTATATGTAGCTGAAATTCACTCATAGTTTATTCATGTTTTATCTCTTTTAAGCTTTGCAATTTAAAGTCTTTCTATATATAAAAACTGGATGCATAAAGCCACTTGAAGTTTTTGCAGTTTGGTATGACCGGGAGTTTTCAGGTTACAATATGCATTCAGGAGTTTATTCAACTTGGGTGGAAAGTGTTTGGACCACGAAACAACTGGAACTTTTCTTAACCATACATCCATGTTTAACACATGATATTACCGTGTTTTTATACGGTTTGATTTTTTTCATCATTTCACTGTTCGTAATGGAACTGATTTATTTGGGAAACAAAGAAGCCATCTGACCAAGAGCATCTATGCTCGACTGCCCGTTCCATAGTCTGATGAGCTGTATTTTCTTACGCTATTTTAGTTAAACATAATTTTTGAATTTTTCCCGGAGAATTTCTTCCATCACTTTTATATCTATAATTTTTGTTGTCTTTAAATGAGCGTACATATCGAAATAATTCATTTCATTCTGGTTATGATATATATTGTTTTCGTCAATCCTTGATCCCAAGCATTGTATAGAAGTTTTCTAACTTATTGTTGTTCTAGTGTGAGTAATCTTGTACGGTGAATGTTTCTCGATTGCTATTACAAGTTAGTGATGACTTAAAGTAGATTCTCTATTGTAGTTAATCACTTGGCATATGTAGTTCATTTCGAAGCTTTTCCATTGTGTTGCATAAATTTCCTGTCGCTATTAATTTTGTGCATACTTGCACATTTTCATTTTTATCTATTTAAATCGATGCACAGCTAAACAACATCCTTAAACTTTGTGATGATCTAACAGATACAGGATGATCCGACTAATGAGGAACACTACTACTCGTTATTGATGAGAATGTGAGAGTAGTATTATGCAGTCTGAAGTGTCCGCTGAAAATATATAGTGATTGTCGACTTTACAATTTTAACCGGAAGGTTGTTAAAGCGGTAAAGGTAGGATAAACAAAACATTCAGTTTATGCGAAAAGGAAACATAAGCAAATAACCATAATAATGAGGGCGATAAGGCAGACAGTGGCTTTGACGATCAGAGATGGACCTTCATTTCCAATGAACATGGACTGAGATATTTCCTTCGCATCATTCTTTGGCGGGCTTGTCTAAATTCTTTACTCGTTACATGCACTTGCAAATTGGAGAAAGCTATAAGGTACCACAGGTCACGGGATATCACCATTAATGTAACTTCCAGAGTGGAGGTAGACAAAGCCTAAGCATAATTCCAGTATGAGGTGCAAAATGATAGTGGTATATGTATAGCTTACGGAGGTTTTTTACGGAAGTTTATGGAAATCCAAGAAAAAAAAAGAATCCTAATTAGCAACAGGGAATAACCGTTTCGGAGTCAAATAATTGTTGTGGTCGTTGAAGTAGGATGTATTCCATCCTTTCGGATGGCCGACATCTGCAAAAAAAGCTATTGAAAATTTCTGAAATTGAGAAATTTGATTGAAACAAACAAGGAACGAGAGATGACAACCAAATATTTAAGTCAGAAAATGCTAACATAAGAGTTTAAATTTTTGGTGAAAATTCGTTGGCTAATGTGCCAAATATTTAAGGCCAAAATTGAATCAGATTCACTTTTCAAAGATGCCTTCTCACTAAAAACTAACCGTGAACGTGGCTCGTAATCATAGTGAACAATTGGTACACTAACTGGTTGACCCGTTGCACCTTCCACATCTTTCCTTTCACCATTAAAAATATGCATTTCCAACCTTTCACTTCCATTTGCCAATTTCATTGTCTTTGTTTATCCAAAAAAATTTAGTTCATGTAATCAAGATAGCATATGATGGTGACAAATCGACAACGTAGTGAGTTTTGCGATGATACCAAATAATGTAGGCACTATATATTTCATAAAATTCTTGTTCTATCTTGTGTCATCTGACACAATTAATAACACCAAAGAAGAATTGCTAGCACAATATTCTCGATCGTTGATTCAGCTCACGACAGATTTCCGGATATTGTCACCTACCGAAACATGATTTGAGCGTTTTCGATCGACAAAGTTTTACCGACCCCATTCGAATTTCCCTGCTCTCTCTCGTGCATGCTGTGTATATATACATATATATATGCATGTCTATCTGTATATAAATATGTGTGTCTATGTATGTGTGTGTGATGGTGGTATTATTGTCACCTGCTCGATGAGCAGTTCGATTTAATTCATTGTGCGCTATCAGTAGATCGTCGTATTAAATAAAAAGAGAAACTTCGATCTTAACGAATGATGTTTGGAAATGGAGTAAAAGGTAAGTTGAAAGGTTAAGATGGCTGTGCAAGATCAATGAAGCATTGACCAATACCTATGAGCCATTTCGAGTAATTTCAACTTGAGATTGCTCAAGTTGAAACTTTCATTATTGCTTATTTTCATTCCATGAAGAAGAAGCGCAAAAAAACCTTCTGGTAATTGTCGATGAGATACCGATGCACTGATAAAATGCACGAAATGTGGATATCATTTATATATAACTTTTACTCTCACAAGTTATCCTTCAACAAGTAATAGCAGCATACCATTAGCACTTTCTACAGCTTGGCCATCATTAAAGTATCGAGAAAAGTAAACACTTATGGAAAATCTATCAAGTTTCCCGAAAACCACATAACATTCATTATTTCTTTACAAATATCCTACAGATTTACCTGCAGCAACTGAGGTTACTAATTAGTCTAGATAAAGTTAAAATTGTGAAAATGGAAAAGCTTGTGGAAACTGATTCTGAACATTTTTGTTTTTTGTTTTTGTTTTTTTTATTTCACCACTGCTCTTAATCTTCAGGTACAACATCCTCCTATAAGCAACTTAGGCTACTTCTAAACTACAAATTTTCATCACTTCAATAAACTTTTTTTGCAACAAATTATTCAGTCAATTAACCTTCTTATCCTTACTATTGTCATCGCTATTCACCTTGCATCTTGCCAATCTGTCTGTCACCGTTTCATCTTTTATCTACCACCATTTTTATTTATTCCATTTAACTTAATCATCTGTTACTACTTCATTTCATAACTTTGAACGATTGCTCCACCGGAACACTTCCAAATATGAGCTACCGGAAAAAGTATGTGCATTGAAGTAGGCAATTGTGTAAATAATTTCCCTATTCCGTACAAAACCAGAATCATAACTTTTTAGCAAAAATTATGATGGTTTGATTCCACCGTAAGAATATTTTGATAAATGAGGAGAATCATTTGACTAATTTTATCCTATTCAATTCAAATTTCATTGTAATCAAATCAATTTTCATGTTATATGCAGTGCTAAATGAATGATCGCTCCGAACAATCCCGAACTTAATCAAAAAAAAAAAAAAAAGAAAGACATGAATGATAAAAAGGATTGAGAGAGCAGAAACAAACAAAAGAATGCGGAAATTGCAACTGCAACAATTGATGGCAGTACGTTGTTGTTGCTGATAAGATAAGCTAAAATTTTTGTCATATTGATAGTTATAATTTTTGTGATACTACAAGATTTCTGTAAACTATATTGTTTCCATTTCATTTGAACAATAAAAAGTATTTTTCTTTTCGTTCCATTATTTTACTTCTCAAAAGAGAATTATTACTGAAGTTTATTTAAGTAAATCATTAGCATCTAAGTTGTTTCTTTTAGTTGTTGAATTTTATTTCTTTCTATGCTAATTTCAAAAATGATCAAAAAATTTAGAAGAGAAGTGAATCATACTTTCAAACATTTAGGCTTCTAGAAATTTAGGCATCTAGAAGTCAAGCGAACAATATATCACATAAATATGAGATCATTTATTGACTATCTTTTTCTTAAATAATTTCTGCTCCCAAAATATTTATCTTAGCCAGCTAGTCTGATCTCATGAAATTTCACACGGAATTACAATGAAAAAACACCATCTTCATTTATGCTTTCAGCATGAGATTAACATTACAAAAAATAATATCACTGGGAGCAAAATAGTAACTCTTCAAATGTTCGCTGTGTCTTCATCAAAGATTTTGATTGGTAAAATTTCAAAATAACACTTTACACTTTGTAAAAAACTTAGTTTTATGAGTGGAAGTTATAACTGAAATAGCTTTTAGTTTCCACACTTGTTTAATGAAAATAACATTCATTGATTCGTTAAGATAACCTTTGTGTCGATAATAATAATGACATCCTGAAATACCCCCCAAAAAAAAAGAATCTAAAGTAAAATATCCTTAATTGTTTTTGAAACCCAACGAAACAATTTCGAATTTAACAGGATGAATAAGTTTGACTTTGTTACATAAAACATTTGTTGTTAAATCTTGGTCCATACATTTTTCATTAGCTCGTTGACGATTATTTCAAAATTTACGAATTTCCCAGCAAAAAGTTGCTGCAATCCTCAAATCTGCACTTGCACTAATAACTTTAATTTCTTTCAATTTCTGAATTGTTGAGCTCTTTTACAACTAATATCAAGATAATAATGAAAGCAAAGTGATATAAACTAACCAAATAAAATGGTTATAGCTTTGTGCTGCCTAAACTTTACCAATGCGTGGTGCAGTATTCTCAATTCTTTATAATTCCTATAGAATTATGGCATATATCAGAATGTCCATTTATACTTTTTCTACTGCTTGATATTCTCGCCAGTATGTAGAGCTGCTAAAAAGTCGAGTTAAGAATTTTAAAGGAGTTAATAAGCAAAATGACAAATACAAATATGTGCAACTCACACGCAAACAAATAAAGTTAACAAATCGTGAAATAACACCCGGCAATTCAATCATGGGTCAGCAACAACAACAACAACTGAAACGAGTCCGGTCAATAAAATATGCAAGAAAAAACTGATCTGGAATAGAGTTCATTCACCAAAAGACGAGAAGTCCTCGAGGGATTTAAAAGAAGTGGAACAGCAGAGGAAATTCAGTTTTGATGTTAAGCAGTAAAAAGTGTTGGAGCAGAAGTATAATAATTTAACTAACATTTAATGGACTGTTGATAATTTAGTGCAACTAATATTTACATTGTTCATTCTTTGTTATTATTGTATAAATATGAAATTGTACGATATCGTAAAAAATAAAAGAAAACATACAATAAAGAATAGAAATAAATAAAAACCTTCCCGACACATAGTTTCAAACCTGAAATTAGCAACATAATCACAAATATTGATCCATATTCAAGAAAGGCAATACAAAGGAGATCAATATTGAGATCAACATAAAAGTTTGCAAGGAAGTCAAAAGTTATCCAATGCTATATGATTTTGTTTCTGTACCTCAGTAGTGGTCAAAAATAGCATCACAGGTAAACGCTCATGATGATGGTGCATTTTGTTTAGTTATTAAAGAAAATTGCTAAATCAATGAACCAGTGAAAATAATACGAAAAATAAAAAATTATTCTCGACTGATCGGATCTTTGTACTACCATGGTTGGAGACAAAGATCAACGAATTACTAATGTCTTAAATCTGTCATCGTACGAGTTTAACATACACACCTCCCTAGAAACCCTTAGAATCCACTTCACAATGTCCAATCCACGAAAAAACGACACAGCAAACATCACCTCATAAATACCCATTTCAGCCCTATCTTAAGTACATCACGTCGTGGGGTCAGCCGGTCCAGCGTACATTCGTTATGCTTACGCGTACGTTATGCCACTATGGCAAAATCCGGATCATCGGCTAAAATTATTGAGATTATGAGAATTTCAATACGAACAGTTTGTGACGATCTGAATTTCTAGCTTTTAAGTAAAGCGAAGATAATCGTCTACCGTCGTCAAAAATTTGTCATATGCATCATGTTCCTCTTTAATAATTAACACGCAGCAGTCACTACCATCCACTCCTCATTGCTATAATGAACTTTTGAGCTTTCTCTTTCCTTCCTTTCGTAAACTCTTTCATAGTTGGGAGATTACGGTCATTTCGATAAACTATTCTTTTTACTGTTTGAGTACCCTATTATTACTCATCTATCTTTTCTCTTACTGCCATCAAATTCATTACCGTTTTTTTTTTCTCTTTTTCAAACTTAATGCGTATACAACTGAAAAGCCTTAAGGATTGTTCTTCTGCTAATTAATTTCATCACCAAAACTTACATTGGTTCTTATAAAATTTTTCACTTGTTCTTCTCCCAGCATCCAAAGGACTTTTTATAAGCCAACTTTGTCTTCCATTAGAATACATAAGTGTACAACTATTTTCAGCTACTTTGTTTGCATCTCTACTTTTGTAATCGGCTTATTGCTCGAACTAAGATCTGCTAGAGTTTGCTGACCAATTCTGTGCATACTTCTAACCAGTGAAGTACAAATAAGCTTGTCCACTATTTCTTCCATTTGTCTTCAGCAAATATTCATTTGCTCCACCTCAACTTGTGATATGCCAAGTGGAAAAAAATAAAGATGACAAAGGAAGATGGCAGGGAATGTAGTTGAAAAATTTATTATTTTTGGAAGAAGTTTGCTAATCTCGGGTAAACTTGGATGTAAATATGTGGATTAACACAGGAATATATTTCCTTTATTGACAGAAGCTACAGTATAATCTAATTTACATTCCTTTTTGATTCTTGTATCATTTTGTTTTATAGCAACACATATATATTGTTAAACTGGAAATGGTGATAATAAATTCTTTGTTACGCTTAAGAACTGTCGCAATCATAATGTAAACAAAGAAAGAGGAAAATAATTTAAGATTTAAATATCAAGCTGGAAATAGTAAAGGATTACAGTAAAAACGTAGGAAGGAGATCTACTTCGTTCAGATTTAGATCATTTAATTTGCAGCTAGGATCTGATCTAGATTATCTCATGTATCCAACGTGTAGCAGTTACTGTTTTAATCAAAAGTTTCAGATAAATTTGCAAAAATATGAAAATAATTTTGAATAAATTGAATTTTCAAGCAATGAAAGAGCAAATTTCCTAGCAGTGCAATGACTGTTCACTATCGCAGCAGTAAAGAGCAATGAAATATGTAGCATTGGCACAGTCTGTAATGAAACTGTATTTTTCAATTTTAGGGTTATTCAGCGTTAAATAAAGAATTTTTAACTCTTCAAAATCTACGCATGTCACACACACTAGAACAAATTCAGAATTTACATGTATCTTCTGCTTATGCCATTTTGGAAATCTGGTTAGTCGCCAGTTCTGCTTCATGTAGGAGTACACAAAATGCTCGTTAAACTGAAAGAAGCTATCAGTTCATCTGTTTCTGCAGTCTACACAATGTTTCGTATGAATCTGAAGGTCCCCAGCTAAGACTTTCCTGAAGTGATGAAATTTTTTTTTATATTTTCCTATATTACTTGCGCTTCGGAAATGATTAGCAATTATAAGATATACTGTGTGGGTCATATATCGTAGAAAATTAGGAATCCTGGAGGAATATACCGGTTCGCACAGAATTAAAGTAAGGAAGAGACAGATTGTGACTTTTCTGATTTATTTCTTTGCATTCATTTTAACAAATCATTGATCTACCAGCAATTAGCAAATTCGAAAAAAGAAAAAATAAATAAATATATATATATATATAGCAGGAGGAACAAATGAGTTAAGAAAGGAAGGAATTTGGAGAAGAAAATGTTCTAATATTACTCGAAGAGTATGAATAATAGAAATTCAATTTAAGGATAACAAGCAAAATATGTAACAGATGAGAAATTATTAAAGTTTCTAGTGGAACAAATAATCAAATATGGTGAATTATAATAGGTTGCGAGTAATCAACTTCAAAAACACTCAGCTAAACTTTTTTAAACTCGATCAATAATGATTTTTTCTTGTCTGAGTAGAATCGAGATTTAAAATCTTCGAGAAGCAAAATATTCAATGTTGTGTTTTCCATATTTTTGTGTTTATGGAAAGATTTTTGATTGAACACTTATCCTATACACTTAAAAATTAGACTACTATATATTTGCATACTTTATGTGCTCTTCTGTCCTCAGAAAACATTCTTTCTCTAGACCTGTATTACTGTTTTGTGTCTTGGAAGAGGTCAACGAAAGCAGTAAGTTCTCAAATAGCAGCGTTAAGATTAAGAAAAAAAGATTCTTTTATCAACACTGCTATCAAACTGAGGAGTAGATTAACTGGTACGACTGAACCGAAGGATACACTGTTGCAAAATGAAATACAACTAACATTGCAATTAACAATTTTTTGCCCTAATGTAGCATATCTAAGCTGGAAATCGTTCGTCAATTATTTTTCATGTTTGTTTCCAATGATGATGATAATTTCCAATGAAATGTGTGCTATACATATAGACCGGAAACAGATGAAAATGAAAAGTTGGATAACATGAGCATGCATCGTTTTTGATTATGCATTATCATCCTTTTTTACTGCATTTAACATTATTTTAACATTTTCTCACGTGCGAGTTCAATTTTGCCTTGATCTTTCGTGTCATCCTTATCACTTCATCTATTGTGACTCGTCGCTTGACGATCCTTTTTTGTCCTGAAAGCTATTCCATTATTACCTCTTCCTTTATTTCCCCTGGTTTTTCTCAATTTAACATCCTCCTTCCCTCACAACTATGAACTCAAATTTGCTCGGCATTCCCTACAAATCGGCAATGGCGCAAGCACTTACACAGAAATCATTAAAGTCAAATAATGACTCAACAATGACATCCACTCGTTGTATTGCTTTTCATCTGTCATATATTCTTAGCAGTTAAAAAGTCAACTCACTTCTTCAACAACTGATGAGTCATAAACAATGAATATTCCGAACAGGTATGCCAAGTTGCCGGCCAAAAAGCACACTCCCAAAATGGCGTACAACAACACGCCCATTGTAATTGTGATAAGACTTTCGTTGCTTTCATGAATACCAACTAAAAAATTCGCCTATAAAATGATATTTGTTTTAAGTAAAGTGAGAAATAGACAAATCTCTCGAATTATTGGCATTTGATAAGGAGTAATGAAGTGATGGGTTTTTAATGAAGTTCACTTAGGAAAACCTCTGAATGGTTGATGCTCATGCTTCTTCTGATTATTTTCCTGAAAAGATCGTTTCCAAATCCGTGGCAAAAAATTTAATCGTCTTCTACGGCAAAACAAATCCACTTTAGCTAATCCATAGGCAGTTCTGGTAGCGTTATCAAAGTATGCATCATCATGGCACCTGTTAGGCTATAAATATTTCCTGAGGTAAAATGAAGCAAAATCAGTTATTGGTGCAGAAACAATTCCTTTGAGCAAAACATTTTAAACTTTTAATTTAGCAGCAATACTCGAAATCATTTAACTCTGATGCAACGAAATAGTTCGAACAAATTTGTTTTCTTTCTCATAGCAATTACAATTAATTAAGATCAATTCTGGTACACCTCTTTTTGTTGTCAATTAATCAGTCATCATAAACAAATAGATTTATATTATCTTATTTACTTGATCTATCGATCTGCTGTAATTGTATGGTGTAGCCCATGCAATCACACTTGAGCTCTTCCTCATTGCTTTCGCACTTGCGCCAAATATCATTTTGATAACTTCATTGCACCAATTCGTCCTGCTAACAATGATAAAGATCTTCTTGGAAGCTTCCACTTTTACTTTTGAATATTTGCAATCATTTAATCGATATATCTGTGATATCTGTAACATTAATATTATATAAATGCCACATCGTGATTTCCAGGATCCTGAAGCATCTATAACGGTCCAGTAATTTCTTGAAAACAACTCATCTCACTCTGTCACTAATGCATTCATTGTTTCGCTGCAAAGATAGCAACTTTTAAATTTAAACTTCGACTACGTACATTATTATACCAGTGCTGCTCTATGAAAAGTGATAAGTGATGCAGGATGATGTTATTCGAGCTTATCTGTGACACCATCAGCAGCACAGCAACAACGATTGCCAAATGCAACCGCATTCCAGCGAACGTTCTCCGTACAATAATCGATCTTACATTCTAGTGGCATAAAAATGAAATTTACAATTAAATTATCATAATTCCGTATATTAGGTAATATTACAAACTGCATTAAAATGCATTACTGAACTCCTTCAATTCTATTTGTTTGCTGCGATTAAAGCGGTTTACTCTAAAAGTACAAAGGATTTTCTGGAAATGAATGGAAATACTAAAGAGTGCAATAACGATAACAAACATTTTTTGGATAGCTCGAATATCCACTACTGCAGGGGAAATACCAATGAAAGATCAGAAACAGGTGATGATGAATTGCGCAACGACTTTTCGTTCTATTATAGTTCTTCAATTTCATTAATTGCAAAAGCAAATATCTTAAAAGTTTTTTAGATAAACGAAGCTATGAATGCCTCTATCCTGGGTGTGCTGTGATCGCGAAAAGCTACAAGGAATATATAACACATAGGAAGACACATGGTCAACCTTTCATCTATGAATGCAAAGTGCCCGGTTGTGGGAGGACATTCCACCATGATTCATCATTTCGCAGTCACAAACAGACGCATGAACCTAAGCCTCAATGTGAGGGTTGTGGCAAATTCTTCGCCACCAGGATTACATTGCAACATCACAAGAAGATCTGCAAAACAAAATCTCGTTAGTTTGCAAATTTAGCAAAATTTTAAACACATATATTAGCCTGAAATAGCATTACAAAACATTTGTAACCGCTGAGTGACAATACAAAGTTTATTTAACTCATTCATACTGTATATTTATTTCTTTTCATATCGTGCACTTAATGCATAGCAGCTGCCCATAACCTAAAAACCAACTGCTTAAAAAGTGACAATAACGCTTTAAGATACTTCAACAAACATCGAAAATATCAACAGCGAAAGAAATAAAAAAAAAAAAAAAAAAAAAAACACTTTTAGTCAAATTATCTTGTTTTTCTAAAACGAAAAACATGCAGAAAAGCATATCATTCCCCCACAAAGCCAAATACTGTTAATCATTTTTTTAGCGCTATAAAACAACTAAAAATTTTCATTCTAGAAAATGAGACACAATTTGGGCATTCTTCACAAGCATGAGAAAAGGCGTGTAGCAATCAGATGTTTTCGAGACATCAGAATGCAGTGACCAATTAATGATTTATTTTTTGTCTCCATTTAATATTCCATGAATCGCAGAAATGCATAAACAACAAACTAACAGTAAAATTCGAATTCACAGCAAACGATTTATCATGCCAAAAGGTAATAAAAAATACGTAAGTGAGAGGAAAGTATTCTCTTAATAATATGTAACAAAAGTGGCGAACACGAGGTGAAAAGTGGTATTATAAAAAAAAAAAAAAAAAAAGCTAAGATAGATTTTTAGCATATTTTTATAATTGCTGATTATTAATTAACTGACTTAAGTTCAATATGCAAAAAACTGTTGAACTTTATTTTATTTGCATTGTACTTGCTTTGCTCACATTCTGTCGTGGATATTTGACAATTTGTGCAAAAAAAAGTTTAATAAATTCATTTTGGATCAACCTTACAATGTAAAAGTTAACAATATTTGTAATTAGCAATGATTTCAACTAATTTTTGACGATAAAATTAATCTTAATCACAAGTTTCGGTATGGATCTCTGGAAAATTTTGACAATTTCTAAGAGTTTTTGTAAATTTAATACTGAAAAAATTCTTAATTTTTTTCAAATTCCATTTTAATTAAGTGAAAAAAAGTATTGCAAAAATATAATTCATTTAAAAATAAATATAATTTGAACTTAATTGATTACTTTTATTTGCATTGCCCTTGATGCGCATACATTATGTCGGGGATATTTGACAATTTATGCATAAAAGAAAGTTTTAAAAAATAACTTTGGAAAAATCATTCATTGTAGAAATTGATAAAATTTGCAATTAGTGATGATTTTAATTTTTTTTTGACATTAAAATTTTATTTTATTTACAAATTTAATGTCATTTAATGTTACAAATTTAATATTCGATTAGTTTGCACAATAAATTTAATAATTTTATGGTTCTTGAATAGTAGCAAAATCGAAATTTCATTGAATTATGGATTAATTATGGATTTTTTATGCATTTTGCTTAAAAATCGACATGATCTTCCAGTTTTTGGGAAGTTTTTTACCCCAATATAATTATAAAAACAATTAAATATCAATTGTAAATGATGAAACGGTAAATAAATCATAAAATACAATGTTTGTTAACCTAAATCAATACATATTTCTATCAAAAAAAAAAATGAATTTGACTATTAATTTTAACTATTACAATGTATGATAGTAAAATTACATCAGCACAGGCACTTTAAAAAACATACTTGTGTTCATGATTTAACCATTCTTGTAAAACAACACAGGATTTATTTTTTAATAGTTGGCCATATAACTAAGGACAGGCAAATAGCAGGACCAAAAATTTTAGAAGGTATGGTGGACGTAATGCATACTGTATTTTGAGGATGAAAACAGCAATCATTGCCGTATTTTGCATGTTATAAAAATAGATTTGGTTTTACAAATGAAGTGGTATTTTGAAATGTCTGAAGCTGGATTATTACCTATTAAAATCCATCATCATTATTTGGTAACAGGTAATACTGACGATAGAGAAGTTGTTGACAGTGCTGCATTTGTAGGAATTGAGGATTCCAGACCGGTTTTGATGGAAGTTCAAGTGTTAACAACGTGGGTACTATGGAACATCTGTGACCGCTGGACCAAGATAGTTGATACAACGGAAAATTCACAATTACATTTTGTTGTAAGGCTGTTGAAAGGACTTAAATTTATACTGCCGTTTATATCCACCTCTTTCACAGATACCATACCTTCTAGCAGAAATTCCTTCAGTTTTTCCTTGAGAAAATTAGTCGTGAACTTTGTTGTATATCTGGGACATTGTAACTCTTTCCACAGTTAAGGCACTGCATCGTAATGGTTTCATGTGCATGCGTATTATTCCAAATAAATCTTCCTTCCCTTGAGCAATAAAACTTACATCAGCAATTAATAGCTCAATACCTGGCATAGTTTCATCTGCAAAACCAATACCAAGGTCAATCATAATCCACTTGCCTCGGTAATGATACAGGCTAACATTCATCTCAATCCTGTTCACCCCTCCAAGTGGAAAAAACAAAAATTCGTTTTTGTTTATAATCATTAATTTTAAATTATTAAAATAGAGGGTAGCAAAACTTCGGCTTTAAATAAAGGAGTTTGTTACTTTCAATAACTCTAAGAAGAAAAAGAAATCCCCATGATTTTAGGTACTCTATCTACCAAAACTTTTATCCAATGCAAGATCGATACATATATATGCTCAAAAATAATTAAGCAATTTCTTGTGGGTTGAAAATACAAGAACCATCGGTTGATCTCTCTCTTATTTCAAGCATAGTAAGTTTACCGCTGTCAACTTCAATAGCATGAACGTGAAATTGCACTTTTAGGTAAGATTAGACATATCTCATATGCTAATCTGAGGATAAAGAAGGAAAAAAAAAGGATTTAAAGAAGCAATTATGCCTTAAAATGGCAATTACTCTCCTCACATATCGAAATAATTAAGCTTGGCCACATAAAAGAATTAAAGGAGATCTTTAATTAATCACAGCTGAATAACGCTTTAGCAAATTCTTTATTAGTGAACTCCCTCAGGTCCTCTATACTCTTAACAATTCCTATAGCGCGTAAATTTATAAGTTTCTACAAGTCCAATCAACACTCCTCCCAGCATCATCTAGCTTTGTTATAATAATTAATCCTGTAACACTAACTAACCATTTTAGCAAATGCCTCTAATTATGTATTTTGACCGGTAGTCGCATCAAGAACCAAAATAACATCATGAGGAGCAATGCCCATCCAATTTCTTTATCTTTCTTTATATCTTTGATAAGTCCTCTATAACGTTAACATCATTTTGTAGCCTGCGTGCTTACTAAACAAATTCAAGGGAGTGCTCGTTTTAAAATTACAATATATAGAATGGTATGCACTACGTGTATTTATAAAGTTAAATACAACGTTTTACGTGCAATTTTAAAGTGAAATGCATTTAATTTCCAATCTAAATATGTTATAAAATAGGATGTTGATTTACAGGTAATCTCATGAGTTATAGTGAGAAGAGTTTAGACCATTATGAACCTCAATTTTGTCACAATACCCCAGCTAAAAACTCATTTATATCTCATTATCAACAACCTCATAGATGCACAACAAACCAGACCCTACATGTACATACCTGCATACTTCTTTACAGCATCATGACCTCTTAAGATTTTTATTGCATCAGCGTTACAGTTACTACTTTCCACACAACCGTTTTATTTATAAATGTTAATATTATAGATTAATATATAATTTAATAACCAACCCCAACTTATTAGAAAATCATCTTCTAACTTTTACACCACCACCAACCTTAATACGGCTAGGATAGAAGGACCCGAGCCCCTGCATAGCAACACCGAAAACCACTTGGCTACACCCACCTCAACTCTCCTCACATCAACAACACACTATTAACCCAATTAGTATGATTTATTTCCTTTATAGATATAATCACAATACTGGTTGATGCATTGCCTCAACTTATTCTACAGTTTTATCAACTTGATCGCTTCTGCTTTTCATAATTGCTATTTTCCTGTATTCTCTTGCACTCATGAAGATATGCAACATATTACTTTGTGTATAGGAATTGTTCATTTTACTTTTTACAGAGGATATTATTTGCTCTCTTCCCCTCTCTTCTAATCTCTGATAGATCTCAATCTTATATCTTCATATTATGCGTGTTGTATCATTTGTTTGTAGAAAAAAAAAGTTTTTTTTTAAGAAAAAAAATTGGCAAGACTTCTTTTAATGATAAAAATATCTAATATACAACATTTTGCATAATTCAATGATCTTTCTTGAGCAATCCTTTCAATTTACATTTCATTGTCAGTTTGATATGTTTATGCCATTACGGAAGCAATCCTAAATCACAATATCACAACGAAATTTGTCATTTGCTTACTGTATTATGATGACGGTGATATCAGCAATGTGGAACAAATTCTAAATTTCAACTTTGACAGGCGTTAACGTGCAGATTTCTCGTTCATCCTCTTTTTTTCTCATCCATTAAGACGAGATATATGTAGTGAGAATCACTCAATTTTTTATTTCGTCTCCCGTTTCGATTACATTCCAAAACAGAATTTTAAAAAATGCTTATTTAGATTGATCTACCGAGAAAAGATGATCAAATAACGTAGCATCAAGAGATAAACGCAACTTACGGCTTATCCAGTAGCGGATGAAAAAGTTGAAACAAATGTTACACAAATATTTATATTGCTTGATATCCTTGCAAAAAAAATACTTAATCATTTTGGCTGGTCATATTTCACTTCGCATTTATCCCAAATCTTTGATTTCAAATCAGTTTTCTACTTTGATCATTGCATCATGTGCATTGACATGAGAAGGCATCATTGATACCGTGTGTATTGAAATGAGGAATTGATCATAAAGCTTCAAAAATATGGTTAAATTCAGAGCATCAAAGCTTATACAAAACTAAAAGATGTTTGACAAACTTTCCACAAAAAAGTTTTGCAAATCAAACAGTCTCTCAAGAAGGACTATTTTCCTTATTTTGACCATAAAATCCCTTTGGCTGCAAATGAATTCATAAGTCTACCAAACTTCGCGGAGAGAAAATACCTTGTCTTAAGCCCTTAACATTATAAAAAATCATTGAAATCATTTAACATTTTGTCTTATTACATTTTTATTTGATATGATCTTCCTTCTTGCTGCAAATTCTTTTTTTTTTTTTTTTTTTTTTTCACTAGGACGATTTCAAATAAAATATTTGAAACATTACTTTGAAATGCTGATATAGTAATGAAATAATAAATTTCAACTCTTTTTAACAGAAAAAGTGGTAAATTTCAAAATAATCTTAGTACAATATTGAATAATAGTTATTAATTTTAGCATTAGAATTTTAAAATCATTTAGCTAATATTATTTTCAGTTAATTTTGGCAATGAATTTGTAAAAATATGCATTTCAAAATGGTAGCAAAATAAAATTTTCTTTACATTATAAAAATATTTTGAACATATTAACAATTTTGTTGATTTTAAGTCGATGTGATCATTCTTCTTCTGACAGACAGTTTTAATAATTATGATTGTAAAATATTCAAAAAAATGTTGGATGGTAATTAAATGATTAATTTCATTCTTTTTAAACCATGTAAATATTAAATTCTCTGTTTTTTTACTGGAGAGAAATATATTCGCTTAATTTTGGCAGCAGTTATGCATGGAAGCCTAAAGAAATAGCAATGCTTGGTAATACTGGACTGATAGGGCAGATTTTTTATCCTAAAAGCAAAGGTAACTAATTATCAAAGGTAATTAGTTTACAACAAAGAGTGGTGTTTTGGAATTTATGAAATGTACCTTTTGGCTTTTCAAAACCAAAATTATTCAACTACTTAAAAGTTTATAAAGATAAATCTTTCTTGTAATTTGCCGACTATGAATTTTCTTTTTTATAATTATACAAAATCAAATCACTGTAACATGACGTGCACCTCACTACTGCACAATTCACATACGAACTCTCCGATCGCTGATTCATTTCTCTACTGTCATAGTATCCTAGAACGGTACTTGGTTGGATCGTAATAACTGCTTTGTTATGAATAATTAAATTATTTCTAGCAATCAAATATCAGGTGTGATCACTGATTAACTGATGATTTTTCCGCTATTAATTTATTTTTTGTCATTGAATAACATGTGATTTGTCCGGTTCATAAATCAAATCATTGTTACCAGTGATTAACAGTTTATGTATAAGCTATTAATCTGCTTGTTGTTACTTTGCTCATGAGCAGAAGTAATTACACTTTCTGTTCATGAATTTCAAATTATTATGATAAGAATAGTCACGTCTTTATTAATTCAACAGCGAAAAATCAGTATGACAAGAAAGGCGACACTTCGTAACGCAATTCGTTTCACCTCTGAAGCACTGATTTGTTGTTTGGTGTTTGGTCTGATGAATTGAACTTTTCTGTTGATCAGTGCTGGCTAAAACTGCTGCAGTTTTTGGTATGTGTCATCAAATTGTTGAGTACACTTCATAGATACAGTGGTTTTGCCGGGATTCAGAAAATTTCTGCTGCAACAAAATCACGAAACTGCAACCATTTGCAACAAAATCACGAAACTGCAACCTGCAACCATTTCTGTTTGGCGTTAATTCGGCTTTAGAAAGTGCTTTGAATCTTGTTCGCATCTCACGTTATCATCTTACGGTTTTAATGAATTCATTCATTGCGATTTCAATTCTTACTTCATCCAGCAAATCCGATGCTTATCATCGCCATTTCTCAAGAGCTTACAAGCTTTGTAATAATGTTCGATCACTGCTTACACATCATCAGACTTTATATTTTAATTAGACATTCAACTCATGTTTTATAGGAATAGTTGTAGGAAAGAACTTCATGTTGCAAGCATTCCTTTTTTTTTTTGAACCGGAAATTATGTGGAATACCGATAAAATAATCGGAATCATCTTACAATTTCAATATACTCATTGCGAGTTCAACTTTAGCGTCTTAACTTCTCAAATTCTCTGTATGGAACTCTAAATTTAATAGTTACTTGATCATTTGAGGGAAACTTTAGATGTTTCCTGATTGTTAGTTACCGGTAAAACAATGCATTTAAGAATTTATATGGTAGAAAGTTATTGTTATGGATACACTAATAAAATATTTACCTGAATCATTTTCGTCTCAACTTGAGCAAACTTAACTATTTCAGTTTCATTTTCGTCTCACTCCAGCTTATTTGTTTGAATCAGATAAAATAAGACGCAACTGATATGCAATTAACAAGAGGAAATTTTGAACTTTGGAATGAAATTTAGAAGAAATGTGGCGATCAGTTTGATTTAATCACAAAAGATGCATTTTTTTTCCTCCTTCAATTTCTCCCCCATTTACCATACTATCAAAACTCATTTTTCTTAATTCTCTGAAAGTGTGTTGTCTTATTGATAATCTAGAAATAACTATTTTACAATTATTCGCATTACCTAATGAAAACGTCACTTTAAATTAAATTATATTCTTTGATTCTCCAATAGGAATTGCTTATTCCATTTGCAGCTGTCATTATGAACTGAATTCATTTTCATTCCAAGCAAAACACAAACATTATTTTTCAGAATATCTAAACGAAAATAAATTCATTACAACCAGTTATTAGATTATAATTAAACATTTTATCATCCTCGTCGAAAGAGCAAAATTGTGATTTTTCTTTTCAAATAATCATTTATGATGGTAAATGGTTCGATAACAATTAATCCACGTAATATTTTTGATAAATTATATTCTTTTTTAAAAAATAGCTAATCAATTAATTGTCTGTTTCTGAAGAATTCTAAAATTTTTGCATCTATTGGCACAAAAAAGAGCGAAATTTCAATAATAAAAATTGTTTTAGGTGAAGAGAGAAACAATTAAAAAGTTAAGTTTGAAAAACTTTAGTAGTATAATTCGACATCAAATAAATTTCAGTTTTATTTCAGCAGTGTTTTTTTTTTTTTGTTGTTGTAAACTATAAAATTATTTGACCGTTATTATTCTTCCATCTTCCTGAAATTTGTTGCATAGCTGCTGAATAGTTATGATTCGTTTTATGTTCCTATTAAATTTAAGTTGTCTCTTCATATTAGTTCAACTTTTTATCAAAAATCATAATCAAAATACTTTCAGTTTTTTTACGGTAATTTCAAATTCACTGTCCTATTTCTTAATTTATTCCACGCCTAAATCTACAATTATGTATTTCCTCGTTTCTCGCTGCACATTTTTTCACAAATTTGTATAATTTTTCGTCCCTAAAACTATAAAAATTAAAAAAAAAGCAAAGAGAAACTTAATAAAAAGGTAAACTATGAAATTATACAGAAAAAAATATGTTGAAAAACCTACACTGTAAAATTTAAACAAAAAATTATTGGGTATGTCATAAATAAAAAAAAAAAAAGAAAAAAAAAAACAGTTAAAAGATGTAGGCTATAAATTAAATAAAAGAAAAAAGATCTAACTCTAGATTGGTTTAATCCTAAAATGTATCTTTCATATTTTTTCAAATGCTTTCTGTTTTCAAATTTTAATTGCAAAAAATTTCTCCCATATCTCTTCTTCTAATTTTCATTATTCTCCTTTTTTTTTTTTTTTTTTTTTTTTTTTATTAGGCATTTGAAGTATTTAATCATAATTCGCACCTGCTGTTTTCTTAACAAATTCTGGTAATTACACAGAATTCAATAGACTAAAGATGATTAACAGGAAAAATGAATATTTATTTGGCATTTCAACTTTTAAAATGCCAATGGACCTTTTTGTGGCTTTTTTATCCATGTTCATCCGAACAGCTAATGAATTCAACAAGCTGATGCGTTAATATAATCGATAATCAAATTTTATTTATATATTTTTTTAACGAAAAAAAATTATGAAATATAAGTTATATTTTGCAATTTTCTTCCAATTATCTTTTTTTTTTTTCATTCCATTTTAAATACTGGATACATCTCATTTCTAATGTTTTATTATAGATAAGAATTAAAATGAAATTGTTTGACAATTGTTGTAACAGAAAGCTTCACAGATGAATTAAAAAAAGAACTTTAATTTCAATAGAATTTCATTCTTACTTTTATTTTGTTCTTTTTACTTTTTGAAGTTTTTTTTTTTTTTTTCAAATAAATCGAAAAAAAAAGGTTTAACTTTTTGATAAATCTTTCTGAGAAATATTATGCTTACTTATATGTTTACTCACCTATACATGTAATTTATAGCAAATTTAATCTGAGATATTTTGTTTTTTTTTCGGAGCAAAATTTTATAATACTTTTCAATAAAGGACAAAAAATTATTTACTCCTTCATTTAGTTAATTTATAAAAATTTCAAGGTAAATAGCACTTTTTATTTTTTCTTCCCAACTTTCTTTCTTTCCTCATTCACTAAGCAGTTGAAAAAGAAAGAGAAAAAATAGGAAATAAATAAAATTGTCATTTGTTTACTAAAAAGTAAAACAACTTTTCATATTTTGAAAGCAAAAAAATTTTAGCCGACAATTGCAGTTTCTTTTCATGTAGTTCCAAAATGTGCTCTCCGAAGCACATTTAATTTTAATATTCTTTCTTTTTCCCTCTCTCTCTCCCTTCATCTTTCCTTTTTCCTCTTCCCCTGTTCCTCAATTTTTTTTTTTTTTTTTAATTCTTTGTTGCTTTGAATATTATGGATTCCAATTTTTTTTCTTCCTCTTTTTTTTTGCGCATTTTAAATGTTAAATACTGTTAGAAAAAAAAGAACTAAATGGAACAGTTCTATTTTATTTCTGATAAAAAAAAAATAAATTTTATAAAAGAAGGACAAATTTTCATAATTTATTCGATCAAGTAATCATACAAATTTTATTGTTTGAATAAAAGAGAAGCACTTTAAATTAGATATAATTGAAAGTTGAAGTGAATTTTGATTGAATATATAATTTCTTTTTTTTTTTTTTTGATACTTCCAGCATGGAAGAATGACTTGACAAATTATAAATTACAATAAAAGAAATCATAGATTTTTAAACTTAATTAATTAAAAGCTGAAATTTTTGTTCAAATCAAAAGCAGCATTTCATTTTGCATTTACAAATAAAAAAGTTTTAACCATTTTTGCTAATTTATTAAAGGTTATTATAAAATGCTTTTATCTGAGCTTCCAATTCGATTTTCTAAAATTAATTGTAATTTTTTTTTCTTTTTTTGTCAGTAAATTGAACAATCTTAGACTATTAAAAATATTATATTTCGATATCAAATATTTTTGAAATTTCTGTCAAACTGGTGCATAACTTTCATTACCAGAAAGTTAACAATGTGTGAATAGCCTAAAACAATGCTTATGAATTAATTGTTGAATTCTGTTAAATGTTCTGTGAAATAATGTATTACTTATTTTAACTACTGCAGCAATTCATTCTTTCAAATATTTTCCATCTACAATATGAAATAAGTCGAATAACATAAAAAAAAGAAAAAAAAGTTAATCGATATTGAAATAAAAACTAAAATTTATTTTTGTCCTAAATTGACATTGAACTAAGTGTAGTCCATTCATTCAGCAATAATTTTATTACTAAATATAAACATTAATTTGCAAGAAAAAAACTTTCCATTTGAAATGAACTTAAATTTAATCAAAAATTATCGCATATGATATAAATATGAATGGCAAATTTCATTCACATTGATATTTGAATTATGTGAAGCAACAAAATTTTATAAGAAATAACAAAATTGAACATTTTTTCCTCCTATGTCATCTTGTGAACTTCAACTTTAGCATTAAAATTTGACAAATCCTGTCGTTCATTTTTTTTTTTTCTTTCATCTTTCCTGAAAGTTTAAGACCATAATTACATGATTGTAATTCTGATACACTGATATATTTTCATAAAAGAATAGGAGATGAAAAGGAGGGAAAAAAGAAAGAATTTGAAGTGTCTTTATATTATATTTAAATTGTGTCATCGTATTATTTTTTTTTTTTTAAAAAAAAATCTTCGTATTATATATTTTTTTAAATATTTAAAATTCCCGATTTTGTTGTCAAATGGAAATGAACTTTTAAAATTCATGCATTTTTCATCCTTTTATACCTTTCATTTCATTCCACTCATAACTTTTCATTTATAACATTTGTAACCAAACATTATTATATTATAGAATTTCTTAAAACTAAGCTTTTGAAAGTTATTATAAATAAGTGTATAAGTGTTGTAATAAATTCTGTAAATATATAAGTGTTACTACAACAATTATAAAAATGTTATTAAAAAAAGTATGAATAATTTTTGCTTTATCATCAATGCAATTCAAAATTTCTTCTTAAAAAATTAACAGTATATTGGTATTTAAATATAGTTAAAGATTTTCATTATTCGAATTAATATTTCTGCTATTAATATGATGTGGCAATTTTATTAAATTCCATGGCAAATTTTGTTTTCCTCTTATTTTTCTTTCCTTTTCTTTTTTGATATTTCAGTTCCAGTTCATATCAACTACTGATTGCTATTGATATTGATTGATAATATAATATAACTATTATATATTTGTAAGCGTAACAGCAATAGAAAAAAAAAAAAAAAAAAACAATGACAAATTTTTATTTCAAAGAATTTTCTAATACTAGTATCATTTTTTTTTCTTAGTTTTTTATAAATATATTTATTTGTACAAAATTTGGATAAATTAAGAACATATCTTTTATTATTAATCTTTATACATTTACATTTACAAATCCAATTAATTTTATTTCTTCCGCATTTCCTTCATTAATTCATTAAACTTTCAATTGCTAATTTAATATTGAAATATTGTAAATTAAACTGGATTTAATCTGATAACAACAAAATGACATACAAATGATATACAAATCGGTTGACAAGAGAGGAAAAAATCGAATATGATATAGTATTAAAATATTTTAATATTGAAAGAAATTTGTTGATATCAGATTAAATTCAGTTTCTCAAGAATAATCTTTTTTTTTTTATCAATCAATTGGTATGCCATTAATAACCAATAAATTTAGTGTTGAATTAAAAATTTAAATTTACAAAATTTTCACTTCTGATCAATCGATTCACGTTCCTTTCCTATCACTCATACCATCTTTTTTTTTTTTTTCAAACATTTGCATTATTTTAAATTAATATACGATACACATAAAATTAATTAAACAACACTATAATTGAAAAAGAAAAAAAAATGAATAATTTTCTTAAACCATGAAATTTATAATTTATTCAGGAAGGTAATTAATAATGGAATAGTTGCATTGATTTCAAAACAAAACAGCACTTTCGTACATCTCTCATTGAAATTTCAATGCAGTTAATAACGATTGATGGTGATGCAGATCTCAAAATACATAACATTTCAATTTTACCATCTGATCAATGTGCTAAAGATGATCAATTGGTTAATTTTAATTTTAAATTTCTTTTTATCAAAATTTCTTTTTTATCAACACTTGTTGCATCTTTTTTTTCCGCCTTTTTTTATGCTTAAAATAATGGACAGAATTTTCTATTAAATTTATATGCATTATTTTTGAATTTAATCATAAAATTCTTACGTCACTACATTATTATTAGTTAAAATTAATAAATTATAATTGTCAGAAGTTGTTTTATCACACTTTTATTGAAATAATTTTCGAGCAAAAAAAAAAGAGACAGAAAAAATAGAAAAAAAGAAAGAAAACAAAATTTTGAGCATTTTAATCATTCGATTTTTTTCTTTTGCTTTTAAAATGAAATTTCTAAATGTTTTGCGAAAGATGTCTTTTTTCTTTTGCCGAATTAATCTTATTTATGAGTTTTTCCCTTATTTTTTTTTTGCAATATATGCCTTTTTTTTACTATAAAATTTTAATCTAAATGAATTTATAAATAAACTGATAGAATTAAAAAAAAAAAAAATTTAAAATTTATTAAAATGGGACTTTCTTTTTTAGTCATTTTTCTATTTCAGGCATCTGAATGTTGTTGTGGTGATGGTCGATTTTATCACTATCCCACAAAAAGTTGCAAATTATCACAAAATGTTGGCTTTATGTTCAGTCGATTGAATGATTCTTGGTCTCATATGATTGTTTACGGATTTGTTTATCCGTTAATTGTTATCATAATGATTGCTCCATTATGTGCGATACTTCTTGGTATGGGTAAACGTGAAAAACGTGAAGGCGATCGACGTTTTGTTCGTTATGAAATTTATCATTAATAGTGCAAAACAAAATTACAGAATTTATTACGAGTAAATAGTAATCAAAATTTACTAAAACTTCAAAAAAAAAAAGAAAAAAAGAAAAAAGAATAACAATAGAAAAAATGACATCATCCAATTATTTTTTCTTTTACTTTTTCTCATTTCCTACATCAAAAAGTTTGAAATTTTATTGTGAGGAAATATCATTTTATTTCTTTTTTTGTAAATTAGAACTAAAATTTATGAAAGTTTTAATGAACCAATTTCAATATCTAAGATGAATTAGCGGAAAGAACATGATGAATGCACTTGTCGAATATAATCAAATAAATTTATTGCTACAAATAAAATTTCCACTTTCAATTTTTCCTTTTTTACAAATAAAAATTTTAAAAAAATTTTAAATTAAGAATTTGTGAAATTTTTTGATAAGCAATGAATTAATCAAATAGAATTAAATAAATTTATTGATAAAAATAAATTTTTGTTTAGCCTAATCCATTATATCAAATGATATGGTTATTATCATTTTGTGGATGGATTAGCTTACTTTCACCATTACCTTTCTCCATATGGTACTACATTATTGGTGATGGTATCAGGTACAAAATGAATTCTGTTAATAATTTCAAATTTTTTTCTCCTATCAAATGTACCATTTCTTTTTTGATTGAATTATTATCTTTTCAAAACCAAAATACTATTGCTTTCACCAGAACGAATCGAAATTTTTCAAAAAATTCAATCGTCCAAAAAAAAAAAAAAAATTCGAAAAATTAATTGAATTTGAAGGAGCTTTAATCAATCAATTGTCATGTGTCACATGTTTCAAACAACAATGGAAGTTTTACCTCACACGATCGACACAATGATGACATTATTTAGCATACTTCTCGCTGGTGGAAGGTTTTTGTTGAAAGCAAACTTCAATTTAATCATTTTGTTATTCTCTGCTTAAATTTACAGATAATAAACAATATTAGCAAAATTTGTAGAAATGATTTCAAAATGAACATCTTTTTTCAAAGAAAAAAAACAGAAAAAAGGACAAAAACAAACTGAATTAATTTTAAAATTAGGTGAAATATAATTTTGAATGCACTAATATCATTATGAAATGATTTAATACATTTTATGATAAAATTAATTTAATTAATCCTAAAAATCATTTTTTCTCATAGAATTAAAAAAAAAAATTATTTCTTTTTTTGTAAAAATTTCTTTTTTTTTTTCTTTTGATAAAATTTATTCACTGCAATAATTAAAAATTTTTGCAGATTTTTAACGCAATACCATCGGAATACAATAAAATTACGAACAGTGGAACGTTTTTCACGTGCCATTTGGACAGTCATTTTCATTTGCGCATCTATGGGTATTCTTAGATTTTTTGAACATGGCGCTGATATTTATCAATTCTGTTTAGGTATTAAATATATCATTTTATATCTAAATTAGTTTAAAAATAAAAATTTTTGTTAACAAAAAAAACGAAACTTTTTTTTTTTTCTAAAATATAAAATTTGAAGTAGAAAAGACAATAATCAAATCCTTTTTTTTTTTTTTTCTCTCTCTCTCTCTCTCTCTTTCTATGCTTCCCCTCCTCTCTTAGTCAATAATATTAATTCTTAGCAAAAATTTTAATTATTAAACATAAAAATCATATCATATGTAAATTATAAATTTATTGGATGATAATGAAGAGAAGATGAAGAATAATACCAAATGGTGTAAAGATTTTTTCAGATGGAAATATATTGCAGATACAGAGCCTGGACCATATTTGGCTAGTCGATGTATGGTTACCGATGGTGCCTTAATTACCATAATTAATCGTCGTTTTTGGAAGATTGCATTACCATTAGCTGATTTTCTTATTCAATTTATATTTCCTGGCTTTTTGCTTATTGTACTTCATATTAGTTTTATCCGTGAACCTATTATCGATTTTGATAATAAACAGTAAAGATTAAAAGTTTTACTTAAATAATATTAGTAATAATAATAATAAGTAGTTGAAATTACAAAAATTTTTAATTATATAATATTTGTTTTTTTTTTTTTCTATGAATTATAAAGAAAAAAAATTTTTTTTTTTATCTTTTTGATATGGAATAAATTCTTTCTTTTTTTTTTTTTTTTTCATTTTTTAGTAATCGGTTTGGACGTACACCTCGAGATCAATCACGAATTTTGATTACTGCAGTTACAATTACCTTTCTTACTGTGCAAATTCCAACAGCATTTTTCACAATAATTACATTTACAATCAATCAGTTTAACTCAAATCTTATTTGTGAGCCTTATATTACTAATATAAATGTACTCTGTTATAAAATTTAGGCCTATTATCTGTCTAGAGAAGCAAAAAAAAAAAAGTCGAATTTTTAACAAAAAAGAAAATCGAAAACAAAATTTATTCATTATATTTCGTCGTTATCCCCACTTCTCGACTATGGTCACTTACTTATCAATAAGTATTCACTTGAAGAAATCTTCTCTTTAAGCTATTAAAAAGTAAATTTAGAGTTATTTTTTGCACATGTATAAAGTTAAAATTATTACTAAAATGCTCAAATAAAGTAGAAAATGAATCATTTCCAGTATTGTTGCAAATTATTTTGGAAAAGAAAATCATTTTAATTTCACTTTTAAAAATGTTTAATTGATTTAACTCTAGCTGCATTAATTTTATTTTTACCAAATATTCCATTTAATATTATGATAATAAATGAAAGAGGAATATGCGTAATTAGGATAAAATTATAACGAAGTGATAATATATATGCCATAAAGTTACAAAATTAGTAGGTTCGACTGTAAAAATTCACTTGAAATGTTAAATTTAAGATAAAAAAAAAGGAAACGAACATATACTAGTAAAATATTTTAATAATAATAAAAGATAATAAAATTTTGAAATTGAATAATGTTTTAGTAAATTATTTTACCATTTATCTATTCTATTGCAAAATAATTTGAATTAGTTCTTTTTTTTTTTTCAAATTTAACTTTTCATTATCAAATTATATTCAGTTAAAATTTAATTTCAGTATCACATATATCACTTTTATTTGCTCATCTTCAACCACTTCTTTCAATGATTACAATTATGGCAAATAATAGTGCATTGCTTACTGCATATTATGTTATTGTTAAAGATGATGATATTGACGTTGGTGATTCATGTACGTCAATTTCAAGCGAAAATGATACACTTCTTAATGAACAACCAACTCTATCAAGGTATTTTAATCAATATTTGTTTTATTTACATCATTTTCTATATTATTAATAATAATAATAATAATAATAGCGTTACATTTTGTTAAAAAAACTTTCTTAGATTATTACTTTTCTGTTTTTTTTTTTTTTTTCTTTTCTTTCTTTCAGATGTTATTTAAGCGTTAGTTTCGATAATTCTTTACTGCCTCACTCACGAAATGTTAGTCTTAATGCGCATGGATCAGAAGTATCAAATCTTTTACCTGTACATGGAATACAATAACCAGAATTTCTAATTTAAATGATACAAAATTGAAAAAAAAATCTGTTTAAATAATATGAAAGTTAAATTAAAAAAAAGTTATTTAAATGGTACAAAATTTAAATTTGCTAATATTTTTATAAAACAATTTTCTAAATACTTTTTTATTGATATTACTTCAATTTTTTTTACTTATAATTAATAATATATTGTTGGAAAATAGAGTATTTTATTGATAGTACTTCTTATAATTTAAATTTTCTTATAATTAATAATGTTATTAGAAAATAAAATTTAATAATTTTGTTAAAATTACTAGATGTATGCAATATTGGATGGGCATACATTAAAAGTTTTTTTTTCCTTTTTTCATATTCTGTATTAAAAAAAAACAAAACAAAAAGGAAAAAAAAAAGATAATAATTATAGAAAAAATACCAGTCGGAATTGAATTTTAATAAATAATGCAAAAATTTTTAATCTCAAAAGTTTTTTGTTCAGTTTAACAATTTTAGAAATTTCAAAGCTTCCATTGTTGTTGTTATTGGTATTATTTTCAACATTTATCATCCCTTAAAAAATGTCGAAATTGTATTATTATTATTATTATTCAACTGTTTCATCAATAATGAAACCTTTTTCCCTTTTTTTTCTATTTTATTTCCATTATATTTCATTTGGTTTATCTTTTAAACTGAAACAAATAACTGAAAAGTTGAAAGAAAATAGCAAAAGATTATATCAACAATTCTTATCAGGAATTTGATCTATATTCGTTGGTATATGATGAACTAGCTTTAGCTACTGATATATTTAATAAGAATTATTTGAATAAAATTACGATAGTTAGAGCTTAAATCGTTTCAAATGTGACAAATTGAATAATTTGATGAAATTAAATTGTGTTGTTTATCATTTTCACTTCTTCCTCATAATTTACTAATTCTAATCATCGGCACAATAATGAACTAGCACAGTTCTTCGCAAAATTTGTTAATTCCCAATAAATAATGCTATTTGAGCAGTCATAGAAACAATTACTTTGACCTACAAAATTTACATCCTCTTCCGATTTTTAATGTTTCAAATAATTTTTGCTTACCTTAAATAATATTGAGTTGAAATTCCTTAAATTATAGATCAATTATGACCAATAAAACAAGTAAAATAGAGTTATCACTTATCATATTATCACTCTAATGCTTCTATGATTAAGTTCAGTGATCACAACATAAAATCCATCCCCACAATAATATCGTACATACTAAGCAACTAAATGCTCAAATGCATCTGTCGAAATTTCATTTATGCGTGCTGCTAAAACAAATTTACCATTTATCAGATATCTTAAAATATTTTGCAGATGCTTTCAGATTTTTAACAAGTTCAACGATAGCAACTCGTATTACCAAATTATAAAACCACCTGTCGATGACACAATTCTTTAGGAAAAAGCAAACAAAATTTCAGTCATCTCAATATGTATAACTGAGAAAACTATCATTCGCCTTCGGAAAAATCTTACTTTTGGCTCAAATTTAAATTATTCATTTGGAAATCTAAGAAATGAAGATTGAGAAAAAGAGTTAACGAGTTAAGCATTATGAGATGAAAAGAAAGAAGAAGCATATATATATATATATATATATATATATATATATATATGTATATATCACAACTAAATTCACAAAAATATAAATTAAGCACAACAAGATATGAAAATAGTAAAAGTTCAGGTGTGCACAATAGAATATTGATGCAAGAATTGATAAGTGAAATTAGATACAAGTTTTACAACTTCTTATCATTGATAAAATATACAAATTGAAAGAAAATTAAATAAAACATTTCTATTTAAATAGTTTTTGTTCGCACGGCACTTAATTTCTGTAGCCGTAACTGCTTCGCATAAAATGATCTACTGTATGTAACAGAACTATTAATCGAAGCTCATCCATCTATTTTCAAATGTTAGCAAATTCCACAATACCGCTCCATTTCAAATCTGATGTACATAAAAAGTACAACTTTCACTACGAATAATTATGAAAGTTGGATTTTTTCTACTACATATGATTTTTTTTTTCTTCTGCAATCTATCATTTCAATTTCTATACAAGTCCTCCATATTAAGCCCAAATATATTACATAAAGATATTTTCAAAAATATAAATATTCATAATATAAACTCTCTTAAGATTAACCTAAATACCACCAGAATATTTTATTTTCTGATGTTTAGGCAATCTTAAGATAACGAATAGACAGTATAAAATTTCTGGGAAAACTGAAAAATTATTTTATGAAAAAATTAAAAATTATCTTAATATAATAATATAAATAAATCATTGCAGAAGAGAACAGTTTCACGGTTAGTATAGTAAATGTGTTCTGATACAATTAAACCAAAGCAGGATAAATGAAATAAAACAACAAAGGATGTACTATAATAAATAAGTGAATATTTCAGCTACTAAGCTAAAACATAAAATAGAAACATGCAAAAGTAACACAGAAGACAGGTGGAGGAATCACAGGCACAAAAATAATAGCACAAAACGAAAAAAAAAAAGAAGAAAAAAAGCTTCCTAATATGCATAAAAGGAATTATACACAAATAAATTGACAATAATAATATTCAAATATTATTTCCCTTAAAAAAAAAAAAAAAAAAAAAAAAAACAATTCAGTTTTAATAGAAAATGTAATAGATAAAATATAAACAATATGAAAGCAGTGAACAAAATCAACAATTAATGAACAATGAAAATTTCAGGAATAAATAATATCAAGGCTGTGTATTTTGATCTGCCACCACTTATAAAACAATGCTTTCAACTGTATTTGTAATATTTATAAATTATACAACAATTGAACAGAATTATGCATACGTCATAGTAGCATATCTGTATTTAAAGATAACTTAACATAAATAAATTTGCTAACCCGTATCAAATAAGCTTTACACATATTTCGAGTTCCACTTTTAAATAAAATCAATTAATGCCGCTCTTTATCGAATTTATGTACATTCAGCAATAATAATATTTGATAGGATTTAAGAGAAGTAATCAATGCTTGCTCGATCTGAAACAATTTTTTACAATAACTTTTCTAGTGATATGTCAGAACAGAAGAATATTCTCACCAATTTTGATATACTGCAGTAGAAAAATGGCTACAGTACAACATTAAGGACAAGGGATTCATCATCCGGTAGTTATGAGAGAAAAGAAAGATGTTGTAACCATTATATGGTCAAAAAAAAAAAAAAAAAAAAAAAAAATCTGAATGTACATATCACCAGCATGAGAACTGGTAATTGATTATCAAGACCGAACGGTTATGAAAACTAAACAGTATCATGTATTAAAAGTTACAAACCTGAGGATCTGCTTTGGTGCTTGCTACACAGTCTACTAGAGTTGGATAGAGATTAACCAATTCTGTATAGAATTCCAAATTGAAGTTATCAGCATGACGTACAAGTCCTTCAATAAGTGTACTCACAGCGTGCAACACAGATGTCATTTCAACAATTCTTTCCTGAGAAAGACGCAACTGTCCAGCGTTTAGTTGATCACGGACAAACGATAACATTACCTAGATACATAATAAAAAATCGAAAAACATAAAAAAGTAATCAGAAAATAATGTGACAAATGTTGAATATTATAAAACAAAATAACTGCAAATATGAGATAACTAGTTAAAGGTAGCTAAATGATTACTTCTTTGCATCTAGCCAGCAATGACGAGATTGCAGAAATACCTAAACTTGATGATACAATACACTGTCTTCTTTTTTCACTTCCACTTACTCCTTTGATATCGTCAACAACTGATTCTAAAAAACAGAATAAAAATTTAAACTCCAATTAATTAATTTCTGAAACTGGAGTAATAATTCTCAAAATAAAGATTTCAATCACAATTTATCTGCGAAACTTTGGACAAAACAAAATGAACAAAAAATGGATTATATATTTAATTATCTAAATTCATGATTTATTTAAACTCAGTTAAATTCAAACACAGCTTAAAGCAGATTTCATTACATATTTATTTTAGATGGTTTCGTCAAAATTTCCGAGTTTTAATTATCAGTATAATTTATACCACTAAGAAAATGCACTGGTGCCGCACTTCGTACTATATCTGGTTGCTCCTCATTTTGACTCATTGATAGCAGCGCTTCAAAGCATACTTTAGATAACTCCGCTCGTTGCGCATATGTGTCTAAAGCTACAAGAAAATTTTACCAATAAGTGTTACTTGAGAAAAACTAAACCCAACGGGGAATATCGACTATGACCATATTATTCTACAATAATATATTTGAAAAAATTTTCACATAGCAATATTACGTACTGTAACTCTGTATAATGTCAAACCCACAATAAAACGATACCAAAGACATCAGAGGAATCCACAGTGCTTATAGAACCACGATTCAGTATATCGATTATTTTCTGGATAAAATCAGTTGGAAATACACTTGCGTACGGCAACATCTGAAATGAACATTTCTTCTAATCAAAATAAAACTATGTTTTTTTGGAAAAAAGAAATAAAAAGATATGCTTATAATCAAGAAAACTATTCCAGCAAAAGGAATGCAAAAATTTACCTCAGTTCTAATCAATTCTATCAACTGACAATCGATAAATTCATGCCTTTTTCGTTCATCAGCATTTAATGGACATGATGGACGACTGGAAAACATTAGTTAAAGCAAACTTCATAGATGATAAAACCAACCATTTTGAGTTTTCAAGTAAGTTCGCCGTCCACATTTCAAAATATTCAAGTTTTATATAAAGTATAAAATCACACGAAACACAAAACATACAAAAGAAAGTTACTTGGAAACATTAAGTAAAAATTTGAATTTACCTATTGTTGAACAGAAAACGATCTAATGTCTCAGCGATTACCGGCCAAATTGCATTAAAATAACGAGCTGAAGTTTTCATTTATAGATCAATTAATTGATAATGAAAGTTTATCACAACTCTGCTTGATTTAGAAACACTTCAAAAATTTGAGTACTTTCTTTCATATAAAATAAAAGTGAACATTAGAGGTTATCCAGTGTCCTTATATAATCACTTTTTAATACACCATTTGTAAACAATAAACATTTATATATTTTAGGAAATGAAAACTCACAATGCTGTCTGGCAATAGGAAGACCTAGTCGTAAAACTGTGCCGAATGCTGACGCTGCTGCTTTCCACGTACTTTGAGAGGGACATTGGTATTTTAATTCCATTGGTTGCGCCAAACACTGGAAAAACTTTTGAAGATGCTGGCTGATGATAGAAGATAACATGGAAGAAATAATCAGAGGGTTATATTTAATACGACTAAAAAATGCCAGAAGTTCGAATAAAATTAATCTCTACAACATTCAAATCTTCAGATAAAAGTGTGCTTTCGTTCAAACTAATTTTCTTTTACTGTAACTGTGACAGCATAAACATTCTAATAGTGCTGGGCAACAACAAAGAAACGAACCTTAACAATATCAACAAATACAGTAGACTGTATAATTTCTTGGAAATGAGCGGTACCAGCGTAGAATTCTACCACTGTTCGTAATGATAACTCAGCAAAAATCACCATATTTTGTACACCTTTCTAGAATTATGAAAACAATAAGCGACTGATTTTTCCTCCGTAAGTAAACAATAGTAAAAAAAAATTTTTATGCACCACAACAAACTAAAATTAAACTGACGCCTAGATTTTTATACCATCTTATTCTTTACTAGAAGATAACTGTTACCAACGATATGGAAATAGAATAGATTAGAATGAGTCTCATAGTTAACATAATAAACTGAAATATACGCTAGAATTTCAAAAAAAAAAAAGAAAAAAAAATAAACGAAATAAACATTTTCGGCTTTGTTTGATTCATATTCAGGTGGATGAATTGCAAAAGTTGTGAAATCAAGCATTAAACGGATGAGATCAGGCAAAGCTGGGCGCAACGATGAACCTGTATCCAACATATCCTGCAAAAATGTCTGTCAAATAGCTTTCTTCTTGGAAAAAACTTGAACTCAAACAGTAAGAACTGATTGTTTCTTTTTTTCTTTTTTGGTTTAACAAACCTGATATATAATTCGGACACAACTGAGAACGGCTTCTAGAGTTGGATTGATGTCATTTACACTCGATAATACAAATGGAACTTGTTCTGCAGTTAGTGGAACACTAACAATACCCTGGAAAAGTCAGTAATAATTTATCATGAACGAAATTCATTATAAATTATCGCATTACCTTCAAAATACTCGGCACTTCATCATATTTCAAATCATCACATGGGATTTTCTTCCGAACTCGTTCAAATAAAGGAGTGAATATATGGAGTAATGTGATGAGATGTATTTGTCCAGGGATAAAATTCCCTCCACTCCTAAAATTTGAATATATAATTTCTTCAAAATATAGTACCAAAAGTGTTAGACACCGAGAAAATTTTTAAAGTTGTTCAACAACGTAAACATTAAGTAGGAGAACTACCTTATCAAGATAAAACTATGAGAACGAAACACTACTTAGTCCAGCAAAATTATTTGAAAACTCATATGCTATACTTCTAACTGCACCTTCAATATAACTCTCAGATTTTGAACACTGAAACAAATTTTACCTCTCAGATAAGGGCATCATAACGTCCGATGATAAATCAACTTTGAAAGGTTTGGCCAAAACCAGCGACCGTGACATAACCATCCAGCTCTTAAAACAGTAATAAATCAACTTAACTTTATCTTGATAATATTTTACAACAAATGAGAAATTAAAAAGATGAATAAATGAAAAAGAAGCAAAACGAATAATCGCTTATAAATTAATCATTTCCAGTTGAACATTATTAACCGAGATGCCTTGATTACAAATTAAAATGGCTTCAACATAAGCATGAACAAACCTTCCAACAAGCAATCCATAAATGTTCCGGTAAAACAGGCGATTCATCACCAACACAATTTCCAAGAGGAGAGCTAAAACATATTGTTAAGTACGAAGGAAGTATACATAGACATTATATTAATATGAAACTGATATTTCTAATGTCTAAATACATAATTCTAATTAGTGTTGTAATATAACAAGTTTGGATTAACCATTGAACCACTACTGTTAGTCATAAAACCTAAAAAAACAATAAAACATACTTGACAAACTTTTCTCTTTTACCCATCTCACAGCCTTGTGACATTTTACCCAACAATAATTCCTGTAAACATATATAATCTTTATCTGAAAAGGTACAATGACTTTTTAACAACAGTGAAATAATAAAGTGAACCGACCAAGTATAACCAGATCGGTATCACTCGAAAAAAAAAAAAAAAAAAAAAAAAAAAAAAAAAGTGTAAGAAGAGTTTAAACTACATGAATACAAGCCTGGAAACTTTTAAGTGCAGCCAACGTCATTTCACTATTATCAGATGCAGCCAAATATTCGATATAATGAAGAAGAGTTGCCCACATTGTCGGAAAATCATCTGAAATGCATTATTGACTTCCAATTACTACTGAAAACTTAATAAATAATTTCTGCTTCCTCACTCGATTCATACGCGATTCAAATTAAAAAATAAGATGTTGTCTAAAATGACTAAAAAATAAAATGAATAGACCAAGTGAAAGTAGAACTGCTCGTTGAGCACTGAAAATTTTGACAATGCCGCTGAGGGTTTGAACTGATGTTTCAGCCCACTGTTTTGATTCGGTATCTCTCGAATGATGTATAAGTATGTTTGAAGCACCTAAAGCTGAACTATCTGTTCGCGTTGTTGAAGCGCTAAGTGTTAGAGCTCGTACTTTATCTAACATTGGGAAAAGTATCTGAAATTGAAGAATTTTTTTACTATAAACCTTATGGAGAAACCTAAAAATTAAAAATTTAAGTTTGAGCTGTCGACATTAAAATTCGCTTAATAGAGGTCACGAAAAAAGGTAATTTCAAAATCCAAAAAAGGAATAAAAGATTAATATTTCCATACCTTCCAAACCATATGTTTCCATGTATCCGATTTTAGCGCTAAACCATGAGCAGCAATTGTTTGTAACAACGTTTGGCAAGCACTTTTACGAACTGGTGGTCTAACATCAACGCATAATTCGGACAAGCAATTGTATAGCACTAGCCAAATTGTTTCACTTTCTTTTTGCGAAAGTTTTGAATTCTTCCGGTATACAAAATCAGAAATTGTCCACTGAAAGCAACAAATTGCTTTAAATACGTATTTGCATTTGCATATGAATTGAAATTTTCAAGGTTTTGCAGCCAGCCTACCTACTTCTTGGTTGAAAATTCAAACTACTGCCTACAAAACTTACCAACTGTCCCAAGGCTGAGAGGGATATATTTAATTCGCACTGTTGAGAACCATATTTTGCATCAGTCTCAACAAGGAGTTGTATGCAATGGAAGGGTAATATTTCGAGAAAATCTGTAATCATCAAAGCGACTGCCTCATAACTTTGTTTCACCAGTACTTCATCGTAACTAAAACTTTACAAAAATTTCAAGAAATTTTAACTTTTTTTAATAACAACAGATTCCTTCTGTTCCTAAGAAACGTCACCAACTTTCTCGCCACAGCCAAGATAATTATTCATTTTTACAGAAATAATCGAGTTCTGTAAGAAAAACCAAGGAATCATGGAAAATTTTAATGAATTCACAAAACTGCCCAACAATTCGAGCTGCAGCTCACTAGAAAATGGAGTAAACAGTTCACTATATATTTCATAGTAAGAAACCGAAATCCAACTATAACATTCAGAAAGCCGTGATATAAAATTTCGAAATCGCAGTAAAAGCAACCTTAATTTCCCAGCCACAACAACACGGACAGTTTCAATAACGGTTGGCCACTGGTCAGAAGTTAATTGCTGACCAGCTGATTGTAACACATTTACAAGGCATTCGATTTGCTTCCGGCGTACATCTATATATTCAATTTCAGACATTATTGATAAAGGTGACAGTATCAACTGTTGACGTTTCTGCAAATGGATGACATGAAATGAATTTAAGTGAAAATACTTAAAAAGCACAAATCATTCAAAGATTCATCAAAATCACTAAAACATTGAAGCTGTCAAACAATATGAAGAAATTTAGTTTCATTTTTCTTGAAATCTTATTCCTTTTGCTGTTCAACATTGTCTGATTCCCACCATCTTACACCATATTGAGAAAACAGAGTTAAAATTAACAAAAACATAAAAATATCGTGAAACACAAATTTACATAAAAATTTAGAATAGTCGTTTGTAAATATGGATTACGAATAAGATACAACAAACCGATTCTGTAACTGCAGTTTTGACTTTTAAAGCACTTTTCACTAATACTGTTAATGCTTGTGCACCCCACTCTCGCAGCTTTGCATAAGGATGTCCCGATACCTTCAACAATACAAGCACATATATTTTCATTTGCATTATTGTGTGTTAGCACTGGGTAAATATTAAGAGTATTTCACTATATATATATAAACAACGCCAAGTGATATGTAACCTCAATAAGATGAGCTGTTACAGGTCTCCAAAATACTTCTAAACGTGAAAGATTTGCCATCCCTGTTTGCTGCAACTTCGCAACAGGAAAAAAAGAAGGCTCACGGGAACCATTCTGTGATACCTAAAAACCCTTTTATAATTCATAAATGGTTTAGGTTCTCAACCATACAAAAACAGAAATTCCAAATCCAGAAGTTGCTTACGATCATTGCTTCGGAAGAAAGTTTACATAACGCCGCAATCACATGATGTAATGCAACATCGTCAAGCTTTGCTGTCGAATCAAATAATTTATTCAGCATGGCTGCCTAAAAGTTAATTTTATAAGCAAGAAAATTTGCTGCATTCATAAATACACTAATTCTTAAAAAAAATTATTGGTAGCTCTTTCTGAATGTGAAAAGAACAAATGAAATAAACATACTACAACGGGGACATCAGCCATTGCAGCTGTTGTAAGAACATTGGTATTGGAGTGCGAACCACTTACAAGTGAGGTCCCATCAATGGTTTCGCCTCAAATTAGTACATATATAATATAAATAATGTGGAGTATTAACATTTGTAAAACATACTGCTTTTGAATAAGGCTTAAACGAATTTTCCAGAATTGCTAAAGATTTTCTCTTTTTTAAAGAAAAAGTTTCTAACATTCAAATACGCAACCAATTTTCGCCATGAATTACCATAATTCATAATTATATCACATACCATCAGACCGAAATCCGCCTTGCATACTTGGGGTCATTCCCAAAATCCATACTAAATGTTGCATCGAAGCTAGTACAAGATGCCAACAATCACCCAAATCTTGACCATTAGCTTCAGCACAGCTTATTAGTATACGTGCCACTTGCACATTTTTGGCAGTTAACTAAAAAACAAAAAACCTAGTATGAATATGTGATATTTTAATCAATATATTTAAAATCGAAGTTTCGAACTGTAAAAATCTCGAAAATGTACAGGAGAAACAATTGAATTAAAAAGAACATACCACAACAGTTCCACTGTAAAAATTTAAAGGAAGTGAAGGAGTTGGACAGATAGTACTAACTGCTATAATTTGACATGGCTGATTCGATACCGATTCATTTTCAATCTTTTCCACTTTAGAACCTTAAAATAAGGAAAGCAGGAATGTTATCTAAAAGACAAAAGTAGAAGCAAGAAAAGAACGTATAAAAGCAGCACATAAATTTATGTATGGAACTGATGACAAGAAAAATTCATAAAAAAATTGATACTTCGTAGCGTTTTGCTACACTACCTATGATATAATGAATATTCAAACAATCCAGCAATTATTGATAATTAGAAAGACTCTCAGCAACATACCAGTCAAAGCATCTTTCTCGAAGTGAGGACTAGCTGGAATTAAAGATCCTGATATGGGACCTAAGCTACTGGAAGCACTTGCAATTCGCATTAAATACTTTGGTGGTAACGCAGCTTTACACAGTGCAAAATACGCGGCATCACGGCCAGCTGTATGACCCAGCCGACATGATAAAAGTGTCATTGTGACAAAGCATTTCAAGAGTTGTTCTGTTACCGATTCATCGATACTAAAACCAAAGATAGAAAAAAAAAAAAAAAAAGAACTATGATGATAGAAAAAGACAACAAACAATTCTATAAGAGATTTTCAAAAAAAAAAAAAATTCATTTCGAATATTATTCAAAATGGATATTTATGTTGACAAAACAAAAATAAGTGAACTAAATATGGCTCATCATTTATTGATTGTAGTGCATAAAATCACCCTCACCTTGCATCCAGAAAAAGTGAAATTGCAACAAAAAGGTTTGTATAAGTTGATTGATACAGCTCTCGTGCTACATCTGCAATGCTGGTTACTTCTTACCAGAATGATAAATATCTCTACTAATTAAACTGACGAACTCCTCAATATATTTAATTGGATTAATAAATTCATATATTAATGGCAACCTTCTTTTTCCTTTCGTGAGTACAAAGATTCAATAGCTTCAAAAACTGATTGGCAGCAGCTGCATATACAATAATAAGTTAAAGATAACGAATAGCCATTAGGTAAATTAAGTGCGTCATGCTTCTCTAAAGAATCTAACCTGAAAAACGGCAAAGTTTAAAAAAAAACTTGATATTTATAATTATGAAATCAGCTAAAATGAACAATCTAAAGACCAGAATTCCAAATTTTCATGACTAACACAAATACGTCTTCATCGATACATAATAGGATGTATCAATAAAATCAGCCATCAATTCATTCTTTCAATCCATTTGTTTCTAACTGGCTAATTGTAAAGAGTGAAACCAGAAAAAAAAAATTACAATAACGATTTCTTGGAAGTAATACTTTGACAAAGTGGAATCCACACACCACGATATTGGAAGCCTGGTTGTGAGCCTGACTGAATGTTTGGCTCAAATTGTTCCTCATCTTTAGCAACTAAAATAACATTTGCTGAATAAATTTCATGATTTGCAGCATAACTGAAAAAAAATTAAATTAGCAAACAGCTTATCATTAACTGCTTTAGGATTTTTTTAAATATACACCACTTGGTTCCTTTTTCAGGATCATAAAATCGATTAGGTGTGAGCTTTTAATGCTTGTACACACTGAAATGGAATAAAGACATATATATGGACCGCCACTTTGCGGATAAAAATTCCTCTGTCACAAAATGAATTACAATTAAGGAAGAAGATATCGACAATTATTGAACTCTATAAAATACTATACAAAAATCTTTTCAACATAATAAACTTACTAGTTTCCGATACATTGGGACGCAAAAACGACAATTGTACGTGCGCTGCCAAGCCAGATACGATAGAATTAATTGCTTTCGTGGCACCTGGCCTTGCGTCGTAATTTTCACAGAACCAACTAAAGCGAATCTATTAGTGGTAAATAGCAGTTACGCCGATCAACACTAATAATTATCAATAAAAAAAAAAATTAAAAAGAAGACGGATTGACAAGATTATCGCTAAAAAGTCTGATGAACTAGGAAAAAAATTTATGAGATGAAAATATACATTAAAAGCTCGGGTAAAACAACAATTTTGTGCAAAACTTCGACAGCAATAGCACGCTGCCATCCCAGCTTATCGGATTCCAGAAACTTTACAAGTAACGCCAAGAAGATTTCACATTCTGTTACCTGAAATTACCAAATTAATTCATGGCATACTAAATTTAAAGAGTACATAGACTGTCACGTAGACCTACAAAAACTTGATTACAATGTTTATTCAAAACCAGCAAAATTTTTTCTTTCCCAACTTGATTACAATGTCTAAATAAAGTCATTCAAAACTAGCAAAATTTTTGATTCCAATCAAATTAAGATGCAAAACCATCATAAACAAACCAATAAGTTATAATAAAGCGTAATCAAAATTACAACGACACGTAAAAGTCGCATCGAAATTGGAAAATATATACGTTCCGGTGAACAAGGCATTTGAGATGAAATGGAATCTAATGCTGCGTGTGTACTTGAACAAGGATGCTGCGATGTGATCTAAATAAAATAAATTTCAAATATTTGTTCGAAGTAAATCTGGATATTCAAAAAAAAAGAACCAATTTACAAGGAACAAAATCGAATCGATAAAATATGGTTCACCAAATATGGAAACAAAATACTGGTAATAAGAATGAAATGATACGCAACCTGCATCTGCTTATGATTCGGTGCGAACAGTTTGATGATTAAGGGACATACTTGGTCTTTCAATAACTGAGCAAATTCGGGATGCTACAAAAAAAGCAATTATTGAAAAAATAAGAGAAATACCGAGAAGTTAAGTAAATTAAAATAAAATCTATTCCATTTACTTGGAATATTCAAAAAGTAAATAAATAATTGGTCAGTAAATAAGATGACTAAATATATCAATTAACGGCATACAATAATAAAGGATAATTAAAGAACCTTGATAAATACAGATGGGTAGGAAGAAAGCACTGATTCTAACAATTCTAAACCTAATGTACGTGTCATTTCCTGAATACCAACCAACCAAAGTGGTGCTTCAGAATTGATAAGCAAACAAAGATCCTGGAAAAAAAAATAATAGTGATCAAAGACCCCTGACGTTTCGAAATGGTTACAGTTCAGTACTGCTTAGGTAGTCCAACAAATACATGTATATAGAATAAATATTGTATAATTTGAAAAATATAAGCAAAGGAGGAAAAAACAGAATAAATACGGTAATAGAAAATGACAGAAAAGCTAGGAAGCAAAAAAAAAAAAAAAAAAAAAATGAAAGACCAAGAAAAAAAAAAATATTTCGGTTCGGTCCTATGAGCATGTATCCACCATATCATAGTTTTGTGAATAACAAGTGAAAGAAAATTGTACTTACATGGAACAACATGTAACCATCCAAAGCACACGACCTTAATGCCAGTGCTGGAGCTTTCGCATGTGTTCGTGCAGTATGATGAATGACTGGCATATCATAACCTTTCAAACCATCTTCCTGGAAAAAGAATAACTTTCGTCATTCATAAGAAATATGTAATTTTAAATTTTCGTAATTTTTTTTTTGTTTTGGCCAGTAAAAAGACACTGCCGATTTAATCAGTGTGGGATAGATTATTTGAAACATTGTCACTGTTGACAATATAACTTCGTGGTAACATACCTCAAGTATGAAACGGTATCATAAAGGTACATCGAATTAATTTTATAATATGAAAACATTAAAAAGCAAACAAAAGCAGTTCTGGAATGAAAGTACCTGGATAACTCGTTCATAAACACAATTCACCATTTGTCGTACAGTTGCTGATGCAGTGTTTATTACAATTGGATCTTTTGCAAAATTTAAACGGAAGCACATCACTAAGCACTGGAAAAAAAAAAAAAAAAACAATAGCACGACGTAATGAGACGATAATGATACTGCATTCGACCAACAGCAATAATGAATGTCACCTTTGCAAGCCACTGCCCAGTAACCAGTAATTCAGTGCTGACAAGAGGTGTTAATGTTTGCAAAACTCGCAATTCTTCGCACTCTGCTTCCATCAAATGCCAAAGTTCATTAACAATAATATGAGCAGAAGCCTAAAATAAAAATGTACTAATTAAGTACATTTCCGAAGATGCTTCTTAAATTTTAATAATAATTCTGCAACAAATAATATCACTCAAGCTTCATTTCTAATTGCTTTTTTTCCTGCAATTTTCAACAGTTAACTTGATTACCACTCCAACAGCTTTAATGCACATATAGACGTATAGATAATGTTCAGATATAGACGTATAGATAATGCATATAGAAAACATATTCAGTGTTAGAATCACGTGATCGTTGATGTTTAATATGTATTTAACAGTAAGTTGAACGGAACAAAAAATATTCCAGCAATATAAAAATTATAAACATAAAAAAAAAAGACAAATGAAAAAAAGACGTACGGATTCAATCACTCGGTGTTGGACCATCTTTTGAATGGCTTGCAAGGACACCTGAACGAGACGAGCATTTCTACTTGAACAACCCAAAATAAGTGGTTGTAATAGCTCGGCACTAGCACACCGTATATTTGTCAGCAAATTTTGCTCATTGGATGCTGCACTAATATTTTTTATTTTTACGAGACCTGATTCAGCAGCCTGGAAAACACCAGATTTAGCAATTATGAAAATGATGGAAACTGTAGCGTATATTAGCTGGAAATTTGACAGTCCTGTAATACGAGAAGTGAATAATAGTTTAGAAATTCAGGTATTCAATATACACAGGTTTTAAATTATTTTCACATCATCCTTATCCAAAATGATAACAGTAATAAAATTGACCATACAATATAACAACATGTAGCAAATTTGGAACTACCTCTTTAACTTGTGAATGCTTTTTTCTAGCCTCTGTCGAAAGCGTTCTCAAATCCGACAGCAGATTTTCTACGAGCCTTCTTGCTTCAACAGCTGTACAGAATGGTCCACTGCTTGACATCAAAATCTTAAGAAAAAGAAAAATTTTTTTTGCACCAACATAAGTTGCTCGCGTAGCGTACGTAACTCAGTTTCCAAGAATCAAAACTACAAATCAATACTGTAGTGTAAAACAAACTAAATGAGCACCAGAAATCTCAGTGAACATCACATAAAACCAGTCACCTTAGTAATTTCACACAGATCATGACGAATGACTCGAAATTTACTTGAGTAGAATTTCGCGGTAAAGTGCCGAATGATGAACGACTACCGGTACCTGTTTAAAAGCGAACGATTTATGCCGATCCCAAAAGAAATATGAAAATAAATCAAAACCGGATTTAAATAGTGGAACAACTATGGTTCAGACCAGAATACATCCGACTTTTTAAATTTTTAACAAATGTTTTTATTCATTGCTTTTTGACATGAAAATTGTTCACTGTAATAAAATGCACCGCTGAAATATCCACTGACGAGAAAAAAAAATGGATTAAAAATTCAACCACAAAGAGAATTCAAAAAGACTTCAACGGAAATTAAAAAACTGACATAAATGCAACATCACAGCAACATCACAATAACAAATAACAACACACACATATATAAAGAGAAAAATAAATAGTAATGATATTCACCGATCATTTCAGAAAAACCGTACAACGTAACAAAATTCAGAAAATAAAGGTAATTTATAAATTAAATCGATTAAGAGGAACAAGAAAAAAAAAAAGAAAACCATGAAAGAGCGAACAAATCAAAGTCAAAGCACTGAACTATCTGTTACTCATATTTTACTAAGCATACTGCGATAAAGACAAAGACAGCAACAGTAACAAAATTATAATCTAACCACTTATAGAATGAGTAATCTTTAGCGAGATGTGTGAGATCTCAAATAAATAAAGGACGACGATACGCTAACCGTATCATTATGCTCGTAAATTGCTGAAAACAGATCATAGATACACATCGTAATAGATGATAAATTACCCAACATATATGGTACTTTTTTTAGATGATACTTTTTAACAAATATAAAAAATTTTAATGAAAAACTCAACAAATCAGTCTCTAGTTTTTCCTTACTTAAATGGCCAAAATTTTTAATGATTTGATGAAGTAAAATGCCTTATGTCTTGAAAAACACATACAAAAAACTCTTTGCAAAGCAATTATTCTTGGAAAAGCTCTTTTCATTTTAAAGATCCATGTTTGTGATTTTTTCCCATATAAATTATGAAAGCACAACACTAGTTCAACTGATAGATTCACTGGGAGGCGGAACAACTGGTTTTGATGCGAGAAGATTGATAACATTATCCGGGACAAGACTATAAATTGTATCGAGAAAACCAAGGAATAAATTTGCAATTGAACTCAAAGGTTGTATAAATTCCTGTAACAAAAAAACTGTTGAGTGTTATGAAATTACAATGGGAAGGTCATAGATGAAATCAAAACATACGAGTCGTTGACGAAAATTGAGAACTATTCAACAAAAATTTTGTGTTCGATGACATTTAAATGATGTGTTAAGTGGGTAATGACTATGCTAGGGTACAGTAACAAATCAGCAATAGATCCCACAAAAATCTATATATGACACCGACAATCATCTTTCCGATACTTAGCAGATTTCCTAGATTTCACAGTCTTCCAATTTATTAATAAAAATAAAATGGCAAAGATCACCTTCGGAAATTGATGCGTGAAAATAGCCAAAACGATAGTAATGAAGAAAAGTAAAGCTGTGAGTACAGTAAAGAACGGCAAATCACGCTTCGGATACACTGATACCTCGTGCCATGCTAAAAAGAGTGAAACGTTTAAAGAATAAATTTAGTTTTATTCCTTCATTGATATCTTTAAATTCTATATTATATCACAATGAATTCAATCTAAAACTCTTATTCTACAGCCAGTTTTATACATTCCTGACATGCAGATGAAAGTCAAACAACAATTAACAATTGATGGAACAAACTTACCCGGTAAAAGTTCTCTATCAGCAGATTCGGTGCATGATGGATAGGGATAAAAAAGATGGCCCTTTTCGAGAGGATTCGGTATCAGCCGAAATGCTGAAGGCGAAAGACATTATATTAGTAAATAATATGTCCCATATATATTTCACCAATATTTTGCATTCTATGTTAATCATATCAAATAAATAATAAAAAATAAAACATACTTCCTTCCCATGTGCATTGTAGTAATGAAAGGGCGCCATCGATTCGCTTCCAATGTTGCAAATGCCAAAACGAATAGGCAATAGCTTCCGAATCGCCACGCTTTAATAAATGTTCTGGTGGTAATATCAATGGCTTCAGTTCTAACAGATATTTTGCAACATGAGGATTAAATTCAACTGCTCGATGTATGGCATCAACAGCATTTAATTCTGCAGTACTTAACCCACGTCTCAACACGAAATCGGGCGTGAACCTTAAACAATAAAAAGTCCTAGACAAGAAGCCTAATGTAAAAAAAAAAAAAAAAAAAAAAAAAAAAACATTGTATAAGTTGATCATTGGATTTCCATATATGATGACAGATTAAACTGTGCTGATACCAGATTCAGCTTTATGTGATATAAAATTAATGAAGACAGAGAGAAAAAAAAAGCACTTTTCTTAACAAAAAGGAGTCCCAGAAAAATAAAAGTGATGAAGTCAGAAATGGGATACTTACTTATCAGCAACAGTTCTCACTTTTAACAAGGCTGATGTGAAACATATAGTTGCGGATTTCGGTAAGCTGATATCTAAAAATGAGACGCACCAAAATATCATAATTTATCAATGGGAAGTGTTAAACGAACAGTGTTCATAGATAGTTAATAAATTAGCCAGCAACTGCTATTTCTTAAGTACCTATTATCAAGAACTAATCTAGTAATAATGAAAAAAATAGATTACCATCATATCGAGCTAGAACAGCCTGAGTATCAGCGTAAGCTTGTTGTTCCAACAGCACTTCAATCAGATTTTCATGAATGTTCATTACGTTAAGCATCGGAAATTCTTTGATCAACTATAATAATTCGTTGAAATAACACACAGCAAAATGGCATTCCAAATCAAACATCTTTTGTACGCGAATTTCGACTCATCGTTCATCTTCCCGAAAGCAGAAACTGCGGTGGGCAACAAGTCTAAACTCTAATTTTTAGCCTATACACAAATCTAGGATTTTTTTAAGAGTAGAAGAGAGGATGAAAAGGCCTAAAACAACTACAAACATGCTAACGCGCCATAGCTTACATCTCGCATCATTTTGACTGCTTCTCGCAAACGTCCTTGCCGTCGTGCACACATAGCCAGACGTCGGCGTACAAAAACAAGCAAATTGACATCACGCCCTAGAAATATTTTTCCTGGACGGTAGTGTTACACATTTCGTAAGATTTAATTCTCTCTGCACATTAGCGAACGTACAGCTGTACAGCATGTACAATTAACAAATATAGATGTCACCGTTAAAAGAAAAAAGAGTATAGTAAGAACGAATTAACTGGTAATAAACTAGATGGCAATGAACTTACTATGTACTGGATCTGAAGCTAAATCATAGTGTAATTGTGATTGGGATTTTCGATAATTTGCTTCTGTTACTTTTAACGCTCGCCTGTAACATGATGGAAAGAATAGTACTGTGTGTACAAAAGAAGCAAAATTACCACGCTCTGCTACTGCACAAGCGATGTGACACTCATTTGAGACAACAGCGTCATTTATAAAAACATGACATAAGATTGAGGCATGCCATATAAGGCATGACATAATCAAAGCATTGCCACAGAGGTAATTCCAACAAAAAAACTACATGATCGTACAACTACCAGTAGTGGATGTCGCACGTCGCGTTTAAACCTTTCAATGAGTGATACGATCAGCATTCTAAAGATTTGAGAAAAGAAAAAAATGGAAGAATATAAACAACAATCTTTTCGAAAGGGAAAAAAAGTTGGAATCTAGAATTTCGAGCATCTTTTCTGCTTACTTCAGAGTTTGTTCTACATCAGCAATCGTTTGGCATTGCTCCTCAGCCAATAATATTAATGCTGGAGCACATTCAGGGTTAATTTCCAGTGCTTTGTATGCTGCATTAATCCGCGAATAACTATCACGTTCTCGCCATGCCACTTGCATTACTAAAGTTTCCATCTATTTTTCTTACGAAAAAAGCGCATGTATGGCAAAATAATATACAGTAACGTAATACAAGTTCAGTAAACGTGGCAAAAATTATGCAAAACATTGCATCATTCTCAACAACCAACATCATTTAAACAATTGTAATTTATGAATTGATGTAACATTTTCTGGTAGAAACTCACTCTCATAGTCTTGTCTTCCCGCATCCCCTTCACATGTAAAAAAATTTTGGTGATCTTGAGCTGATAAATTCATATCATAATATGTAAGTGGTTCTTTTCCTGTCATTTTTGTAAATCTTTGATATTCAGCGCCACGAAATAAGGCAGTTGGATTTCGCCAAACTTTGCACTCTAAAACATGCTGTCAAATAAAAAGAAAATTAGGAGGGAGCAACAAAAAATAAAACAACAATCACAACAACATAAAGCTCATAACAGTAAAGCCAGCAACCTGGTACGCTTCGACTGGCTGATTCAATACCATCCTCATTGTCACTGCCATCTTCACTACCTGTTCCATTATCACCGGAATTGCTGTAAAATTAATGCAGAAATCATCCAATTTTGGAAATTTCTATAGTTGTCAACAACTACTTAAACCTTTAGAGTCCTTTCGTTTAATTAATCTTCAAGGCATTAATTGTAATAGCGAGTTTAATATACACATTTACTTGATATCCAATTACTGCACAATTCTTGATGCACTCACTTATTCTAGCTATTATCCAATTTTCAGCATACTTACTTTTTAAAATACCACCACTCGAAAATAAGTATGATACCGGACACCAGACTCGATGTTCCCGTCAACGCAACGTAAAATTTGGGCGTTAAATTATTGAAATAGGTAGAAGCTGTAATCATATGAAATAGAATAGAAATTTTGGAAAGTCAGACGCGGAAGGAATGTTACACTATCAAAAAAATGAAAAAAAAAAAATACCGCTTTCGAGGGATTCAGTAATATGAAGTGGGCCACGTAGGATATATACCAATGCGATGACCAATAAGAACCACAATGCCCACAAATAAGTCCATGACCATGTCACCCATGACCGTAATCGAGTTATCATAGCAATACCCTCAACAAATATAAATTTAGCATCGCCACTTTTACGGAATGTTTTTGTGTGAAAAGCGTAATAAAAAGAACCATCGGATGCAAAAAAAAAAAGAAAAAAAAAAGGAGGAAAAAAACGAGACCTTTGGAAAAATAAATGCACTTTTTCCAACTTCACATAATGAATACTATGCATTGTTTGGAATTTCTCTACATACAACAAGCCTTGTTTTCAGGGTATTTCGGTGCCTCATTTATTTTTGAAATGTGATGCAAATATTAGCTAAAACGCTAATAACAACGCTAGAGAAGTCAAAAATGTACTAGAAAACATCTAAAAATAACTTAAATTTCCATTGGAATATAAACATAGCATTATATATGTATTCTGAATTCTTACCAATTACTTCAGAAAGTATTCATCTGGATTTTAATCTAAAAAGAATTTTTGTTACTTAATCAGCTCATGCACGATTACTGTAAACAGTCAATGATTGACTATATTTCAGCTCCTGCTGATCTCTTTTTTTTTTTTTTTTTCATTTATTTTTGTTTTGATGTAGTCGGGTAACCTAATTCGTTAGATAAGAAAAATTACACTGTTCTGTTTAACCGGAATATTTCACATCTTTTAGCAGGGATTGTTGGGTTTGTTAGGTTCAAGATTTCTTAAAATTTCAAAAGTGTAATGTCCAACTATAGCACTTGGACGCGTATATCCATCCGTAATTTCTTGCCGTACCGCATAACCGCGGAATAATGAAGACGGCGAAGAAAAATATCGCAGCAATTCGACCAACTTATCAACAACTTACTTCATCAATGTATAATCTCACTGCAGTAATTAAGGAATTCGCAACTCGGACGCAGACCCAACACACATCATCCACATGTCATTAATTTCGTCTATCGTGAGAATATCATCAATCTCTGTTATCCATTATTTTCCTCACATACTTTTCTATGTCATTTTAATACGAATAACTAGCAATATCTCTTACTTCCTCATCCACATTGTTTCCTAATTATTAGCAATCTCTGGATGTTTCATAAATTACTGTTTTCCCTTCTTCTTTTTTCTTTTGATATCACTCCTTGACTATAGTTGGATTTTGTAATTATTTGTTACGATCATTCCGGAATGATCTATCCGTTTCATGTTGCACGTAGTGGGCTAATTAAATTTCAGGATGACTGTATTGTCACAATAATTCTGTTCAGGTTGTAAATTTTAAATTCTTTGAAGTATCACCTCGGATATCAGTTTATTTTTGTCAAATTAAGAAAAAACTAAATGCTGCAAGTTAACCTATTTTCAAATGTAAAAGTTTAAATGTCAAATGTTGTAAAATATTTCGAAAAGAAGTGGTATATTGAAAACAAAAAACAAAAAGTCGACGGCACTTTTGATCATCAGTTCATTTGGATTACTCAGTAGTGCATTGAAGATTAAATGATGGATGAATTTCAATAATTTTGATAGCTTTATAACACAAATAAATTTCAATCGCAAATGAATCATATCGAAAGGCAAATTTTATTTCAACTCACAAAAATAACAAGTGTATGTGAGATGAAATGCATCAAATTGAATTACAATTTAAAAATTGTTTCCAATACATTGCTTTGTTGCTGCGGAAGTGTTTTCAAAAAAAGGAAAGAATAAAATTGTGCATTCAAATGTAAATTAACAATAATTTGCAAATAATTTTTGAAATTAACAAAATTAGAAGCTAAAAATAAATATGTGAAACAAACTGTTTTTTTTTCTTTTTTTTTCCTTGGAACATTTATTTTTCAATGCTTGTTGTTCTGTCTTTTCTCGTTTCCAAATATTTTGTACAAATATTTAGAGAATTTTTCAGTGTCAATGTTTAAAACAATTCATTTCATTATCCATTGTTTAAAGTAATTTGTCTCACTACAGTACTTAAAATTCCAAAAAAGAGAAAAAAAGAAAGAAAAAAAACTTCGAATATTTTTAAATTTTTACACCACAATTTACCATAACTAAAAACTCCACTTATAAATTAAAAATTAATTGCGGCAGTTTAATAGTTAATCGTTTTCGGAAAAGATAGATACCACCAAATTTTACTCCAATTTTTATTATTCTTTTTCTAAGACATCTAAAATACATTAGCGATCAATGTTTCCGTTAATTAATTATTCGAAAGCAAGTTTACGCTTGTTGATTAGAATATAATAGGATAAAATGATGCAAAAAAATTTGCTTGCAGTTATTTTCAAGAAGGATATAAGCAATTAAATTGGCTTTTAATTACAGTAATTAAATTGGAATAAAGTATGATTACATATATTTCAATTGCTAGTTTCTTTTGTAAATGTGCTTTCATAGTCAAATGCACTTTATTTTAGCAATGATATTAATCAAGTCTTAATTTCCTTTTCAATTTTAAAATTATGTCGTATATGTGAATTTCAAAAATTTAGAAAAATATTGCGAATTTTGAAAAGATAAAATATATTATCTTGAATTTGCAAGTTTTTTTTTTTTTTTTTATTTTCCTACGAATCTTGTAAGTTAGAAAAAATTCTGAAAATTTTAATTTGCAAAAATATAGTCTTCAGTAAGTGTGTACATACAATAATATGAGATAAACAACTTTTCCTTCATCCATAATTTGAAATTATCATGAATTTAACATGAAATATCATGTTTTTCTCGTTTTCTCTTTTTTTTTTTTTTTTTCAAAACCATTTAATTAATTCAAACTTTTTTCTGGCAAAAAGCGCTTTCATTAACTTTGTATGAAGGTAAGATTTTTTTCACTTTTTTTGTTAAATTTTCACGTGATAAAATTGCGTGCAAATGATAAAATTACATTTACTGCAGATTTTTTATTTACCAATTTAACAGTTTTGAATTTATTGGATTTTTAAGCCGTAGTAACTTTCAATGTGAAATTTCCGCTTTTTTTTTTTTTTTTCTTTCTTTTTTGCAATATCGTAGTTTAGCAAAAATGATTCAAAGAATGTTTATCAAGTAAGCTGAGAAATTTGAATGCAACTAGCAAAATAAAATCTTAATTTAATGCTTCGTTATTATCATTTGATTAGTTATTGTTTATGATTAATTCGTGGTGACATTATATCATAATTGATAATATCAGTGATTTTCAAAAATGAATGATTACCAAGCTTATTAGTAATGATTTCATTTACGACAAATGTTTTATGCTGATGCTAAAATAGTCGATTAATTTAAATTAACTTTGTATTCATTATAACATTCCCATTATGACGACTTCGGAATTAAATTTTACAACAATCAACAATGCTAAATATGTATTATATCGATGTTATATGTTTTATTTAATTTTTTTTTTTTTATCTTTGATGAAGCAAACTTATTGAAAATTTTAATTTAACAAATATTATTTCATTTCTTAATTTGCTATTAGTGATTGGTAGAAATTAACTGTTTCTCATTTTTAATATTGTTGGAGATTTTCATAATAAAATTTTATGGTATGAAACTTTACTCCATATGTTCTAATAGTATTTCATTAGAATTCATTCTGACTGACAAAAAAAAAAAAGTGGGAAAACAGTAACAAAAACATTTGACATAATTATCACCTGATAATTTTATTTATCATTTTGAAATTATTTAAAAGAAAAAAAAATTTTTTTTCATAGGATTGTTTTCCAAGCAATCATTTTATTATTATAGTTCTACTCAAACTGCACACATTAATTTATATGTAGCAAAAATTGAACGATCTTTCTACTGGAAAATTTTATTTTGATGGGATATTTACCATAAAATTTGATATTTTTTTATCAATGATAATCTTTTAACACTTTTACAAATTACATTTTTTTTATTTAATTTGGTGCAAATTTTATTATAAGCTGAAGTGTTAAAGTTTTAATGTTTTACATTTATGCTTGATGCTAATAGAGAAATATTCTTAAAACTGTGCGAATTGAAAATAATAATAGTTTTGTTTTTTACTATTTGGGATGTTAGGGACGGTTTTTCATCAAAACAAAATTTTCACATTAGATAATATTTATTAAAAGTTTATTAAATTTTCTTTTAAGGTAAAAAATTAGAAGAAAAATTGATTATCACTGCTCAAATTCTTTAACTTAACATGCATTTTCTGTTTTCTCTTTTTGCCTTTTTTTTTAATAAAATTTGAAATAAGTGTAATAAAATTATGTTTTGATATTATATTTTAATAAAATTCTTTTTTACCCTTTTCTTCAAAATATTTATTTAATAATTTGTTAAAATTTTTATTACTTTTTGTATTGAGTAATTCGCTTTTTTTTTTTTGAAATCATGAAAACAAGTGCACAAAAATAAATTTCAAATTACACTATTAAAATTACTTCGTTTTACTTAATCAATTTATATTTGTTATTTTCTAATGTAATTTATAGCTTTTTTTTTTAAAAAAAAAGATATATTACTAATATCATTTAATTGTTGCGTAAGAATTGAAAATTTTTTGCTAATTATTAAATTGAAAAAAGAAACGAAAATTTTTGAAATATTCAAAAAATATTCACAAACATTAAAAAGTTCGTGTTTTGCCTCTTTTTTTTTTCGTTTTTGTTTTTAAAGCAATATAAAACAGATTAGAAATCAAATGAATGGGAAGTTTTTCTCTTTTTTTTTCTTTTGATAAATAAGCAGCTATTTCATTAACCAATCTTTTATTTGTTTTGAAAAAAAAAGATTTTTTTTTATAATGAAGTATTTACATCTTTTGCTTTTGTTATTATTACCTATAAATTTTATAAGCATGTAAACATTAAACCTGATTATCATCTGAATAAAAAATAAAATTTTAGAGATGAAAAATAAAATTCTCATCTGTGTTTAAAGCATTATAAATTAAATTTTTTATTATTAATAGATAATAGCGAGAGAAAAAAAAAACAAATGAATGATAAATTATTAATTTCAAAAAATTATGAAGAAAACGATATTAAATGATAAATGAAACATTATATGGATAATAATATTTGTGGTAGTGAAATGAAAGTATTATAAAGTTGAAGAACGTCATTTTAATGTTAATAGTAGTTTATGTCATTTTAGCAAACAAAAATTGAAAATAAGACCGGTTAAAAGTTTGATTTGTGGCTTAAATCAATACGATTGATGAATGATAGGAATAGAAATTCAACTTAACTACGAATAGTACCCAGTCAACAAATTCAAATTCTAGTTAAATTATTTTCCATTACAACTAACTCATTCATTTCATTACGCTATTATCGTCTTAATGGATGTGTTACAATTTAAATTGCTTATTGCTTCGATCATGACAATGATAGTGATAAACAATGTAAGCATATATATATATATATATATATATATCTTAATATTACATTTATTAAATTAAAAATATAATAATTTCGTATTAATTTAATTAAAATGTTATTGCAATAATAATTTCATTTTATTCTTCAATTATACTAAATAAATTGAAGGTATAGGCTGAGCATATGAAGATACGTATGCGACGTCAATTATGCGGATGCAATCAACTGCAACAAGTGCAACCATGGATTGGCGAATTATGCATTTGCGTCCCAAAATCATCCATATTTTCGATGTCATGCACATGTCCACAAGTGCAGCAACAGTTACAACAATCAAATTATTGCGGATGCAATTTGCATGCACATATCGGACAGCAATGTCAAACAGGTTGCCAACAGTCATGTAACACGCAGTGCAATCCATATATGCCACAAATGCACTGTGAGAATGCATGTAATGATGCATGCATACAGTCATGCAACTTGCAACAGCATCAAAATCAACAATCTGGTAATTTACTCTATTGGAATCCAAATATAAATTCATTACAACAATCATATCCATATTCTTATCAACAATTATCACCTATTCTGGAACAATGCTTCATTTGTTTAATTAGTTGTGAACAATTATGCAACAATCAGCAATCATTTTTGGATGGTAATCGCATGCAATGCGGCTGCATGCAACAGTGCCAGCCAAGTTGCTCATCTAGCAACATGCAATCACAATCATTTTCAATCATACAGCAACAATGCATGCCACATTGTCAACAGAATTGTCAACAATTTTGCAATCAAAAAATGATAAACAATCAACATTGTCAACCACAATGCAAGCAACATTGCACCGATATTTGCATCATATCATCGGAAGCACAATTTGCCAAATCGATGAATCCATTTAGCAATCCAATTTCATATTCATATTTGTTTCCACATCTTACCCAATCACAATTTTGTTTTGCAAATTGTTTTGATAGTTGCAAGCAATCATGTGGAAAACAGCAAACTATCCAATGTTCTAATCCATGTACACAAAATTGTCAACAATTTTGTCAATATTATCAACAACAGCAACAAACTTTATCTGTTAGTCAGCAAGCTAAACAACCATATAAACTACAGGTCTAAACCTCTTTTTTTTGTTATCTTTTTTTCTACTTTTCAAACATTTATTTTTAAATTAAACGAAATTTTTAGAAACTAAATTCAAAAATTATCGTCATTACTGGATAAAATTGCTGCTCGAGAATGAAAAATAAGAAGTTATATTTTAATTAATTAACATATTTATATGGATGTAAGCATCGCTTGTCATCATCATACAATCTTTTGTAAAATAACTAAAAATTAATGAAAACATTGACCGACATATTGATTAATAATTCGTAAATCTAAAATTTGAAAAATTAAAAAAAAGAAACATACATTCATATCAGCAAAATTTGTTAATACAAATTTAATCTTTTCGATGATTGGTTCATTTCTCAACTACAACTAACAGTAATAGTAATAGCAAATACTATTATATGGTAATAAAAAAAAAAAAAAAAAAAAAGAAACTGATGATAACTTTTAAACTACTTATAATCGAATTAATTAAAAAAATAAACAAAATATTTGATGATTATCTGGACAGTCAGTATTCATCAAAATATATTTGTTATATAATTATTGGAATTTGTGCCAAAATAAAATATTATTCTACTAACAAATCAATTGGTACTAAGAAAAAAATAAAAATAAAATTACTTATTAATTATCAATAGTTTAATTTATTGACAAACTTTTAAATCATATTTAAATATTTATTAACTATTAAATTTTTTTTTCTATGTTTTTTGTTCATTTCATTTTCAGATAATTCGAGTAGGCCTTCATGCTTCAATGCTTGAATCAACACAATGTATTCCACAATGTCAACAAACATGCTTACAGCAATGTAGCACAAATCTTATCAAAACACAATGCCAACCAGCTTGTCAAACAATTTGTCAACAAAATTGTGGTCATCGTCAATTACCGTTACAAACACAACAACAACAACAGTTGACACAATGTCAACAAACAGCGATAATGCATTGTTATTGTACAAACGGCAATATTCCATGTAATAACGGATCGCAATGTTGCAAGAAACATTAACTAGCTCTTTCATCAAACTTTTTATGTAAACATTTCTTTGCCAGTCTAATGTAAATATATACATCAAAAAGTTGTTAACGCAACTTTTTTTCCTCCCTCTCCTTCTCCCTCTCTCTCTCTCTCTCTCTCTTTCTCTCTCACACTCATCCACTCTCTCTCTGTTCATGTCAATTTTAAAGTTAAATCTTAAATTTAAATTTAACGTACTGAGTTTTTTTAACGCTATAATTAATTTAATTTTTCTCCAATAAATAATTAATATAAATCCAATTAATATTTAGATAATACTTGGTTAGTATGATAAAATTATAACTTTGTTTGATTTTTTTTTTTTTTATTAATTTTTAAATCTTCCAAATGATAAAAGAAATATGTTAGATACATTTTTGAGAAAAAAATAACGAAGAAATTGATGATTTTTACAGTTATTCATTAATTTCTTACATTAAAAAAAAACGAGGGTAAATCATTTAATTTTTGATTTTTTAATGTAGCAATTTTCGGTCTTTTGTTTGAAATTTTTAATGTCTAATAAATAATGAAAATTGTAACAGTGATGAAAAAGCACTATGACAAGATTAGTTTCATCTGAAATAACAGAAAAACGAATTAAGTATTATTAAAGTATGTCGAATAATAATAATGATAATAATAATAATAATTATAATAATAGTAATAATAATAATTAACAATAGTAATAACGATTATATAAAATGATTATTTCGTTCAATTATTTGGAGAATTTAATGCAAATTTTCAAATTTAAACCAATCTTTTCTTCCATCTATTTTTTGACTGCTATCTGATTTCTTATCATACAGTAATTTACAATTTAAAAGTTCACTAATTGACATGGAGGTGAAAATCAAACTATCATCCCGAAAATACGAATATTATTATTTTTTTTAAATGAAATTAGTCATCATTTTTAAATAATTTGATTTTATCTTTAACTTCAATAAAGTTTTAAATGAGCATATTGTGTTTTATAGCTAATTGGTCCTTCTTTTTTCTTTCTCTCTATTATCAATAAGAACAATAATACAGAATAATTTGTATTTTTGTTATAATCAAATTTGAAAGAATATAGGATTATCACCAATGATAAAATTTGATTTGTGTAATTAATCGATTGGATTCATATTGCAAACAAAATATTATCATATCATATACTCAGATCCACTGCAATGATTCACGCATATTTTTTTTTAATGCAGAAACCATTCCTATTTCTTCAAGTTTGTTCCGGAAGACGAATACATTTCAAATGTTGAACGGACTACTACTGCACTAGCGATTGTTATCTTTTATTTCTGAATTATCATCATTCATTTCATTATTTGATATTATTTTATACCAATTTTAAAATCGTAGCATTTTTCCACTATTTCCATTGAAAGTAACACATTAATTATGACTATATTAATGCACTAATTATTTAATGTTATTGCATTTAAGATGCATTTCAGTTTTAATTTAACATTCATTTCGGCATTTTTTCACTTTCGATCCTGAAGTATTAAGCAAGACGAAATCTTTTTTCATCTCTAATTTGACATTTATTATTGTAACAAATTTTTTTTTCTTCATATGTTAAATTTATTTTGAAATTCAGAAACTTAAAGCGAATTTCAATTGTAATTCATAAAATTTCTTCAATACTAATTAAATTTAATAGTTATCTATGCATATACCATTTATTTTAAAGTATTAAATTTTAGTGCAAAACATTGGAATCTTTTATAAACGATCATTTTTTTGCGCCTTTCCGATGATCTTTGCGTGAAAGAGTACGTGAAAGACGTCGGAACTTATTCCATTCCTAAAATAAAAAAAAAAAAAAAAAAAAAAAGAAGAAGGACGAATAAACAAATAGAAAAAGCTACAGCAATAATTTTAAAATAGTACGTTTGAAAACATCAATTATTAGGTAACTCACACTCTGATATTCTTGATAGCGTTTCCAGGCTTCCTCACTGTAACCTTTCCGCCGTAAAGCATCCAGTCTTGCTGTAAACATTCTTTCTCAAAAAGCATATATAATGTGAAAAGGAAAATGATAATACGCGATCTGACGTGACTACGTGAGGCATGAATCATTAAAGTAAATTTTAATAAGTTATCCATAAACATGAATTTGTGTTCTCCTTTGCGCTGATATTTTAATTATGGATGAATATGTAGAAAATTTTTAGAATAGCTTGATAAATTTGAACTATAAATTTTTTTCCTAATGTACAATTGCGCCATCACAGATCGTAACGAGTGATTTTTCGGCAATCTTGAGAAAAAAAGAAAAATTCATTCTAACTTGTAAATGCTTCTAAAAAATTTTTATCAGATTCAAATCTAGGTTTTATTTCCTGGTTTTTTTTTTTTTTTCCTTTTTTTTAAATTCAATTCATGGCATAAAATTTGCTTTTAAATTAAAAAATTTAATTTGAATGATGTGACACTGGAAATAATTGAATTAAAACTTACGATCCTTAACACTCTTCTCTTCCTGCAAATATAACTGTAATTATTACCAGTAATATCTGATATATTTAAAATTACTAAAATAAAATTCAATATTTGATTATTCAAATAGCTAACGTACTGATTCAACCGATGTGCCTTGTTCTGATTTCAGCTCCTGTGTTACATCCGTAACTTCAACTGATTCTGACACTGATTCCGGCGGCGATGTTGGTTCAAGTACAGTAAGCACTGGTATTTCAGGTATATATGGAATTTCTACTTCTTTCGATAACTCCAATAGATACAATTCAGGTTCAGATATTGATTCTATTTCAGGAGTTACTGATATTGGCTCACATTGAGGAATTTCTTTTTCTGGTAACAGCTTGACTGGTTCAGGTTCTGGTAGTTCTACTTCTGATTCATATCCCGATTTTGCTTCAGACTCCGGTTTCAATTCTTCCTCCAATACAAACTTAGATTCTGACATATGTTCCGGTTCTGGTTCATTTTCCGATACATCATGTTCAGATTCATTCTCACATGATGCACAAGCTTTTGTGAGAAATTCTACAAAAGAATTTAAACAATTAGAAATTTTATTTTTAAATGTATAATAATTTCATTTACAAAAAATGATTAAAAAGAAACTAACCATTTTCATCATGCGAATTAACTTCTTGTCGTGGAGTTGTAGTCTATAAAATAAAAAAAAGATTTTTTTTTCTTTTTTTGAAAACAGAAAACTTCAAGAACGGAAAAGGTAATAATATACATAATAAGATTATACTCGTAATGAAGGTCGTTCACCAGCTTCAACCTTGATCGCTTCCTCAACAAAATGACCAATATTGAAACCGGATATTGCTGTATCAGGAATGTTAAATTGATCACATAAATTGCGAATTATCTGACGAACAGTTAATCTATAAGCAAATATTTGTTGCATTTAACATATTTATTATATTTCGTAGTGTAAAATTCAAAATTCAATTTAATTATATTTTTAAATGGAATAAGTACATTAAATACAATAAGTAAAAATGACAACAGCATGATGATTTCTGTTATGCTAATGCAAAAATCAACAATAATATATTTGCTGTATTGAATAATTGTATAATTTTAATAATTTTAGTAAATGGAATAATTTTAAAATTTTAAACAAATTTCGTCAATAAAAGTAAATAGAAAATTTACGTCTCTCTTTTATATTAATGAAAAAGAAAGAGAAAAAGAGAGGAAGAAAAACTCAACTTAAATTTATTATACATAATTCTTTGTTCTCTTTTGACAACAAATTTTGCAACAAAAAAAAAAAATTTAATTAATTAAATGCATTGATAATATAGTCTTATGCTTTTATTCCGACAGGTAAATGAGAGGAATTAGGGAAGAAGGCAAATTTATTTGCTCGTACAGTAAATCTAAAAATAGTTTTACATTTTAATTTGAAATGACTTCATCATTTCAAATCCTAATCATATATTTTTAATTTTAAAATGTTTTCAAATTTTAATTGCAATAATTTCAAAATTTAATCTTACATTTTTATAATTTTAAATGATTTCAAATCTTTTTAAAGTTTTATCATTTAATTTGATGTGTTAAAAAATTGTCAATTTGAATGAAATTACAACGATCAAAACCTTTTGCCACCAAACCAAATTTCAATATTGCCAACATTTTTAATTTGACGTCTAAAATAATGTAATTTCTTTAATGTATCAGCAGCAATTTCAATAGCAATTGTTGTAAGTGCTAAACCAACAGTTATGTATAAAATTGTTATTGCCATATAAGTTCGTCTGCAAATTTAGTTTTTATTTTTATTTTTTACCCTATAAAAATTTACTAATAATTTTACCGAAAAAAAATTTCTACTAAAAAAAAAAGAAGAAATTAAAAGTAAAATTACAATATAAATTTATATTAATATAATAAAAATACTATCCTAATATCAAATAAACAACAATGATAATTAAAAAAAAAAACTTTTTTTTAAAGTAATTAAAATCAAACCTTTGTGGTACAATATCACCAAGTCCAATAGATGTTAATGTTATAAAATTGAAATATATGGCCTAAAAAAATATTACAGTTTGAAATAATTTTTCATAAACTAATATTATCAATTTCTTTTTTTTTTTTTAAAAGCCATTAGTTTTACATTGTTTATATTATCATTATAATGAAATGAATATGTAAGATGAATAGTAATTAAAAATAAAATATTGAAATAAACTTAATGAAATAGGAAATGAATTATAATTGAATAATTGTTTCACTTTTTTCCTTTTCTTTTCTTCTTATTTAAGTAAAATAAAATTTGCTTTGTTAATTTTGATTAATTACTTACAGTAAAAAATGGCATTTCAGGTTCATAGCTACTGAGTAACAATGAACCAGCAATAACATAAATGAAAAATAGTACAAGAAGTGCTAATGTTCGATTTGATTGTTCATTATCATCAGTCATTTCTGATTTTGCTTCTGTTCCATTAATCTTTAATTTTATGAATTAATTTTATTAAAAAAATTTTTCTTTACTTATAAAAAAAAAAAAAAAAAAAAAAAATTGCCAGAAATTAAAAAAATGAGTTATTTATTTTCCATTTTTTTTTTTTTTTTTGAAAAATAAAGAAAATACCTGTTTATCATCGTTATTTTTTTGTCCATTTATTTCATTATCATCATTTTTTTCACACAGTAATTTACCTTTAGAATTATTACTTATAAATTTACTCGATTTGTGATTACATATTATCATCTTAAAACGTTTTCGCAGCAATCGTCTAAAATTAAAGATTAAAATAAAAAGAAAATAATTGAAAGAATTTTTAAGATAAAAATCAATTTATAAATTTGGAAAAACATAAAAGATTTCATTGATAAAATTTGTCTTTTTTCTTTCTCGAAAAAAAAAAAAGAGACAAAATTTTGCTCATAAAATTCTTTGATTTTTAAAAAAAATTGTGAAATTTAAAAAAAAGAAAAAAAAGTAATAACTTTATTTTATTATTGAAACGATCATTGCAAGCAAAAATAATTCGAGAAATAAATTTGCCAAGATCAGCAATAATAAGTAGTGTTAATGGTACACCAAATGCAGCAAAAAATATACAAAACATTTGTCCTGCGAATGTTTTCGGCGTAATATTGCCATAACCTTAAGTGAAAAATAAAAAATAAATAAATAAATTAATTGTATTTTTGAAAATTTTTACTATACAATAAATATAATTAATAGAATTATAAATTTTGGTAATAAAAAGTTATCATAAAAAATTATCAATTTTATAATATTCTTTAAAAATAAAACAAGACAAAATATTAAATTGCATGTGAATAAGTATTATATTCACAGTTTATTTATAAGTTCCATTATTTTTGCATTATTTAATTTCTCATTTAATTCTATTTTGTTTATTTGCTTGTTTGTTTTTTTTTTTTCTTTTTAAATTAAATGAAAACAAACCAATTGTTGTAATAAGTGCAAATGCAAACAATAACGAATCAAAAAATAGCCATTCATTAACCGATGAGTCTTTGTTCATTTCCGAATCTAAATAAAATACAAAAAAAAAAAAAAAAAAAAGAAGCGAAATAATTGTAACTAACTAAATTTGTTTATTTATAAAATTTATTGAAATTAGTTGCTATTTTGTAAAATTACGACTATACTTCAATGATTTGTCTCATTTTTCTAATTAAATTAGCACTTGAAGAGCTATAGTTATATTCCAATTATATTAGTTTATCTCACAAAATAATTATAATTTTTTTTTTGAAGATTATTGTTGAATGAACCTTGATAATTTGATGATTGATTATATGTTGATAAGTAATTATTGTTATCATCCCTTTGTTCATTATTTGTTACATTTGAAAGTGAAAGTAAATTGTAATAATAGCAACGTTTGAAATAGCGAACTGACAAACGACCGAATATAATATTAGAACAATTGCTTTTTCTCAACAAATTCTAAAATCAATCTCAAATTTAAAGGAAAAAAAATAGACAGAGTTAAAAATGTTTGATTTTTATAATTAATATTTACAAAATTTAATCTAATACAATTATTACGATTAGTAATTTTCATAAATTAAAAATTTGAAAATGTAAATTAGCAATGCCAAATCTTTTGTAAACAATTAATAAATTAAATAAAATGATTTTATAACCAAAACTATTAATTGTTTCACTTTTGCTAAAATCAATTTTATATAAACATTCATTTTTATGATTATTTCTATTAATTACAATCACATATATTATTTTTATTGCATCTTTTATGCTAAAATTTTGAATCGAGAAATTTATAAAACAAACAAAAAAGAAACTGTGTTTAAATAAATAATAAGTTATATTAAAAAACCATGTTTAAATAAGTAAATAATAATTATCTATTAAAAAAAAAAAAAAAAAAAAAAAAATTTCACTACCTTGATAATATCAGTTATACATTGACGTGTACTATTCCAATGATTCATATAAATAGGTGAGATTATTAGTGAATCTAAATATTTATCTTATAGTTTTAAATAAATAATTATTTTTTTTTTTTTGTTAGGGAATTATTGTTTATGGAGAGGAATAAAAAAATATTTAATAATGCGCATTTTATTTTTTTCAAAAATAAAATATTTTTTTATTTTTTTAACAGATAGATTTACAAAAATAATACTTATCACAACTGTTGATGATAATTAATTATAAGTTCATTTATTTCTAAAAGTAATTAATTATATGATTGCAGAATTAATAAACATTCATATACTTTAAAATGAACTTACGAGTGGAAATTTGAGTGATATCGTTGTGTAATCGAACATTTGACAGGTGATCTACCTGTTCTTTAGTTTCCAAATATGATAAAATGAGTGCTCCAAAAATAGCATAAATAGAAACAATTGTTATTAATAAAATACGCAAAAATATTGGTCCCATCTAAAAAAATTAAAAAAGCTTCAAAACATTTTAGCTAAAGATTTGTAATGCTGAATTGTAAGCAAAGAAGTAATAATTTTTTGAAGGGAAAAAAAATAAGAAAAATAAACAGAAAAATGAAGTGAAAAAATAAACTTAATAAGATAAATTTTTAAAATTTAAAAGGAAGAAAAAAAAAAAAGGAAAAGTTATTTATTTATTTGTCTCACTTTTTTTCTTTTGAAAAGAATTTATTAGATATTCTTTATAATATTATAAAATGATTATTAAAAAAAGTGCAAAAAATTAAATTTTAAATTATGAATGTAAAAAAAAGTCATAGCGAAAAAAAATTGAATTTCGTTTCATTTTTGAAGTATAAAAGACAAATTAATGAGTAATATTTAACTCTAAATGAATTGAATAAAAAAAGAATAAATAAATAAAATTGAATTAAAAAAGCGAATAAATAATAAACAAACTTTCGAGCCAGCAATACGTAACCAACTTTTTAGCATTTTTTCCTGTTTTATTGCTTGTTACAACTGTTCGGCAAATTTTGTTTGCTGAAATTATTAATGTTTATTTAAAAAATAAACAAAAGAATCGAGCAAAAAAAAAGAAAGAAAAAACAAAGGTGATACTTATTGAGTGTAACATAAACAAAAAAAGTAACACACACAAAACACACACAAAAAAAAAACGAAGAAATGGCAACAATAATTTTGTCAACTTTGTCATATTTCGAATGAAGAGAAAAAAAAAAATATTTTGTATTTGGAAATTGAAAAATTTATTAACTTTAATTAGATGGATATAATAATAAATCGAACAAATAAATTAATAGATTATTAATATCAAAAGAAAAAAAAAAGAAAAAAATTACTTATAGGCTTATATTTGTTACATAGTAATAACATTTACAATAAAAAAATGTTAATTTTTAAAAAATTATAAAAGTTCAAAAAAACGAAAGGACTATTTTATCTTTATTTTTTTTACTTTCTAATATTGCATTTACTATTAATAGAAAATTAGAAATATATTTAGAAGAAAAATAATAGTTTAACTAAAAGCATAAAACATTAATGCTTTAATGACATTTGACAAGCAATCTTATCGGTGCTGTATAGTTTTAAATTTTGATATTTTTTTTTTAAAAAAAAGTAAAAAAAAAAAAAAAAAGAACGATGCCATCAATTTATTCTAATTTTTCATTGTAAAAGAGTAAAAGCATCTACTACAATCAGTAGGCGCTGTGGTGCAATTGGATTTGTTTTTTAAAAAAAAAAAATGAAATAAAATGAAAGAATTGCTAAATAACGAAGAAAGGAGGACGAGAAAAAAATCTTTTATTTAGCGATAGTTGCAATTTTAATTGTTATTGAACAAATAAGCAATAATGAAAGATTTATTGTATTGGCAAAAAAAAAAAAAAAAAAAAAAAAAGAGAGAGAGGAAAAGAAGAAAAAAAAATAAAGTTTCAAAGATGACAAATCTCTCTCTCTTTGCTTATCAATCGTTAGCATAACAATATAAAATCAAATTAGTTAGAAATTTAAATGATTCAAAAGGAAAAAATTTTTTTTTCCTTTCCTATTTTTTTGCAAAATTTAAACCTTTGTTTTGACAAAAATGTTTACTAAAATATTTTATTACATACAAATAGTGTATAGGTGAATAATTATCATAGCAATAACAATTTCACACATATTATCACTACTATCAGTTATTCATATTGCATATAAAAATTGTTACATTATCATCGTTATCAGTTACAAGTAATTCTAATATAAATATTTCTCTCTCTCCCTCTCCCTCTCTCTCTCTCCCTCTTCCTCGTTAAAATTTATAATTAGAATGAAAAAAAAAAAAAATTTTGTGAGATATTTGAGAAACATTTATTAAAAAATTTCAGGCGAGATGGTGTAACTCGATTATTTTTGAAATGAATAAAATTATTTCTTAAAAAAAAAAAATTCACTAGAGCATTTAGAATTGAATAAGTTAGAAAAAAATTTTTTTAATGTAATTTTTTAAAATTAAAAAGAAAAAAAGAAGGAAAAAGAGAAAAGAAAAATAATAATTAAATAAATGATTATATTATATCACTTAATTATTTACAAATATCAAAATTAAATTATTGTTTGTGATAAGTCGTTGAATAATTACTTTCAAAAGAAATATTAAACTTATTACTGATGATTTCAAATTTATATAAGAATATTTTGATTAACAGAATACTTCATTTTAGCGCTTGAAATATATGTATATATATCCTTATTTCTATTTCTAAAAGTTCAACGATTTAAAAAGATCATTGGAATTGCAAATTGAATTAACATAGCGATTTCAATTTCTAGAATGTTTCTAGAATTTCTAGAATTGAAATTACTTATCAAGATGAGTGGTACTCATATCATTTATCAATGTTATCATAAATAAATGCAAAATGATAACAATTCAAGTTATCTTCATTAGATTTTAAAATCGTCTCATACTGAAATGAAAAGATTGCAAAAGTGGAACTTATAATATAACTTTTTTTTTAATTTCAAGCAAATTTATATGTCAATTTTGAATCTCAAAACAATATCTGATTAGCTATATTTGTTTAAGGTAAAAAAAATTCGAGGAAAAATTTTCACGAATTTGATTAATAATATAAAATTAATCTAACATGAATGAAATAAAATTGTCTCGCAAGAATACTTGAAAAGACATATTCAAATATTTTTGAAAATTTTCAAGAAAAAAGTTATTTTCAGTAATTAAAATTGATCATCTGAATGCTATAACTAAAATGCAGCTAAAAATACAGTTTAAACAAAACAAAAACAAAAAAAAAAAAAAAATACTAAGATATCAAATATATTTGTAATATTATCCACTTATTTTCTTCTTTTAATTTTAAATAATTAAATTTTTGCTAATAAATTTTAAATGATAATAATGATAAGAATTGAGGAAAATATTTTTGTAAATATGCATGAATTGATCAGAAATTATTTTTTCATAGAAATTTAAAATTATAATTACAATCAATTAGAAATTTTGAAATTATTTTACATTTCTGTCAGAAAAATGAGAAGCAAATATGAATCTTTTATTAATTAAATTAATAGAATATCAGATAAATTTTGAAAATTTCATAAAAATAAAACTAAAAAAAAAGAAAAAAAAAATGAAATTTCTTTTTTTTTTTAACCCAAGCAATATGTTCTATTAAATGCTATCACCGAACAATTTGATTATCCATTTGCTCTAATCCACCTGAAAATGTTTCACAAAAGTTTTCATAGCATTTTATCATTTATTTAATTAAGTTAAAGAGCACAAAGAAAAGAGAGAAAAGCAAGAGAATTCATTAAAACAGATAACTTGATAATTAGCAAATGTAATTTTGATAAAAAAAACGATACCGTTGCTACAATTTTTTTTTGCATATTTATTTATTTATTCATTTCTCATTGCCTAATTATTGTTTGTTTGTTTGTTTATTTCTTGTCATTAGTCCTACATTATTGCCTAATAAGACAGAAATATTCATTCTTAAAAAAAATTCACTACTTTAAAATCATAAAATAATAGATTTTATATAATTTATTTTAGTACAAATGAAGAAAAAAAGTAAATATTTGATAAGTCATAAACCAAAAGCAACATTATTGCACAAAAGAAAACAAAAAAAAAAAAAAAAAAAAAAACAAATATACATGAAAGAATTTATTATAATTGAAAGTGAATATTTTAATTTTAAAGTTAAACTCATCTTGAACAATAGGAACGTCAAAAAAAAAAAAACAAAGGAATCAAAATGATGCAACAGAAAAACATGCTGATATAAAAGAATAATTATTAACATACTTGTTAATAATTATTTTTTTTGTTAAATTTTAAGTCTTAAAAATAAAAAAATGTGAACTAAATAATCATTTAAAATATTAACAATATTTTAAAATCATCAATTATTTTAAATTAAAAACATTTTATAAAAAAAAAATTTTTTTTCTCAAGAATTTTTTAATTAACAAATACTTTAAAAGACATAGAGCATTTATAAAACTTCTGCCTGCAACTATATTATTTATTGAATAAAAAAAATAAATAAAATCTGCCGCACATGAAAAAACACTTCAAAATTGCATTGTGAGGTAATAGTAGAAAATTATTTAAATCTTTTATTACTGACCAGTTTTATAATAATCCTACTAATATTATTGTCAAAAGCAATTGTCACCAATTTCCACTGGTATTACTACAATTTCCTTGAAAAATTATTTTCCTTTTCAATTTGTCCAGTTTTATTATCATTACCATCATTACTATTATTATTATTATTATTATTATTATTATTATTATTATTATTCAGTATGTTATTAACAGTAGTTAACTTAACAAAAAGTAAATAAAATGTAAGTGGAAAAGAGCAAAACTTTAATTTAGTAAAGGTTAATATGTGTGATAAATTAATTTTATTTGAGGATAAAAAAGAAAATGAATGATTCAGTGCTGTAATGTGACAAATGTCACGAATAGGAAACGTGTACTACGCCATATGAAACTTTCATTACGTAAAGCAATGATGATGGTAATCTATTATTGACACAAGAAAATTACAAATTTGATATCATATAAATTTCAAACTGTAATAATGAGCTGTGAAAACTATTAAGTTTACCAACATTTTCAACATATGAACTGGCGGTAAGATATAAGTTAGAGGAATATTTATCAAATAATATATAAAACGCATGTTAAAAATAAAATTATTGTTTATGTGAAAGCAAAAGTTATTGTTTATGAAATATCACAAACAGCTGACGAAAAGTAATTCACATATTGCAGATTAAACGCAGTGAAAAGGAACTTTTAATAAAAGTTAATTTTTTGTGATAAAAAGCAAAGAAGCAAATATTATGTGACATTAAATAAATACTAAGCTGGAAATGGATGATAATTTAAATGAATAATTTAATTTTTAATGAAGTTAAAAGTAGTAATAGTTCAAAATTTGCTCCTTCCTCACTATTTTCCATTAAAATATTGGGTTTTAAATTTTCATTTTTAAAATATATTAAATCAATCAAATAACTTATTCATTTTCATTTTTTAATTTTATCATTTTAATATTTTTTAGGAAATGATATATTATATCAATTCGTGAATATTAATTAAATGGTTAATAAGGCACTGAAAAAAAAAAAAAGGACAAACAATGTTTGATTATTTGAACATTAAAGTTGAAAAGCAATAACAGTTAAATGATATGTTAATAATTAAATAAAGTAAAGAAAAATATTTAAAACATACTTTTATTTTCTTTTAAATTCGGTTCAAATAGTTTTAGGTGTGAAATAATTTCAACAATTTGTTAGCTTCAAGAACAAAATTAACGATTGAGGGAATAAATATTAGTAAAGAAGGAAAATTGAAAGGTGGGAATAAAAAATGAAACGATTTGAATTGAAAAAAAAAGGAATTATAAAGTGAATTGAAGAAATTTACTGTCGCTGATAAATTAATTGAATTGAATTGAAAAATTTCAAAAGTTTCGTTTCATAAGACAAGAAAATGTGACGGAATTGCATATCCCACTGAAATTTAACTTTTATTTATTGCAATTTTAGTGATTATTTGTTGTTGCGATTTTAAGTTTATTTTATTAAAATTCTATTTCCAATTGTTTACAGCCATCCATCACTCAGACGAAACAAATTGAATGTTTATTCAATAATGAAAATAACAAATAGTTTTATTTTTCATTTTATTTTCAACATATTGACAATGATTGATTTAAAGTCTGATTAGTCAGAAAATGTGATAATATAAAAGAGTAATTATTAAGAAATAAAAATTGAGAAAAAAGAGAAAACTTGCTGACTTGATAATCATTTAAACAATATCACTTAATAATTATTTTAGTTAAAAAAAAAAAAAATTTATAAACAAATTTTTTACAAAGATTTTTTTTTGTAAATGGAATATTTTAAGAAACATGCAGCATTTGTAAAACTGAGGCGGTATTATTCTTGAACAGAGCAATAAATAAAATCTTACAACCATTGAAAACATTTCAAAATTGCATTGTGGGGAAATAGTGGAAAATTATTTAAATATTTTATTATTATAATAATTCCACTAATGCTATTGTCATAAATAATTGTCACCAATTTCCATTTTTATTGATATTAGTATAATTTCCCTGAAAAATTCCTTTCATTTTCAGCTTAACTCGTATTATTATCATTCCTATTGCTGTCACTATTTATTTTCACAACAACAATTCTCATTATTTATAATCACTATCACTATTATTCATTATTAACAATACTATTGATAATTATAAAAAACTATTGTGGTTATTGTTTTATTTATTATTATTATTATTATTATTATAACTATTATTATTTATTACAACAATAATTCTTTCTGCTCTTCTTCTTGCTATTATTATCATTTCAATTCTTCTTATTATTACTATTATTGTTATTATAACTATTATTATTAACTATTATGATTGCTATCAATATTTGCTATTAACATTATTATTATTTATTACAATAATAATTCTTCTTGTTCTTCATCTTAATTTTTACACTATTATTATAATTGTTAAATAATTTTGATGATGTACAATAGTTTTCCTTTTTTATTTTTTATTTATTTTTTTTTTTTGGGTCTTTGTTGCTATGAGTATTAAAATTAGTGGCAATTTTGTTTTGATAGCATTGTAAGAAATTAAATTTTATTAATAGCATTGTAAGAAATTGAATTTTATTAGTGACATTGTATAAAATTCAATTTTATTGCTTTGTATAAAATTCAATTTCATTACTCACTTTGTATTTATAGCAGACGGAGAGGGACAAAAGTTTTCCGTTCATATCGATTACAATCGGTTACTATCACCAAAAAGAACTTTTTTTTTGAATTTTTTCCATCATTGATTTAATGTTCTTTTCTCTTCCCATTATTGAATTCATTTTCATCGCTCATTTAAAGAGAATTCAATTAACATAACTACTAATAACTGATGTCACAGAATTCGCTTATCACTTTAGGTTAATCAAAAAGAATTGATAATATCAAAATTTATCAGTCATTGTATTCTATTTGGAATTTTAATATTGTTTTCATTTTTGCTGATTCTTCTATTTTTTATAGTAAAATAAAATTGAGTTATTTACATTATTTGGTTTTGATTTCAAATTCATTAATAGGATGCATTAAATAATGCATTATTTCTTACATGGATGAAAGAATCCGATTATTTCAAAATTTCAGATTAGTGTTCCACTATATGTAATTGTGGATTAGACATAACTTACACTATATCAGTGAAGATTAACCAAAGTTATTGTAAGAAATTTCTAAACCACTTTGAAAATTTTTTATTTTTTAGATTTGTAGAAAGTGGTAAGAAATTTGAAATTTTTTACATCTGTAACCAGTAATTAAGCAATTATTTGTTATCAAAACTGATCTATAATTATTTATTTGACCGCCTGAAGAAAAAATAAAAATGATTTCAGCGTTTGACAATGAATAAATCTATGATAATAAAAATGATAAAATAGATAATCATACCTTCATTAAGTGATAATTAAGTGTCGTTTTAAAATGTTTAATTAATACTTCACACTTCTAATGATAGGAGAACAATATTATTGGAAATAATATTATACATATTACAAATCAAATAAAAATTAAAATACCCAGTTCAAAAAAGCAAGAAGCGATGATTTTTTTTTATTTTCTAATAAGTTAGTGATCATTCAATTTTTATTTTACTTGATTAATTTAATGATCAGTACATGAATGAATATGCAAAACATGAGGATATCAGCGACGATCAGAATTATTAATAAATGATAATGTTAGTTACGATGATAATGGTTATGGCGATGATGATGATAATAATAAGGATGATAATGATGGTAGTGTTGATAATGATGGTGGTGATGATAATGATAATGATGGTGGTGGTGATAATGATATTGACGATGATAATAATGACTTGCAATGGTGATGATTGATTATATGATGACAATGATAATGATGGTTGTGATGATGATTATAGTAATTATGCTATTGCTAAAATGATGAGTGATGATGATAATGATAATGGTCATGTCGATGGATGGCGACGATAATGATGATGGTAATGAAAACTGTGATGGTTGTGATGATGATTATAAGGATTACGGTGATGATGGTGTTTATTCTACGAATTAAATCAAGTAATGGTAACAGAGCTATCAAAATTAGAAAGTATTAGACTTGTTTCTTTTCAACATAGCTTAAATTTTAGTTATAGTTTGAATTGACTTAATATTATATTTTAGATTTTTTTTTTTCGCCATTATTGGTGCACTATTACTCGAGTAACATTATCAAAATAGAAAAAAGTCGAACTTAAAAAAGTTTCGCAAAACTAATCATTAGAATAATCATATTCGCTTGATATAATATAAGCCTGTTATATAGGCATAAAAATTTTTTAATGCTTTTTAGATTTCTTTAATATAAGAAATATTTATGCATATTATATTTATATCAAGAAAAGAGAAAAAAACTTTTTAAAAAAGAAACGAATTATCGGTATAGTGATAGTTAACAAATAGTGTAATTTTCAAGTAAATTTGAGAAAAGTTACAATTTAACAACAAAACAAAAGGAGAAGTTTAGAATATAAAATTCGAAAAAAAGGGAATGGATTAGTAGAAAAAGCAAAGCAAATCGAAAAATTTTTGAATTCTCTCTCAGTCTTTATAACTTCATTAATATGTTAATTATGAATGAAAAAAAAAAAAAAAAAAACAAACAATTTAAACAATGAAAAATATTTAGATTAAAATGAACAAATTTATGATTATAACATATTGTTTACAATAATTGTTAGGTGGAAAAAGCGAGTAGAAATTTAACTAAAAATTCGCATTTCTTTTTTTTAGGACTCTAAAATTTGAAGCTATTGTATTTTTCAAAATTTTTAAAGTTGGAATGAAAAGTGTGGAAAATTTGGTGTTGAACCGCTATCAGTATTGTTGTTTTAGTTAAAAAAGAAAGAAAAAGAAAATGAAATATTAAATAAGTCAAATTTTGGAAACTAATTATGTTGGACAGAAATAACTAGCTTAACTTATTTCTTGGACTTTTCTTTTCAAGAATTAAAAACCATCGCATCCATTCTTTAAATATAAAAACTTCAATTTCATTTTTGAAAAATTTCTAACTCTTTCCGAATCTGAACAGATTTATATGCATTTTTGAGAATGCCAAGAAAAAAATATTAGAAAATAATAGCAAATATGATGAAATGTGGATGAAATGAAATGTCACCGATGCAGCATTCCGGTTAACTTCAGGAAATTGCCCGTATTATTATGCATTTTTGATTATTTATAAGACATTCTCTCTGTTTCTTTTCCGTTTCATTAGCTTAACCGATTAATTTATTCCGATTCACTGAATCAAAGATGAAATAAGTTTCGTTGTCTAAAATATGCCTTTGAAGTTATTCAAGAATTTAATAGAACAACAACAATAATAACAATAATAATATCAGTATCGAACAATAATAATAATATTAACAGTAATATAAAGTAATAACAATGATAATAATACTATCAACAATAATAATGATAAATAATAATATTCCATAAGAATCCAATTAAATGTTTTGAGGGTTACTTTTGTTTTTTTTTATTGCACATTTTTTTCACTTTTATTTGCAATTACTGACTAAAATTTTACTTCACTTATGGATAATTTTTCAGTTTTATAACTTAAAAAAACAAAAAAAAGAAAAAGGCTGATCATTTAAAAAAATTCAAAATTTAATTCAAATATAGTGTAACTATAAGTTTGATTTGTTTAAACAATAATTACACGCCAAACACTAATAATTAATATAAATAACAAAATGAACAAATGATATAATTTAAATAGCTTTTATCATTGAAGTAAGCTTCATTTCACTAACCTAAAACATTTGAATTATTTAAATACTGCAAATACATTGAAACAATAACTTTTATTGAATGTGAATAACTGATATTTTCAGCATAATTTATTCAACGAATATTTTTTAATTGCATTTGTTCCACCATTTATCTCTTGCACAAATTAATGAATATTTCAACCGCTTCAGTGACTATTTAAGTTTGTTTTATAAATGATTGTTGTAACAATTTTAGTATCAAATATTGCATATTATTTTTACCTGCTGAAAGAAATATTATTAAAATTTCCTTTTCGAAATAAATAATAAATGAAAAACTGAAGCATTTTATGAATAATATCAAATTGTATTATTAGTTTGCTACAAATGCACTTACTTTCGCTTTTTTTTTATATATCATAATGGTTAATAAAAAAAAAAAAAAATTATTTTAATCAATTTTTTTTTTAAAAAAAGGGTTACTGCATTAGCAAAATTAAGAGATCTAAAAATTTTAATTTTAAATTAGAATTTAATTAATCAATCAATCATTTAATATAAAAAAAGTATTTTTATTCCATTCGTATTAATGTCTAAAGCACTTCCTCGAAATAATTTATCAATTAAAATTCCATCTGGTGTAACAATTTTCTTTTTTTTTTCTTTTTGAAACATTGTAATTAATTAGCTATTTGGTTTAATATTTCATGTAACTTTAATATTTCATCCATCATATATTTCAGTTTCACTAAAATTGATTGAAATTTTTTTATGAGTAAAAATGATACTTTTCCATTTTTACGGAATAATCAGTAGAAAGAAACATTATCATTCTCAAAATAAATTAAAATAAATTCTATTGAGTATACTACATTTCAAAAATGAATTTCGACTTCACAGATTATTTCCTTTCTTCTTTTTTTTTCTTCTAAATGAAAATCTTTTTTAAGAGAAAAAAAAAATTATTTGAATTCGTTTTTATACATTCTACAATGCTATTAATATTAATAATATCTATTTTTTCTTTGTTCGAAATAATGATTTTAGACAGAATGACATAAGATAAAATTATGTCAATAGCACTTTTTACTTTATTAAATAAGAACACACATCAAAAGTTAAACAGTAATAATCGTTGTTATTTAAAAGTAATGATAATCAAAGGTAATAAAGTCTAATTTAGATGATAATAATCTAACGTAATCATTTTTTTTTTTATTAAGAATTTTTGATGATATAAGGATGAAAAATTGAGTTATGATTTAGGTTAAATTATCGTTTAAGCAAATTCTGTTACTTTTAATTATCATTATTATTATTTTAAATATGTGTCGAAAAAGGATTTTTATTATAGGTGGAAAATTTGAAAAATTATTGTTTGTTGTTTAGAAATTGAAAACAAAAAAAGTGAAAATGCAAATAATATTGCACAAATATACACTATTTATCATCCAATAAATCATTTCATAATTGTTTTATTTTTATTATATTTTTTTTAAAAAAAAAAGATTTAAAATCTTTAAAGTAATCTAAAACAGAATTTTTTTTTTTTTGTCATTAATATATATAATCATTTTGCTATCATTTTTCTTCGACTTCTTTTTTTCTTTCGTTTTATAAATGATAGCATTTTTGGTTGTATTGGTGCAATTATCTTCTTGAATTGAATTTTTTTTTATTCTTTTTTCAAATTTTTTATTTCGCATATTTTAAAGCAAACTAAGCACAAATAAAATGTATGGAAATTTTATTCATTTTTTCATTTTTTTTTTCGTTTATTATGAAAAAGTAATGAGATAGCTTTATCAATTCAACTGTATGCTTTTAAAAAATGAAAAAAAAAAAAATAAAGGATTAAAATTTTTATGTGAAATATTTTTCATATATGGTTAATTTACATCTCAAATTAAAATATTCGAGGAAATATGATATACTTATACTATATCTAATTTTAGCTTTCTCTCTTCAATTTCAATGCATAAGTCATCATAATGAAATAAATTTTTGAACTTTTTTATGGTTTTGAATACTTGATTTTAAGTTTTTTTTTTTTTTTTTCACAAAATTTGAATATTTCATATCTGAACTTAGTATTTAAAAACAACTATGATCTATTTATGTTGGAAAATTTTTTCTTTCCAATATATATGCAAATATTTTTATTTTTTATTTGTTTGTTTTCCGTTTCTTCTTTTTGTGTGTTTATTTATTTACAATTCTTCCTTCCCACCTTCTTTTTTTTCTTACATTTCTTTTGTAAACAAAAACTTTGATTAATAAACAACATCTAAAGCTGCCAGTCAATCGTTTCAGCTAACCATGTACTACTTGCTTACAAATACCAACGTTTGAGAATTTGAAAATTATCAAACAGTAAACGATCTAATTACCAATCACAAGAATAGCTTCAATATATTAAAAAAAAAAAAAAAAAAAAAAAAAAAAAAAAAAAAAATGAAAAGGCTTTAACTTTCCAAGCAATCAATCGTAAAGTAATGAATGATTGTACGTAAATTTGAAAACAACAGCTTAGATGAATGGATATTTATGATAAAAACAAAGTTCAGATTATAAAAGTTATTTATTTCGGACAATATGATCAATTGCTAGTAGTAATTTTATTTCTATAAACAATAAATCAAAAAATTGTATGTTTGTTATATGTGTATCCAATAGTTACGTTTTGCTAAGTTTTACTACCAAAATTTTTAAAACTCGAATTTTTAAATCAATCATTGTCAATATGTTGAAAATAAAATGAAAAATAAAACTATTTGTTATTTTCATTATTGAATAAACATTCAATTTGTTTCGTCTGAGTGATGGATGGCTGTAAACAATTGGAAATAGAATTTTAATAAAATAAACTTAAAATCGCAACAACAAATAATCACTAAAATTGCAATAAATAAAAGTTAAATTTCAGTGGGATATGCAATTCCGTCACATTTTCTTGTCTTATGAAACGAAACTTTTGAAATTTTTCAATTCAATTCAATTAATTTATCAGCGACAGTAAATTTCTTCAATTCACTTTATAATTCCTTTTTTTTTCAATTCAAATCGTTTCATTTTTTATTCCCACC